ATTACATTGGCACCAGTTTTCTATTTGTATGTATTACATGCTTAATACATTTTTAAAGTTACACCCCATAGATAATCCAGAAACTGTTACATGGTCACGTACATTTCAAACACCTAATATATATGGAGTATAAAAGTCAGAGATTCCAAATCAGGATTTAGACACAAGCGAGGATAATAAATACTCATTCACGTAAGTACATTCAGGTGAGGACATGTGAATTTGTATAATACATCTGATTGCATCATGTATGGATGTCTGTGTATAATAATTAACTCATCAAGAATGATCAAAATCTCGGACATCTCAAATTACCATTACAAGTTTTTCATTTAGTTTTTGTTGTTATTAACATGTTTTAGAAACAGGTATATTTTTAGTATACGCTCATGAGATTGAAACATGAACATGAAGTTGTGCTAAGAGTACCAAAAAGTTCAGTGACGCCTAATTTTGTCACTGCAGATGTTTGTGCACTACATTTCCCAAGATGCAGTGCCAAGCTATGGTTTAAATTTTCTCGGGTCTACTCTATTTTTATCTTTTTGATTAGACTTGGTTCTAATGTAGAACAAGAATATGCAAATATTGCAGATAGCACCATGTAAGCAATTTCTGGGGAGGGACCAGCTAATCCCGTGTATGCAATTATATTATATAAGCCCAATATTATTAATGTTTACTCTTAGTTTGTCCCTCTAAGCACCATGCCAGTTCTGCATCCTTGCAAAGTTTGTTGTGCAGAAAGTACCCTGCACGTTAACTCAAAGTCCAGATAACTTTACAGCTGCAATGATTTGCGAAAATCCCTATCCCTACAAAACTGGCTCCTGGATGATGTCAAAGGATGCATTTTCTCATCCAAGATCCATCCAACTAGTGTGTGCAATGTGCACCTCACTCCTTTTATGAACTTGCTGCTGTGCAAGGGTAAGTTAACACATTAACCCATTTAGCGAAATTTAACATCTCTCCAGTGACAAAACAAAATCTCTTTAATTTCTATTGGTCTTTTTCAAACTCTCATACTTGTTAAATAGACAATATTAAATTTAACGAGGCTTGGGCTGGCCATTGGGCAAATACAGCTGAGCCATAATGATCACAGGCCGAGTACCACTGGGGAAATCAGATCATCTAAAAGCATCTAAAATCAAAGGTTATATAAACTATTAGACCAGGGAAAGTTAGAATAAAGACAAAGAAGAGAGATGGAAGTCAAGATATTGGGATGATAGGGATATAGCATAGGAAAGAGAGGGAGAAAAGAAGACAAAGGATTTGGAGGATACATAAATAGCATGGGATTGTGGGATAGAATATAGGATAAGAGGTAGAAACAAAATGACATGGAAAGGAAGAGAAATAAGATAAAATGGGAAGGGAGAGGGCAAGAGGGAACAAAATTACTTTGGATAGAAAATTAGGTGGGAGTGGAAAAAAGATGGCATAAGATGAGATGGGGGAGATTGTAAGATAAACTGATGTATGTATAATGTTGACATTAGAGAAGAAGGTGTATAAAATATCATGATATAGAGAGGAGAGCGCCCCCATTAAATAGGGTGATAGTATTAATCCAGCACTATTAAACTACAGCAAAAGAATAATAAAATGCAACTTTTGAAGTGACACACTAGCATAGGCATTCCCAGGATTTTTTCCAGGGGGGGCATAATTGTAATGACATCCATGCTTGGCACCTTTTTGACAGTGTCATGAAAGGGAAGGGGCATAGTCATTATCACATAAAGCGTTTTCACAACTATGGTGTCAGGAATACATGTTTGTATTCCTGACACTATAGTGTTCCTTTAAGCAAATTAAAGGAACATTCTGGTCACCATAACAACTTCATCTAAATGAAAATGCTATGATGCCAGGTAACCCCTGTGTGCTATCTTTCCTTTAAGGGGTTGAGCCGCTCTCACATGGTTTAAATCCAAAGGCTTCCTGCTGCTCCTGATCTCCAGGTTGCTCAGTGGTATTCGACTTCTGAAACGGAGTGTCAGGAAGTGCAGATTGACGTCAGGCATGTGTGCTGCAGATTGGCTAGAGTGGTCAGCTGATGCTCTAAGCCAATTGCTAGTTCCCGGTTCATAAAAATATTTAACTTTTTTATGAATGGAGAGCTACTGATTGGCTTAGAGTGCCAGCTGACCACTCTTGCCAGTCAGCGACACCCCTACTCAGCGGTGCTTCTGGACACTCTTTAATTAAAAGTGAACACATTAGCACTGATTTTTTATTTATTTTTTACATGGGGAGATGAGAAGGTTCAAAGTTTCCCTGCCAGGCCCAGGTACCAAAGCCTTATGATGTGGGGTCCAGAATAAAGTGGAGGGTTCACTTCACTTGTCCTTCCTGCTCCAATCTCCTTTTCTTCTCCTTCATTTGAAACAGTCTTTTTTTTCTTCTGACACTGACTTCTCTCCTCCTTGACTCCTACTGCTCCTTTCTGCTACTTTCTACTTATTTTGTGCCCTTCTGCTCCTTTCTCTTTCTGATCCCTTTCTGCTCCTTGCAGACCCTTTCTGCTCCTTCTCCTACTTTACCTTTGTGCACCTTCTGATTTTTTTCTGCTCCTTTACATTTGTGCTCCTTCTTTCCCTTTCTGCTCTTTGCAGACCCTTCCTTCTCCTTGCAGACCCTTCCTGCTCCTTGCTGCCCCTTGCAGATCCTTCCTGCTCCTTGCTACCCCTCCCTGCTCCTTGCAGACCCTTCCTGCTCCTTGCTGCCCCTTCCTGCTAATTTCTCCTACTTTACGTTTGTCCTCCTCTGCCCCTTCCAGGTCATTGCTGATCCTTTCTGCTCCTTGATGTCCCTTTCTGCTAATTTCTGTTCCTTTACCTTTGTGCTCCTTCTGTCCCGTCCTGCTCCTTGCTGCCCTTCCAGCTCCTTGCTGACCCTTTCTCCTCCTTTTACTTTATCTTTGTGCTACCTTCCAGCTCCTTGCTGACCCTTCCTGCTTCTTACTGACCCTTCCTGCTCATTGCTGACCTTTCCTTCTCCTTGCTGTCCCTTCCTTCTCCTTGCAGACCCTTCCTGCTTCTTGCTGCCTCTTCCTGCTCCTTGCTGCCCCTTCCTGCGTATTTCTGTTCCTTTGTGCTCCTTCTCCAACTTTACCTTTTGTGCTCCTTGCTGTCCCTTCCAGCTCCTTCCTGCCCCTTTCTGCTCCTTGATGTCCCTTCCTGCTCATTTTGGTTCATTCTCCTTTCTGCTCCTTTCTGACTCTTCCTGTAGGCGGTTTCCCCCATCCTTCACTTACCTGATCTGTAGACTGCCTCCCCCATCCCTCCCTTACCTTATCTGTAGGTGGATCCCCCCATCTCTAACTTGCCTGATCTGTAGGTGGATCCCCCCATCTCTCGTACCTGATCTATAGGCTGTCTCTCCCCCCATCCCTCACTTACCTGATCTATAGGCTTTCTCGCCCCCCCATCCCTCACTACCTGATCTAAAGGCTGTCTCTCCTCCCCACACCATCTCTAACTTACCTGATCTGTAAGTGGATCCCCATCTCTCACTTACCTGATCTGTATGCTGCACCCCCTCACTTCCCTGATCTGTAGGCTATCCCCCATGCCTCACTTCCCTGATCTATAGGCTGCACCCCCATCCCACACTTACCTGATCTGTAGGCTTCCCCCCCATCCCACACTTACCTGATCTGTAGGCTGCCTCTGCAGTCTGGGAGTTGCTGGCTGCGCTCTGTGCTGCTCCCCTACTGATTCAATTGAGAGAGAAGCAGGGATAAGATGTAGCTTCCTATCCCTGCCTCTCTCCACACACAGCCGACACTGGTATTGCACTGTATTTTCAATCTCACACGAAAAATAGTAGAACAAGCTGAAAAATCCAGGGGGGGGGGGCAAATGCCCCCCTGTACACCCCCATGCACACTAGGGCCTCGGTTTAATAGTTTTAGATAAACTTTCAGAATTATATATGTTTTTAAATGTTAATATTTTAAAAAATATATCCAAAAATATTACATCGAGGACTTGGTCATGGGGGTGGTTTCAGATTGGATTAGTGACTTAAGGATATGTGGATAAAGAGGAGACATAGCTTATAGTTTTTAGATATTTAAGATGTGGATGACTTACTTTCCGTGGTATTCACCTTTATGATACTGTAGAAACCATGATTCTGAGACATGCATACCTTAAACCTAGACTACAGTATACACAAATGTAACAGAAACACCTCTGGAATAATGGAAAAAAATACTCAGTGGGGGTGATATAACAAACTAAGAAATTACCCCTATTCACTGTAGGTATGTAGATAAAAGACTCCTCTAAGTCTTTAACAGAAAATATAAAGATTACCCAAGAGGGTTATCTTCATTACAAAATATAACAAGAAAACATAGAGAAACATTGTACATAAAGGGCTGTGTGCAGTGTGTGAGAGCATTCCATTTTTTTTGTTTTTATCTGATTTTATATGCATGTTTATTTTATCCAATTGTGATCAAGGGAGGAGTTTTCCCTGTTTTTTTTTTTGGAATATCCAACTGGGAGCCTCGTTCTTCTTGCCACAAGGAGTATTTTTGATGTGCTTGATTACTGTATTTATCTTGTAAGTGCAACTTATATTAAACATTTTCAATGTGATTGGAACCTCTATTATTTATTTTTCTTACCTTCTGTATGTACTGGAATTGACACGAAGAATACCTTCAGTTTTAAGTGATATGCCTTCAATCAATTTGGTTTTGTGAGTTAATGTCATTGCGTTATACCTCACCCCATTTTGTGTACAATGCTACTCTATGTTTTCTTGTTATATTTTGTATTGTAGATAACCCTTTTGGGTAATCTTTATACCTTAAACCTAATATGCCTAACCCTTATTCATGACTAGAACCTTAATTCTCCAAACACTACAATAATTCTCCTAAAGCTGTGAAGTGAGCTGTTATGTAAAAATTTGGACCTACTTATGGATTTTTTTGTGCGATTACATTTTTAAATTTTTTTTAATGGTTGTAGAGATCTCACCGTGAGCATTCAGGATGAAGCTGATATGTATATCCCTGCTCCTCTTCATATGGGTTTCTCCAATGTGGACAACACCTTGCAAGACCGTTGTACGGATAAAAAAACAAGCTATGGAATATGGTGAGTACCATTTTCACATAAACTGACTGGCAATTCTAGAAAATGCAGTTCAACAACAGCTAAGACCCAAGGTTGTATATATTTTATAAGTGTATATTCCTTATTTGCAATTAAGTCGAATTTAAAAATAATCTTTGACACATTGCTTAAAATGATCATTAAGCTCTTACAAAAAAAGTGTTCTTGTTTTTTTATTCTAAAATGTATATAGATAGTATCTGAAGGTAGAAATGTCATTGATACAATGCAATATATGATTTCAAATTAACTCATTTCTGGATATTTCTCTAAACCATATAGAACTAAAATAACAGACACAGTAAAGAGTAAAAGAAAGTCTAGTTGGCATCCCCAAGACCCACTAAAAACAGGACAGAGTCTGGACTTGTTCACATCCCTTCCATCATGCCATGTGCATATGTTTCCATAGATTTGCAGGAGGGATAAGCCAAAGGGCAAATGATTTAGGTAAACTAGAAAAATGGTCAGAGTTGTGGCAACTGACATTTAATGTGGATAAGTGCAAGATAATGCACCTGTGACGTTAAAACCCAAGGGCAGAGTATATAATATTTGATACAGTACTTACTTCAGATGACCTAAAGATATGCAGACAATGTAATAGAGAAGCAGGACATGCTAGCAGAATGCTTGGTTGTATAGGGAAAGGTATTAGCAGTAGAAAGAGGGAAGTGATCATGCCTTTGTACAGAACACTGGTGAGACCTCATTTGGAGTATTGTACGCAGTACTGGGACCGTATCTCCAGAAGGATATTGATACTTTAGAGAGAGTTCAGAGAAGGGCTACTAAAATGGTTCATAGATTGCAGGATAAAACTTACCAGGAAAGGTTAAAGGATCCTTACATGTATAGCTTGGAGGAAAGACGAGGCAGGGGGATATAGAAACATTTAAATACACAGTAAAGGATGAAAGTTTATTCAAAAGAAGAAAAACTACCACAATAAGAGGACATAGTCTTAAAGAGGGACAAAGGTTTAAAAATAATATCAGGAAGTATTAATTTACTGAGAGGGTAGTGGATGCATGGAATAGCCCTCCAGCTGAAGTGGTAGAGGTTAACACAGTGAGGGAGTTTAAGCATGTGTGGGATAGGCATAAGGCTATCCTAGCTATAAGATAAGGCCAGGGACTAATTAAAGTATTTTAAAAATTGGGCAGACTAGATGGGCCGAATCGTTATTACCTGCTGTCACATTCAATGTTTCTATATAATTAAGGGGGTTAAAATAATAGGTTTGGGTCTTTTTGACTCCTCCAGGAACAATAGAGAGTCATATTGTGTTTGATACCCAACCTCCTATAGACTACAAGCTCGTATGAGCAGGGTCCTCTTCAACCTATTGTTCCTGTAAGTTTTTTGTAATTGTCCTATTTACAGTTAGTCCTCCCCCCTTATAATAGTGTAAAGTGCTAGGGAATCTGTTGACGCTATATAAATGGCAATAATAATAATAACAGTTACAACATGCTTTTATATCCCCTAGTGTGCAGAGAAGAAAAAAAAATCAACCGTTATCAAATGTCTCTGGAAGTCCACCTTATCGCTTTTTTCAGCCATCAGGCCTATTTGTTTATCTAGAAGTTAAACTTCATACTGTAAACTTCCAAAAATGCTCAGAATTGAAAAATTCAAGAGAATTCATTTACTTGGTTGTTTTTAAGTATTACAAATTATCTATGGTTTCAATAAATTCAATTTATATTTAGACGATCCACAACTCAAAAAAACTAAACAAACTGTTCCTTCCATGTGCAGTTTGTATTTCCATGTATTCTTATATTAGCTGTTGATAACCAGATTGCAACAACTGCTATAAAAAAAATGTTAAATCTCAGTAATTCAAAACAAAAAATTAAGCTTTCTGATGGGTCTTTTATTTTTGTATTTATTTTTATTCTTATTTTACTCCTATTTTTCCCTTTTTTTTTTATTTATTTTGCTTTTCCTATTTTTTTTCCATATATGCAAAAGACAAAGCATATTCATATTTAAAAAAAATAATACATAGTTATCAAAACATTACGAACATATACACAAATACATTCATGTAGACTAACATACTAACATAGGACTTGGTGTTAGAGAATCTTTATAAAGCATCCTTGTGAGATCAAATGCAACCCTCAAACTAAAGCTGTATGTATACTGTATGTATATGTGTGTTCTCTCTGATTGCCTATCTTCTGCCATTTCCTTGCGTATATTATTCCAGAAAAAATATTGGGTGTTATCTTTGTTGGTGTATAGCATAATACCTCTTTCCATTCTGCATTGGAAAATAAACTGATTTTTGACCACAGGCCAATTGATTAAATGAGATGATTTGCATTTTTTTTTGCTATATACAGTTTTACTGCTGTCATTAAATGCACAATTCTTTTTTTGTCTTGTCGATTCAGCCCTTCTAAAGACATATGTAGAAGTGACCTAGTAAGATCGAATTTACGTCCTAACCATTTAGAAAATAATGTTTCAATTTTAGGCCTTATTGAGCTTAGAAGAGGGCAATTCCACTATATATATGCATCTGATCTCCCGTTTATCTATTAAATAACTAATTAAGAGTAGAGGTAAAGATGATAGAATTTCATTTTGTAGACTTAGCTTTTTTCTGGTCACTTTCCTGTTGCTTAAAATCTGGCAAAGGGCTAGGCTTCCATCTAATCATAAGACCGTTCTATTTTTATTAAAGGACCACTATAGTGCCAGGAAAACATACTCGTTTTCCTGGCACTATAGTGCCCTGAGGGTGCCCCCACCCTCAGGGACCCCCTCCCGCCCGGCTCTGGGGAGAGGAAAGGGGTAATAACTTACCTTTTTCCAGCGCTGGGCGGAGAGCTCTCCTCCTCCTCTCCGCCTCCGTTACGCCCCGCTGGCTGAATTTGTAGCGGCAAGAGCTTCTTGGCGCATTCATGAAAACGCAAATGCTTTCCTATGAACCTCTCTCACTGTGATTTTCACGGCGCGCAAAAGCGCCTCTAGTAACTGTCAATGAGACAGCCACTATTTAACCCATTCATAATTATAGCAGTTTCTCTGAAACTGCTATAATTATGAAAAAATGGGTTAACCCTAGAAGGACCTGGCACCCAGACCACTTCATTAAGCTGAAGTGGTCTGGGTGCCTAGAGTGGTCCTTTAAGTGTGTTCCAAAAAAACCCAAGAAGTTCTTTATTCACTGCATTTTGTTCCAATGAAAACCAACCTTCCTTTGGGCTATTCCTATTTTGTGTAATTAATATAGCTGCCTGGGTGTAGTTTTTTTTTTTTTTTTTATCAAAGAGATCCCTGAGCCTTCTTTCTCCTTTTTTATTTAAAAAAAAGTTTCTAGCCCTACTCTTGGTTTCTTACCCAGCCATATGGAACTCTTAAAGGCCGATTGTAAAAGCTCCAACCAGGGCATTGGAATTGTTAGAGGAAGCTTTCTAAAGATATATAAAAATGTAGGGAGTACATATGACTTTATTAGATTTATTCAACCCCACCATGATATCTCAAGAACCTTCAAATTCTTTAAAGATCTATTCATCTGTCTAATTAGAGGAAATAAATGAATCTCCATCCAGTTAGTTGGAAATAAAGAAATATTAATACCCAAATACGAAAAATAATGTTCTGCCCATGTGAAGCCATACAGTCAATCTAGTTGACTTATTTCTTCAGCTTTTAGATTTCTTGCCATTGCTACGGTTTTGCCCAAGTCCAACTTATAATTTGATTCTCTACTATACACTTTTATTATTTTCATAATTTCCTGTAGTGAGTTAAGAGGATCTTCGACCATTAGTGAAGCGTCATAAGCATAGAGTTTCATTTTTTGCTGATTCGAGAGTCTATATCCTTAATGCTCTGGTTATTTCTAATTTACAAGGCTAACGGTTCAAAAGAAAGTATTTTAGTACAAGGGGGAGAGCGGGCATCCCTGCCTAGTTCTGTTTGTGAACTGAAACCCTTCTGCTCTAACTTCCAAGCCTATAACTCTGCCCGTAGGTGATGAGTAGAGGACCATAATTGCCTGGCAGATTGTTTCCTGAATTCCAAATGCCTTAAGTGCCTCACTCATAAAATCCCAGCCGACCCTGGGAAATCTGTCTCCTATCAGCATCTTCATATAGACTCAACAGGCTTCTGATGTGATTTGTTGAAGATCTCCCTGGGATAAAGCCTACCTGAGTCCCTCCATTATGGGTTTAAGTCTTTCTGCTATTACCCCTGCATAGATTTGGAGTCCACATTTAGCAATGAGATAGGCCTATAGCTAGATACATCTGTAGGATCTTTTCCAAGTTTTAGTATAGGGTTAATATTCCTTTTTAACATTTCCTCTGGAAATTCACCTCTCACTGCTGTCTCATTAAACATCTCCACCATATGGAGAGTCAAATCATATTTAAAAAAAGCATCTTAGCCATCATGACCAGGTGACTTTTTTTAAATTTGAGTCTTTCAATCATTTTAAATACCCCTTGAACAGTAAAGGGTTTATTAATCTCCTCTAATGGCTCTATTGTTGGCTTTGGGAATACTTTGTCCCTAAAATATTCAAAATTTCTATACATCTAGTCCCTACCATTAAAGAATATAGAACCTGGTAATATCTGCTGAGCGCCGAACCTATCCCTTCTGGTGAAAGAAATATCTTTCGAACAAAGGTAATTTTTTTTATCTTTGATTCCGCCTTTTTTTATTTATTCGATAACATTCTGTCGGCTTTATTATCTTTATAATATCTTGCTGAGCTTAGTGCGTCTAGATTATGATTTGCTTTCTCAATCAACCCATTGTCTACTCTTTTTTTCAAGGTCAGCAATGTTATTAGATAGATCTCTTGTGGGCCTTTGTTTATTTTCTCTCTTCATATGAAATAATTGAATATAGAGATCGGAGATCTTCATTTCTGCCAGTTTTTTTGCTTGGGCTCCCATTTTCATCATTAACCTCGAACTACACTCTCATATGCTGTCCAGATCATAGAATAAGAGGTTTCTTCTGATAAATTTTCTTTGAAATATAATTCTGTTATCCTTTTTATGTGATCCCTATTTTTTGAGATTTTATTAGCATGTTATTTAACCTCCAATTTCTTTATATCCTGATTGATTTGTCATTTAGGTCTAAAACTACTGGGTTGCTGTCAATCCAGGTCAATCCAGGTCAGATCTTGGATCCTTACATTCTTAACTTGATTTGTTACACCCAGGTCTCCTATAATCAAATCTATTCTGGAATACGCATGGTATGTCTTAGAGAACTATGTATAATCTCTTTCCTCTACATGATATATTCTCCATATAGAAACATAGAATGTGACGGCAGATAAGAACCATTCGGCCCATCTAGTCTGCCCAATTTTCTAAATACTTTCATTAGTCCCTGGCCTTATCTTATAGTTAGGATAGCCTTATACCTATCCCACGCATGCTTAAACTCCTTTACTGTGTTAACCTCTACCACTTCAGCTGGAAGGCTATTCCATGCATCCACTACCCTCTCAGTAAAATAATACTTCCTGATATTATTTTTAAACCTTTGTCCCTCTAATTTAAAACTATGTCCTCTTGTTGTGGTAGTTTTTCTTCTTTCAAATATAGTCTCCTCCTTTACTGTGTTGATTCCCTTTATGTATTTAAATGTCTCTATCATATCCCCCCGTCTCGTCTTTCCTCCAAGCTATACATGTTTAACCTTTCCTGGTAAGTTTTATCCCGCAATCCATAATATATAAATTTATGAGGGTGTTTATTTGGAACATATACATTTACCAGAGTCGTACGGTTACCATTAATCTCTCCTACTAAAATTATAAATCTGCCATCTGTGTCAATCTCTTGATATTTCAATTGGATCTCTACCTCCCTGGCCACCAATATTGCTACTCGTCTTTTTATTATTATTATTATTAGGGAGTGAAGAGGTAAAAAACGTTGGGTATCTGTTGGATTTTACATTTATCAATTTGTCTCCTGTGTGTCTCTTGTAAACAGCAAATATCAATTCTTTCCTTAAATTAAATCTAGGTCAGAATGGACCTTTTTTGTGATAAATTTAACCCCTGTGCTTTAATCGTACAGAGTCTAACCATATTTAATTACGTTATATTTTCATTGCCTCCTCTAACACCAAGTCCTTTACAAAAATGCATTACATTTACAAATACACACCAATTCACATACACTAACATAAACAACCAACCTACTATCCCCACATAGTAGTTGGATTTCCACGCCATTGCACTATTTCCCTCTGTATGGAAGTGTTGAGCCATAACTAGTATGTCTCAAAGAGCCAAATAAGTGAGGAAGCCATTAATTTATACCGAGATAAGCCAGAAGGGCCGGGAACGAAATTAAAGAAACGAAGAAAGAGGGAGAGAGAGAAAAGCTCAATCCAAAAATAAATTTTGTCTTATATAATTATACAGCGGTCAATCTATGCATATCCTAGAGATATTTCGATCACGAGTGGCTGAAATTGTTCCTTTCTCTGACTCTTCCTCTCTATAAATTTTACTTCATTCAGCTTGTTAGCTTTTTTCTATTTAGTTTAGTGTCTATAACAAATTATATCCATGTAATTTAAAAAATCAACATTTCAAACTTAATTTAAATTTGTGCATTATCTAAAGGGATCTATGACTTAGTTCATGAACAACCTCATTTCTCTTATACCGTGTCTTTTTCATTCCATTTCCTCCTCCTCCTTCCCTTACTTCTGGATTGTGATTTTTCTAAAGTGTCATTCTCCATTTCATATGTGTCAAAAACAGACTCCCCTGTAATATTAAATAAAAATTTTTTTTAAAAAAAACAGAAAAGTAAAATAAATGAGAAATGTGTACAATAACACTCAATTTCATATGTGTGTGCCTTTAAAGATAAGTCCTAGACCTCTCGCATCTAGCTTATTAAAGGGACACTATAGTCACCAGAACAACTACAGCTTATTTAATTTGTTCTGGTGAGTAGAATCATTTCCCTTAGGCTTTTTGCTGTAAACATTGTCTTTTCAGAGAAAATGCAGTGTTTACATTACAGCCTAGTGATAACTTCCCTGGCCACTCCTCAGATGGCTACTAGAGATCCTTCCTGGGTCATGGCTGCCTAAAATGCATCCAAACATTCAGTATCTCCTCCATCTGCATGCAGACACTGAAATTTCCTCATAGAGATTCATTGATTCAATTCATCTCTATGAGGAGATGCTGATTGGCCAAGGCTGTGTTTGAATTGTGCTGGCTCTGCCCCTGATCTGCCTCTTTGTCAGTCTCAGCCAATCCTATGGAGAAGCACTGTGATTGGAACAGGCTACCACTTCTGATGATGTCAGCAGACTGCTTGTTTTTCTGAGTCTAACAGCATGCAGAGTTACAGCCATGGCCGCCTTTAGAAATTGTGGGGCCCCTAACACAGCTCAAGGTCTGGGCCCCCAGGTGCCCGCCTTCAAGCCCCGCCTCCAAATCCCGCCCACAGGAATACACACACAGACACAAAAGGACACAGACACACACACACAGAAAGATACACACAAATACTGAAACAGACATACACACACACATACTGACATACAGACACACACTGACGTACATACATACTCACACACACACATACAGACATACATACATACTGACAAATAGAAATACATGCAAACTGACATACAGACATACATACATAATGGCATACATACACATACATACATGCAGACATACAGATACACAGATAGATATATACACACACATATACATACAGACATACTGACACACACAGACATACATGCATACTGACATACATACATACACACATAAGTACTGACACACACACACAGACATATATACATACATGCATACTGACATACAGACATACATACATACATACTGACAGACATACATACAGACATATATACATACTGACATACACACACATACAGATAGACCCATACATACAGACATACTGACAGACATACATGCATACTGACATACACACACACACAGAGATGCATGCATACTGACATACATACACACATACATACTGACACACACACACACATACAGACATACATACATACTGACAAACAGACATACATACAGACATATATACATACATAATGGCATACATACACATACATACTGATATACATACAGACAGACATACACACACACACACACAGATATATACATACATAGATACATACAGACATACTGACACACACACAGACTTACATGCATACTGACATACATACATACATACACACATACATACTGACATATATACATACTGACATACACACACACATACAGACACATACACACAGACATACATGCATACTGACATACACACACACACAGACATGCATGCATACTGACATACATACACACATACATACTGACACACACACATACATACAGACATACATACATACATACTGACAAACAGACATACATACATACATACATAATACATACATAATACATAATACATACATACATACATACATAATGGCATACATACACATACATACTGATATACATACAGACAGACATACACACACACACACACACACACAGATAGATATATACATATATAGATACATACAGACATACTGACACACACACACAGACATACATGCATACTGACATACAGACATACACACATACATACTGACACACACATACAGATATACTGATATGCACACACAGACATACATGCATACTGACATACATACATACACACATACATACTGACATATATACATACTGACATACACACACACATACAGACACAGACACACAGACATACTGCATACTGACATACATACACACAGACATACATGCATACTGACATACATACATACACACATACATACTGACACACACAGACATACATACTGACATACACACAGACATACATGCATACTGACATACATACATATTGACCAACAGACATACATACATACTGACATATATACACACACACACACACACCATTTATCAGCCACCCTCCTCTTACCTTTAAGTTGCAGGAGGGTGGCTGAGGATGATGGGAGCGGATGCCTCTGGTGTCCTCTCCTGTCCTCTGCTCTCCCGATGCTCTCCCCCCGCGCGGAGTAAACTGGGAGGAAGTGACTGGCCATCACTTCCTCTCAGCAGCACTTGCGGTGCAGCCGCAATTTTTTTTTTTAAAGGGGCCCGGTCGCGCAATAACAGGGCCTCAGCGCTGATCGGGCCCCTGAAGATATTGGGCCCATCAGGTGGCCCTAAATGCTTGGACCACCTGATGGGCCCCGGTGCAGATGCACCTGCGGCAGTTTCGCCGCTCCACGTGGGGCCTGGTCACCATTACGGTTGTCACCCCCTGATGGCGGCCCTGGTTACAGCTTCAGGCTTGAAAACAGTAAGATTTTTACTATATTTATGGAGGCAAGAGGGGCCCAGGGGGGCTAGATGGTAGATTTAACGCTATAGGGTCAGGAATACATGTTTGTGTTCCTGACCCTATAGTGATCCTTTAACTACCCCCCTTTACATTTCTATTCCCATTTGTTGTGCCTTGTTTAAGCCTGTTCATTAGTGATGTCCCGAACGGTTCGCCGAACAGTTCGCGAACAGCTCGCCACGGACTCATCATTGAGTAAACTTTGACCCTGTACCTCACAGTCAGCAGACACATTCCAGCCAATCAGCAGCAGACCCTCCCTCCCAGACCCTCCACCTCCTGGACAGCTCACTAAGAATGCAGCTTCACAATGAATGTAAAATGGATGCTGTCCAGGAGGTGGGAGGGTCTGGAGGGAGGGTCTGCTGCTGATTGGCTGGAATGTGTCTGCTGACTGTGAGGTACAGGGTCAAAGTTTACTCAATGATGAGTCCGCGGCGAACCGTTCGGGACATCCCTACTATTCATTTATCGTGTATTATAGTGTTATATTAACTATGTGCATATCGAAATGTGAATCATCATTCAGCACCCAATAAAAAAAAAAAAACTGAAATTAATACATTTAAAAATTCTGTGAAATACTGTAATACCAAATTCAGTTTATATGTATTTATATAAACCTCTCTCATCTGTGTTCTCTTTATATTTCCCTTAATCATTTCTTACAAACTATTTTCCATTAAAGTGCCATATTTCACTCTATGCTTGTCAAAAATATCCACTATAGTATCATATTTCACTTTGTGCATATCAAAAATGATTAATTAATAATTCATCAAGGGAAAAAATAAAACATAAAAATCAGAAAGGAATGACTTATGTCTATTAGGCCTGTTCTCCTGCATCTATGATATTCATTTCTCAAAGCCAGAGCTTCAGTTTTTTTGGAGACTGAAATTGTTTCCACCTTGAACCAAGATTTGAGCAGGGAATCCCTACTTATATCTTATATCCTTTTCTCTAAAGATTGCTGTGTAAGTGGCAAAGAGCGTCTCTTCATTCTTAAGTAGTATGACAAATCCAGAAATAGCTTAATCTTTTCATATGGTGGTGATGGTACTCTTTCTTTTCGGGCTTTTGGGATGATCTCCTTAATTCGATAGGAAGAGCAGCAAACAAGGACGTCCCTTGGGATATTGTCTGGCACCTGTGGAGCCTTAAGTGTCCTATGCCATCTTTGGAAATACTGTGGGTAGCCTTCTTTCTCAATTCCCATTTTTAAAAGGAATTATTTAAAGGATCACTATAGGGTCAGGAACACAAACATGTATTCCTGACCCTATAGTGTTAACACCACCATCTAACCTCCCTGGGCCCCTCATGCCTCCATAAATATAGTAAAAATCTTACTGTATTCAAGCCTGAAGCTGTAAATCTGCATGCTGTTAGATTCAGAAAAACAAGCAGTCTGCTGACATGTGGTAGCCTGATCCAATCACAGTGCTTCCCCATAGGATTGGCTGAGACTGACAAGGAGGCAGAACAGGGGCAGATCCAGCACGATTCAAACACAGCCCTGGCCAATCAGCATCTCCTCATAGAGATGAATTGAATCAATGAATCTCTATGAGGAAATTTCATGTCTGCATGCCGAGGGAGGAGACACTGAATCACAGGATGCTGTGCACAGTGCTGCCCTGTGCTCTGCTGACAGCAGATCTGAGTGGATGGCGGCATATTATGCCTCCATCAACTCCAAAGTCTCTCTGGTTCACTCTGAGTGACTTCAACTGGAGGTGTTCCTAGCTTTCAATGTAAACACTGTATTTTCTCAGAAAATACAGTGTTTACATGAGAAAGGCTGCAGGGAGCTATAGTTCTCACCTGAACAACCTCATTAAGCTGAAGTTGTTCAGGTGACTATAGTGTCCCTTTAAGAAACTTTCCTATATTCTCACTGGAGACAGATTCCAGAATGCCTCTTATGTCTGGATTTATCTTCCAGATCCATTATCTTCCATTCCAGATCCGTTATTTTATTCTTATTTTGGATATTCCTCTCTTGTTGAGAAGTAATCATGAAGTCTAGGTTTTCTATTTTTTTCTTTGTTGTCTTTTACCTTTTTCGTTAGAATAATTAACTCGGATTTTATTTCCTTGATATTCATTTCTATTTCTGTCTTAATTTTAACAAATTGTTGGTCCAAAGCCTCCATTAGTAATTCTAGGGTAATTGAATTGTGTCCTGGGCTCGATGAACATTCTTTATGGCTCTCTTCATCTTTTCTTTGTTTGTTGCTTAATTAATCTTTCAGAATTAATTTTCTCTCCTTCTGATTTGGATAGTTGAGGTGAAAAGAAGGAGAGACGTTTCTCTACTTTTGTGTCCTTTTCTTTTCTTTTTAGTCAGCTGTTTAGGTTCTTGGCCCTTCTTGGCAGCCATTGTTTTCCCTTTTAATTTAGATGTTTATTTTAAAAATGCAGAAGACAAGCTTTCGCCCTGAATGTTTTCAGGCTATCGGCCCATAAAAAATTGTGTTTAGTTTCTTTATTTCTTAACCCCAGAGTAGAAGGGAACACAAAAGGAAAAGCAAACAAACCAAGAAGACCTATATACATATGTACAAAAAAGTTTAGACGTGTCCCTTCTCTTCTTTCTCTTCCTCTGCTTTAGGATTCGGTTAATCACTAAATGAATACCTTTGCTTGAAGAGCCTGATTTAGGAAGGTCAAATATTTAATATTTCAGCTGCTAATTCTCTCCTTTCTTTTCATTCCTGCAGCACCCTCTATTTTTCTTCTTCTTTTCTCTTCTCCCCCCTTCTTCTCTATATTTTCTCTCTCCTTTTTAGATGTGAGCTTTCACTGAGTTATATTTGTATTTTGTGCTTGGTTATACTCCCTCAGCATTTATTGCCTCAGCTTGTATGCCATTTTGTCATGGGAAAGGAGAATCAGTGTCAGTAATTCCATGTATAGTATAGCTGAGATCTTTTGCTGTGTGACTAGAATATCTCCTCTCCTTTAGGTCTCTCCTCTCTCCTCTCGTTCGTTCCTTTCAAATATGCTCAAAACTGAAAAATTCAAGAGAACTAATTTACTTGGTTGTTTTTAAGTATTACAAATGATCTGTGGTTTCAATAACTTCAATTCATATTTAGATGAGACACAACTCCAAGAAAAAAAAAGTTACTTCAATGTGCAGTTTGTATTTCCATTTATTCTTATATTAGCTGTTGATCAGTAGTGTATCCTGGTTTTGAACTGCCCTAGACATGACAAAACCCCCCACCACCCCCCGTTCCCCAGCCACCACCCCTTCCCAGCCTTCTAAATACACACACACACATTCACTGACAGACACACATACAATAGCTAACGGACACACATACACTCTCACTAACAGATACACACACTCACTAACAGACACACACACACACTCACTAACAGGCACACACACTCTAACAGACACACACACTCACTAACAGACACACACACTCACTAACAGACACATACACACACTAACACACTCACATTTTTTTTTTAAATTCAATCCCCCCAGCCTCCTTACCTTTGGGAATGCTGGGGTGGCTTCTCGTTTCCCTGGGATCCAGTGGGGCTGCTGGGCTGCTGGGCAGCCAGCCGGCCGGCTGATGACTGCAGGCAGCGAGGGAGCACTGATCCTCCTCTCTAGCTCTCTAGCGCGCCGCAAAGTGATGCCGGGAGCCAGAATATGACGTCATATTCCGGCTCCCGGATCACTCTGCGGCGGCGAGGAAGCTGAGCAGAGAGCTCACTAATTAGTGCTCCCTCGCCAGCATGGCCCGCCCGCCTGGATTGTCAGTTAGCCACCAGGCTAACAAGACATTTGCCTGGGCATTTGGGGGCGGCTTTTATGCCGCCCCCTGGAAGTGCCGCCCAAGGCAAATGCCTTGTTTGCCTCACAGCTAATACATCCCTGCTGTTGATAACTAGATTGCAACAATCAGAATTAAAAATGGAGCTTTATGATGGGTCTTTTATTTTTGTATTTATTTTTATTCTTATTTTACTCCTATTTTTTCTTAGGTTTTAGTACAGTTTATACAATGGTTCTGTTAAATGTTAATTTGTTCTTGACACAAATTTTTATGGCCCTGTACTTGGATACCCCATGTAATAGGATAGCACCATTTAAAACCATGTTGGCATTTCCTATTTATGAATGCTAATTGCTATAGATATCTACCTTTTTTTTAAAAAAATCTTTATTTATGTTGTGGAGAAATCTCCACTTGATTTGGTAATATGCAATAACATAAATTTTTCAAGAATAGGTAATGCTATTTGACACTAAACATCTTAACTTTAAACAGTGCAGTTAAGAACCCTGTGGGTATATGGTCATTCCTCTGTAAATGGTCGCCAGTCTGTTCGGGGCATTCCTTCACGCATTCACTCCTTCCTTAGATGTACACATTCGCAGCCTCACTCAAGTCACCTACGCAATGTCTCCTTCCATCATCCCACCCTGCTCCATGCGTCTGCGGATCATGTCAATCCCTAATGCGGTTACACTGTCATGCTAGCCTGAGAGTTAACCCCTGTATAGGCATGAGGTCTTCTTCCATTCCTGTCGTCTATTGCAACATACATTCATTCCCTTAGCTTACACCTGTGTATAATTCCCTCCTATTTGTTGCCCAGTGCGTCTAAATATAGCTGATGGGCACATACTGCAGATGTCCCCCTAGGATATCTACCTATTAATGGTTTGACTTTGTAAAACTGGGTACACTCTGTGCTGGTAAAATTTTGTGCGCTTATGTGTATATGTCTTTGAATAAATCATTTAAAAAAATGTATATTTACTGTTTATTGTCCCAATAAACTACTTTTGGAAATATAGTGCTTATGTGGCTTTCTGGTACATAGCAGAACAAGAACATGTCACCGTGCCCACGGGATGCGATCCAGAGTTCATATACCTGGTTCACATTCTGCTCCCAAATGTGCATGCGCAGATGTCACGCATGCAAGTTTTGGGGTCACATTGGCATAGCCAATGAAGGCACTGCTGGGGATATATATAGCTTATTGTGACATTAGCACAGTCCGCTGTCGTGGTTTCCCTTGTGGGCATCCAAGAGCACGTCATATTGATTGACAGTTACAGTGTATTGATTGACCTTATTGACAGTGTACACTTAAGTTGTGGTTTGTCAGTGATGGATGTGACTTACATAGTATTAGGTAAACCAGAAACATTTTATACTATAAAACAGAATTACAAATTTAAGACCAAAATAGCTGGGATACGAAAAAAACTCCAATTTAGCTACCTCTTTCCATTTAGGTCCAACATTTTTAATTTTTTTTGTAAACTCTCCACAGAACTTTGTTTAGTGAATAAAACTGAATTGAATTAAACCTTGACCCTGTTGATAATCTTTGCTATGCACAGCTTGCCAGACACAGAGAAGACCTCTTCAAAAAGCATTCGGCATCATTCCAATACCAGAATTGCATGAAAAAAAATCAAGTGGTGGAGGAATACTTGGAAATATCCTAAACAAGGGAGGGCTCATTGGTGCTGGTCAAAAACTGCTGGGAAATGTGGTTAATCTTGTTGGGTAAGTACTATAAAAAATATATTTTTTTAATGTCAGCTTCTCACACTGAGTTAGAAACAGAGGCATACCTAGTGTATTTGTCACCCAGGGTATATATTTTTCATTTTCATTCATTCACTTAATTTTCTCTCCTCTTTGTGTATCCTGCTTGCCCACTTGCAACAGTCTCATACTGTTGTCTGCTTCCCCATCTCTTCATATTTGTATCTCTCCCTTTAATTACAACTCTGTCCCACTATTTCAACTTACAATTGTCTATTTTTGTCCTAATACCCCATTCGCTTTTGTGTCTCATAAGTCTCATGTGTCCTTCCTACCTCCAACCCCTTTTGTACCCTTTTTTTTGTTTTGTTTTTTACTCCACTACTCAAATACAATTTTTTTTTTTAAATCACTGTTTAATGCATGGCTGTCCAACCTGCGGCCCCCCAGATGTTGCTGAACTACAACTCCCATGATTCCCTGGCTATCTGTTTAATTGAAAGAATCATGGGAGTTGTAGTTCAGCAACATCTGGGGGGCCGCAGGTTGGACAGCCCTGATTCAATACATGCATGCATTTAATTATGCATTTTTCCATTGGGTATATCTAAGACCAGCAAGGTTTATTGCCTATGTGTGATGGGTATTTAAGTCAGATAAAAATATGCATGTAGGCCCATGTGTGAATGCAGGTGTATATTTTTGCAGAGTCAAATGCACACAGTCCCACAGTCAGATGCCTATAGTTATACATATACACTGTCAAATATAGGTATAATTATGGGCCTCTGACTGTGGGACTTTGTGTATTTGACTCTCCAAAAATAGACTGCATGCCTGTGACCCATGTGCTTATGCTTTAGTAAATGCCCTAACTATAATGCCAGTTTGAAATTAGCTTTACATACCTACCAGGATATCACTGAGGAGTAGTTACCATTCCAGCTGATACCACACCATCCAGAGTGACGGGGTTGTTTCAAGCATGCTCCAAGCCTGCATCAGATTTTTTAACCCAGCAGGAATCTGACCATGCACATGCAGCACAGGCCACAACTTACCGCGTCACTGGACATGATGTGGGTGTCACGGTGCCTGACTGGCGCCTCGGTGTGACCGCACCTGATCAGAGTGGTCACACTATCTCAATGCCCAATCGGCACCACGATGTGACCGCATCTGATAGGTGAGGTCACACTAAAGTAGGGAGAGGTTAGTCACCTTACCTCCAAAATCTCTCCCTTCATGCAGTCCTTAATACAGCGGCTGGGTCCAGCATTAGGAAGGAAGCCGGCCGCTGCAAGGCGGCGCTATGTAGTAACGCTGCCTACAATTACATCACTAGTCACATGAACGTGCGTGCGGTGTCACTTTTTGTGCCGTGCATGCAAGTTCTAGGGTTATGGGCTATTTAAACCCAAACCTGCAGTTGTTCAGTGCCCTGTCGTGGTTTCCATCCTGTTGGTTATCCGAGAGCACGTTCCTGATTCTGTTAATTGTTTTTTGATCTTGGCTTTGCTTGATTTCCCATATTTCTGGTTTCCCTGACCCTTTAGCTTTTTTATTGCCATATTTGTTCCTTTCTGTATTCCTGATCACGGCTCATGACTGTTTATTCTATTACGTTAATTCTGGCCATTCTAAGGCCCGGTAATACGTTGTTACTGTTTGTCTTTGTTACGTGTTTTACTTAATTCTGCGTGTTGGACCAGATTGCAGCATATAGTCAGTCAAACGCACCCAGGGATCCCCCCTGTAGCTGTTCAGGCCTTCTATGAGCCTTGCAGATTGGGGGTGCGTACACAGCAGCCACCTCGGGTAAGTATGATGAGCTCCCTCAGGAGTATTTATATAAGTCCAAGCCAAGATTCCGTGGCTGCCAGGATAACACCCATGGGTGAGGAAAGGGAAATGGGGTACTCCACTGAGGCTTCCAAAATCAGAGATATAAAAACAGAGAGATTGACTGTCTCCCTCACGCCAGTGTCGTCTGGTAGGCCACAGATAGGCCACAGGACTTCCCCAACAGAAAACCCACCAAAAGAAGCCAAGTTGCCTCCAATAATGAAAATCTAGTTAGTATGTCAGCAGCTTCATTAAACTGAATTGGGGCAATTAATATGCTGTCAAAAAGGCTAATATTCAGGAGGTCTGGTGGAGCTCAAGCCTCATATGACTGCTTCAAACCATGCCTCATCAAATAATATTCTAAGGTACTTCGATGCCCTCTTTAATGGGGGGCACATTACACATTAGCTGTTTCAAAGCACATTGCAAATAGTAAGAGCACACAAATGTATTCTACCTAATGTGAAAACAGCAATGAAATTGGAATAATCGCTATATCTGGGCAACATATAAAGGTGAAGATGACTATATGGCTATAATCTGTTTCCTTTTTTTTAAAGCTAAAATATCATGTAATGTGGGTTTTGTTATTTACAAAATAATATTTCAGTATTTTCCCTGTAAAGTGTATATATATATATTTTTTCCCTGTGTTTCCACTCAGGATTAAAATTCTGGAGGTGAATCTTCCTGAATTAAATGTGAAACTAGTGCCAAATATAGGGGTTCAAGTGTCCGTAGACACCAGCTTACATATCTCAGGAAATCTGTAAGTAAATTTAGCAAAGCATATATTAAAAGCATTTATGTGTGTGTGAAATATTTGTGTGTGTGTGTGTGTGTGTGTGTAAAGAGAGTGAGAGGCATATATTATGTGATTGTCTCGTGGTTTGCTTATGTACCAAATAAAATGCATAAGGTTTGGCTGTTATTAAGACTTATCTGCAATGTTACTAATTTAAGGCAAGATGGTCACTTTAGAGCAAAAAAACCCTCATATTATCTACTAACTCCTTATGACCAAAGCTCTTTTGAGATGCAACACTTTTGCGACCAAGGCATTTTGGCACTTCTGCCATGCATTCATTTTGCCACAATTGTATCCTGTTTAAGTGCACCCATACATGATTTATATCTCCATAGTATATCTACTTAATAGGTACAGTCCCTATATTGGGTCCAAACCCCCTTCTCCCTCTTTTGTATTCTTTTGTCCCTCTTTAAAAGGAGTTTAATATTCTTGGTATGTCTGCATTTATACCAGAGCTCCACAGCAATAATACTCTCAGTCACATGTCTTTAAAGTGACTCTATAGGCACCAAAACAATTTTAGCTTAATGAAGCAGTTTGGTTGTACAGATCATCCCCCAGCAGTCTAACTGATCAATTCTCTGCCATTTAGGAGTTAAATCACTTTGTGTATGTAACTGTAGCCACACCTTCCTGCATGTACATTACACAGCTTTCCTAAACACTTCGTATAAAGTGAGATCGAATTTTAAAATTTGCTTTATTGCACATTCTGTTTAATTTAGGATGTCTTATCCCCTGATCTGTTGATAGCCTTCTAGACCATGCAGGAGCCTGTGTGTGATTAAAGTTCAATTTACAGAGAAGGATTTAAAAACAACTTCTAAAGCAAGTTAACTTCTGATTAAAAATTAAATTTTCATGCAGACTGTGTGAATCACAGCCAGGTGAGGTTTGGCTAGATCAAATGAACAGAAACAAAATTATTTAAGTCCTAAATAGAAGACAATTTAGAAGTGAGGCTGCAGAGGCATGATCTATACACCAAAACTGCTTCATTAAACTAAAGTTGTTTTGATGCCTATTGTATCCCTTTAAACTCTAGTAAATGTGTTTAGAAATCACTCTGTAAATAATTTACCTTGATCTTGTTCTAAATTACATTTTAGTTGCGTAAATTGTTATTAGTAAGACAGCTAAAATGTATCAGCCCCGCCCCTGGTCACATTCCCACTCACACCTCTAAAATGAAAGTGTCCCTCTTTGTCCATTTGAAATGTTGGAAGGTCTGAAATCATGTATTGTTTTACTACTCTAATAGTAGTCAAACAATCCGGTCACTTCTCTGGAATTGACACCATTGGGTAAAAACACTGTAGCCTTCCGAATAAAAATCTTTATTCCTAACGCTATAGTGTCTCCCTTTTCCATATTCCTATTCAGCACTCCTCCCACTTCTGGATGTATTAAAATTTTAAAAAAGTATTACTTGGCTTTTTCAAGCTTCAAGGCTGTCTCTCATCGCTGTTCAGCTCCCTTTCTGCCGCAACTTCATGGAGGAGGCCAATTCAGTGCTAGCAGAGCATAGGGGACCTAATGTGTAAGCACAGCAAGCTTTACCCGGCCAGTGCTGTGGAACCACCTCTAGTGGCTGTTGTACTAAAAGCCACTAAGAGTTGGACTTAATCACGGATTGTAAATGTTGCTGTTTCTCAAAAACTGCACTGCTTTATACTGCGGGGTTAAAAAGACAGGACCACTGCACCCTGGCCACTTCATTAAGATGAAGTGCTCTTGGGGACAGTAGTGTCAATTTATGGTTTATCCCCTTAAGGACCAAACTTCTGGAATAAAAGGGAATTATGACATGTCACACATGTCATGTGTCCTTAAGGAGTTAAGTGTAATAGGACATTTAGTTGCACACTCTATGATAATTGTACAAATAGCTCAATATCGATTTGAGATCTAACAATTTCTACAAAAATATAATCTTCATTAGATTGTTCCCACTGTAAAAAGGTCTTCCTTCCTGAGGCCCAATGAATATATATATCTGTTCCAATAACTGAAGCAGATTTAAAACTCAGCTTTGTGTCCAGACCTAGAGGTCGCCTACATCATTAATGAACAAACCTTTATATTTCTACAGTGTAATTGTTGGTGGAATTGAACTAAAAGTCGGAGCTGGAGTCCTTGCCGATGTAAGAGTTTCAAAGACAAAAGGAGGATTTCCTATCTTGGCTGTTACTGCCTGCAAGTCCATTCTTGGAGATATCGATATCACAGTTGGAGGTTTTGGGTAATTAATAAAACAGTTATATATTAGAAAAAATATTTTATTTACTTGATACTGCACACGGCAGATCATGTTTTAGAATCCTGTGCAAATGTAGCAACTATTCCTCATAATGAACAGGTAATAATGCACAGGATATTTCACATTAGAAATTACGGTTGAATTTTGACACTTTATTGCATAGCCTCATAGCCTCATATACGTATCAATGTGCACATTCGAGCTGTTTATATATTTGTATTCTGATGCCACCTAGTGACCAAAAATGGAAAGGGTTAGTGTCTATCCAACAAATGATTTGCCTGTCTGTAATTTATATCAAATCAGGGCAGTGACGCAAAAACAAAAATTCATGACAGACAAAATAAAATAAAAAGTTGCAGATAAATACAAAATATTGTTTGGTTTACTCAGCATCAAGTATGTAAAGAAACTAAAAAGGTTTCAACTGAGCACCCTAAATTCATATTTTTTTATTTACATTAGTATACAAAAATGACCATGCAGACTTTACTTGGTGTAGTAGTTGTATAAATCTGAAATTCAGGTAAACACACAGTGACAAGAGACAATGCTGCAGGCCCAAGACAACAGTCAACAAGCTGTCAGATGAAAAAAGATTTGCGTAAATCAAGTTCGCTTTTCTTACATTTATTTTTGCTGCTGATCTCAAATAATGCAAAATACACAAAATTAAGCACAATTCAATTTTGCAAAAAACTAGGGGAAAAAAATAGTCTCAACCCCAGAATGGCACTTGCATCTTTCCTTGGATCAAGAACTTATACCCTACATACTAAACATTATATTCAGGGCTGGATTGAAGGCCTCATGGGCCTGGAGCTGAAAGTTTTGATGGCTCCAATTACAGGAGTAAATGAAAGGAACATTCCAACCACCATAGCTACTACAAAGTGCTACAGTGCCAAGAGTACGCTGGGGCCTCCAATGTAGGTAGTTAAAACAATTTGACTTTTAACCTGGGATCTGCCATGCATTGCTCACCGACTCAACTACCCTAGTCAAAAGCTCTTGCTTAGGAGCTTCCATTAGCTCTCCTGAGCTTAGCCGTGAAGTGGCTGTGAGCATAAGCAGTGCAATGTTTAGCTCAGACAGCATTTCAGAGAGCATCTGACACTTTGGTTGAGGAAGAGGAGGCCGGAGCAGACCCCAGGTAAAAAATAAAACCATTTTGAAATGATTGGTTTACATAAAATAGGGGTAGAGGTTATGGTGCTTGAAGCGTTTCTTTAATTGGATGTTGTAGACATATCTAAAACTATACCCATGTTTCCATAAAAATGATTTGTAGTGGGCATATGTAAACCCTAATTGCATACACATATGCACAATAGATAGATCAGTCTTATATAAGACGGTTAGCATGTGATGTCTTTAGTGTTGTTTTGCTACCCTATGTCTAGCCAGGTTTTTTTCACCCTCCCTTATATATACAATAAGGGGTGTAACTAGTGGTGTTCTAAGGAGGGGTGGGGGCACCCGGTACGGGGGTGACACCAGGGCTGGCCAGGCTTGGGGTTCTGTTAGCTGTATGGCTGCACAGGGCGCCATAGCAGCAGGGGTGCTGGGCAGCCAACACAGCTCTCACACACAGGGGCAAGGGGGCCAAAAATAGGAACCGCACCGGGTGCCGAATGCTCTAGGTATGCCCCTGGGTGTAATCAATATCGCATGAAATGTAGTGAACTGATATTTAACCACTTAGTGACCGCGCCAAAAAACGGTCGTTAACGACAGCTGTACCCTGTACATCCACTGCCAAGATAAGCCACTCTAAGGGTATTACACAATGCCTCAATATCAAGGCATCGTGGAATACCCCCCCGCCCACTGCCTGGCACCCGAGTGATCACTACACCCGGAGCGATCACTCAGGCAGGCTTCCAATGCTCTGCCTGTACTAAGTGCCTCGAAGGGTCGAGGCACTCAGTAAATGTTTTGTTTTTTTTAAATAAAAATATTAACCCCCTACCCTGCCTCCCTCCCCATGTACTTACCGATCGGCGCCGTTCCCCTGCCGGCGAGCAGTGTTCTTCTGAGGGAGACTGTCTGGACTCAGCCCAGACAGTCCCCCTTCTGCAATTTAGGACCCCCAGGGGCCATGTGACCGCTCTAGAAGAGCTGCCAGCAGGTGGACTGCCTGAACTGACATCTTATATATAACGTCATACAAAGTGTATTTTTTTTATTATTAAATACATATATACATATATTAATATCAAAATACATTTAGACTAAAATTACACACGTGTGTATATATATATATATAAAACTATAAATAAAAAAATGTAAATGTAAAAATAATATTTAAAACATTATATATATATGTATATATATCTATGTAATTTTATTATAACTGTATTTTTATATTAATATATATAATATATATATATATTTATATCAAAAAACACATATATATATATATATGATAGCACTCAAAGGACTTCAAAATAGACACAGAACTGAAACGTTGATCCACTGTGGCAGTTGCTGAATAAAACGTTTTGACCCTCCTGGGTCTTTATCGTGATCTTGATAAAGACCCATGAGGGTCAAAACATTGATGGTTTATTAAATTCACAATTAGAAAAATTCCATAAGGAGTGCTCCGTTTACTACTTTCTTATATTTGGCGCTGGAAGCACCCAGGTATTCCAGGTTATATTTATCTAATGGTGTGTGCCGGAGGCAGGACTGTATATATATATATATATATATATATATATATATAGAAACTATACAATTTCTGGCACTCTTCCCAAATAATAATACATACCAGGTGCTTCTCTGTGCAAAATACTATAAACAAAGCAAAAAATGAGAGCACTCCATGGATTTGGTAAATCAAATTACTGTATTCAAATAGCACACAAAAAAATCGACGTTTCGACCGTCTAGCGGTCTTTATCAAGATGCTGTCATATACAAAAACCTCAAATATATACATAAACGCTTGTTAAACTTACCCAATCACCAAGTGCTCCCTGTGTGTCCAATCTGCCATATGAGTGAAGCCGCAAATTGTGGATCGTTGTGTTAATTGCCGTAAAGTGACGTGTGGTGAAATCACCATGTGTTGCCTAGAGACGGCACCGCTGTTTAAAAACCAAATGTCGGCAGAGATTTAAAATCAATACGGAGGATAAATAAAATTATATGTTGCATATGTGTTTTCATAAATGTCTAAGCAACTGCCTAACTGATCGTAGGGTACTAGAGTGAGCCAGGAATGGCTAGAAACGATTGCTCATATAGGGACTCAGTTAGAAAGACTGGTGTATTGGTAACTGTGGACCTGTGTAGCCTAATAGAGCTAACTCAAATACTACCTAACTCCTTATTAAATTGGAAACCCTAGCTGGGAAAGCCATGTGTGTTGCCAAATCACAAACCTAAACAATAAGAACAGGCATCAATTACAGAAAACAGGCTGGCTTAGCATAATGTGAGTTGTCAGTATATAACAGAGAGTGTGTGTGATGTTGACCCTTTATCTACTGGGGTCCATTTATAGTGTAGAGTGATCAGCATGTGTGTGATGAAATAAATAAACACAGGGAATATTAAATGGTGAGTGACAAATCAGTATGTGTGAATTCCAAACTAGTAAAAAATAAAGCAAGAATGAGAAAATCCTGTACTAAATCAATCTACGGTATGTATGTGAAACACTGTAGAAAAGAGTGTGTGTGTGCTACTAAGATCATTCTCCGGTGTGTGTGTGAAATGATGTAGTAAAAAATGTGAGTATACTGCCTGACCTCTAGAAATGAGAAAATCAATGAAAAGTGAAAAAGACTGTGCAGCTGAAACATGCACTAAAAGTGTAATGAGCCCTCGTGAATAATGAGAATGCACTGTCAGAAAGGTAAGAATGCAATAAAAAAAATAAATAAATAAATAAATAAGTAAATAAATAAAATGAAATAAAAAATATATACAAAATACAATGAAATAAAAATAAATATAAAAATAAATAAAAAATATAATAAAAATAAAAATAACAAAAAATAAAAATAGTAAAAATAAACAATAATGAGAAAATAAACAATAAAAAATGTGACAGTGATCCTACTAACTATATGCCAGTGCAGCCTCCAAGATCGGCATGCTAGGTAATGGAAAAAAGAAAAATTAGGTAAAAGGAGAGAGGGTCCTACTATAAGAACCTTATGTCACTGGGTATTTATCAAAAAGCCAAAAGTGCCTAGATGTATGTACTATCCCCAATCACCAATTGGAAGTCCACAACCCTTTCTTGCAGCTCTGTATTGTAACTCCCACCGGCAGGAAATCAGATGGAAATAATTCAAAATGTCCTCTTTATTATGGGATGGTCATTTATTGGAACCGATAGCTAAATACGTGGATTTTTATTGTAAGTCCACAGTCTCTAGATTATTCACATGCCTAAGGGATACCCAAGACTTCCTTAATAAAATCACCAGCTGTGAATTAAACGACACACAGTACATCTTCGCCACGGCAGATGTAAAAAATTTGTACACGGTGATTCCTCACAATATGGGGATGGATGCGATGCGAACACTGCTATTACAATCAGATGTCTATGAAGGTCCCCCCATTGAATTTTTGTTAGAAGGATTACAACTTACATTGACAAACAATTATTTTCGTTTTGAAAAGAATTTCTACATTCAAGAGATGGGAACTGCGATGGGATCGGCAATAGCTCCAACATATGCGAATAGTTTTATGTATGCATATGAGAGCAGACACATTCTGTCCACATATAAGGAACATTTGATACAGTATCACAGGTTTGTGGACGACATCTTTATTTTATGGCAAGGCACGGCAACAGAATTGGAGAAGATGATTGAAGAACTGAACAATTTAAACTCCACCATTAAATTTACTTTGACGTACAGCCCAGATAAAATCCAATTCTTGGATGTGGAGATATTCCGGAAGGATCGAAACATTGGACATCGATTATTTAGAAAACCCTCAGACCGCAACACGCTGCTACACGCCAACAGCGCTCATCCCAAAGCCCTAAAGGAGTCTTTACCTATTTCGCAATACTTAAGAGTGTACAGGAATAACTCGGAGGAAAGCACATGTAAAACTCAACTAGAGGACATGACCAGATCCTTTGTGGAACGAGGATACACATATAAAGTGCTCCAAGAATGTCAAATAAAAGCAGAAAATATATACAGGGGCATATCTACTAAACAACTTCAAAATCTGCCCAGAATTACGATCCCTTTATCATACCACACGGAGAGCCAGAGATTTTCCCACAGGATTAAAGGTAGATGGGACATCTTATCCAGCGACAGAACACTTAATCCGGTTTTTTTACAGAAACCAAGGGTCGCATATTCACGCAACAGAAACTTGAAGGACATTTTAGTAAAAACAGATATACCGAGCCAATATAATACACGAACATTGCATACCAAGAAAGGCTGTTTCAAGTGTTCAGGTTGCGTCACCTGTGGACACATGCTGACAGGCTCTTCCTTTGCACATCCCCACACAGGCAAAAGAATCCAGATCAAACATCGACTAACCTGCATGAGTGACCATGTAGTATACCTCATTTCATGCCCATGTGGGAAATATTATGTGGGTAAAACAGACCTTACAGTAAGGGACCGTATTCGTGGTCACAGATCAGGAATCATGACGGCGTACCGGGATGGGAAGACTGATAAACCTGTGGCAAAACACTTCCTAGATTTCCAACACCATTTACCCACGCTTAAGTTCATTATGATAGACCACATCCCACCGCTCACAAGAGGAGGCGACAGATCAAAGTTACTTTTACAAAGGGAAACCTTTTGGATCACACATCTGGATACGGTCCAACCGAAAGGATTAAACGAATACAACTCATTTAGTTGTTTTTTGGATATCCGTTGATATCGCTGAGCAGTAAATGACTTGGATGCGAGATTTTGACTCAGGATTTAATGACCATCCCATAATAAAGAGGACATTGTGAATTATTTCCATCTGATTTCCTGCCGGTGGGAGTTACAATACAGAGCTGCAAGAAAGGGTTGTGGACTTCCAATTGGTGATTGGGGATAGTACATACATCTAGGCACTTTTGGCTTTTTGATAAATACCCAGTGACATAAGGTTCTTATAGTAGGACCCTCTCTCCTTTTACCTAATTTTTCTTTTTTCCATTACCTAGCATGCCGATCTTGGAGGCTGCACTGGCATATAGTTAGTAGGATCACTGTCACATTTTTTATTGTTTATTTTCTCATTATTGTTTATTTTTACTATTTTTATTTTTTGTTATTTTTATTTTTATTATATTTTTTATTTATTTTTATATTTATTTTTATTTCATTGTATTTTGTATATATTTTTTATTTCATTTTATTTATTTACTTATTTATTTTTTTATTTTTTTATTGCATTCTTACCTTTCTGACAGTGCATTCTCATTATTCACGAGGGCTCATTACACTTTTAGTGCATGTTTCAGCTGCACAGTCTTTTTCACTTTTCATTGATTTTCTCATTTCTAGAGGTCAGGCAGTATACTCACATTTTTTACTACATCATTTCACACACACACCGGAGAATGATCTTAGTAGCACACACACACTCTTTTCTACAGTGTTTCACATACATACCGTAGATTGATTTAGTACAGGATTTTCTCATTCTTGCTTTATTTTTTACTAGTTTGGAATTCACACATACTGATTTGTCACTCACCATTTAATATTCCCTGTGTTTATTTATTTCATCACACACATGCTGATCACTCTACACTATAAATGGACCCCAGTAGATAAAGGGTCAACATTACACACACTCTCTGTTATATACTGACAACTCACATTATGCTAAGCCAGCCTGTTTTCTGTAATTGATGCCTGTTCTTATTGTTTAGGTTTGTGATTTGGCAACACACATGGCTTTCCCAGCTAGGGTTTCCAATTTAATAAGGAGTTAGGTAGTATTTGAGTTAGCTCTATTAGGCTACACAGGTCCACAGTTACCAATACACCAGTCTTTCTAACTGAGTCCCTATATGAGCAATCGTTTCTAGCCATTCCTGGCTCACTCTAGTACCCTACGATCAGTTAGGCAGTTGCTTAGACATTTATGAAAACACATATGCAACATATAATTTTATTTATCCTCCGTATTGATTTTAAATCTCTGCCGACATTTGGTTTTTAAACAGCTGTGCCGTCTCTAGGCAACACATGGTGATTTCACCACACGTCACTTTACGGCAATTAACATAACGATCCACAATTTGCGGCTTCACTCATATGGCAGATTGGACACACAGGGAGCACTTGGTGATTGGGTAAGTTTAACAAGCGTTTATGTATATATTTGAGGTTTTTGTATATGACAGCATCTTGATAAAGACCGCTAGACGGTCGAAACGTCGATTTTTTTGTGTGCTATTTGAATACAGTAATTTGATTTACCAAATCCATGGAGTGCTCTCATTTTTTGCTTTGTTTATATATATATATATATATATATACACATACATACATACACACGTATTATATGTATGTGTGCATATATATTATAAACTGGAAAAACATTGTTTTCATAGAAAACGAATAAAAATGCTAACTTTGGCCAGCGTTTGTGGCTACTACCAAAGACTGGACATACCACATTTTTAATACCCTGGGTTGTCTACATTTGAAAATGGTATGCCATGATGAGGTTATTTCACATTCCTGGACTACCATATGGTCTCAAAATGCAACACAGACCCAGCAAACCAATCTGGCAAACTTAATTGAGCAAGCCCTATATTGACCCTGTAACTTTCCAAAACACCATAAAACCTGTACATGGGGGGTATTTTTATACTCGGGAGACTTCGCTGAACACAAATATGAGTGTTTAAAACAGTAAAACTTATCACGACGATGAAATCACCAGTAAAAGTGACGTTTTTGTGTAAAAAAAAATGCAAAAAACAAATAAAAATGCTAACTTTGGCCAGCATTTGTGACCAAGTCGCTACTAAAAAAGACTGTACAGACCCCATTTTGAATACCGTGGGTTGTCTACTTTTACAAATGGTATGCCATGAGGGGGGTCCATTTTTATTCCTGGGCTGCTATACGGTCTCAAAGGCAACATAGGACCAACAAACCAATCTGGCAAATTTCAATGTGCAAACATAGAAAAGGGGAAAGCCCTACATTTGACCCCTGTAAGTTTGCAAAAACCCATAAAACCTGCACATTGGGGGCACTGTTGTACTCGGGAGATATTGCTGAACACATATTGGGGTGTTTTCTGTCAGTAACAATAACAGGAACTGAAAATCCATGCCTAAAATACAAGAGAAAAATAACACAAAAAATGAATACCCAAAAGGTTGGCAAAGACTGATGGTAGAATAAGCCCATGGAAAGTGTCTAGCGTGTCTACTTTTCAAAAATATATGGTTTGATGGCGGTAAATTACATTGGCCGGCTTCAAAAATGTCCCAAATAGGACAGGGTCGAACAGTTGTGTTTTTTTAAAAAATTTTCATCATATTTTAGAATTTTTTTATAGTAAATTATATGATGTGATGAAAACAATGGTATCTTTTGAAAGGCCATTTAATGGAGATAAGAACAGTTTATAATATGTTTGGTTACAGTAAATGAGTCAGAGGAAAATTACAGCTAAACACAAACACCGCAGAAATGTAAAAACAACCCTGGTCCCAAACGATAAGAAAATTGAAAAGTGGTCTGGTCACTAAGGGGTTAAACTCCAACTCAATTGTAGTCACATTTTGGCTACTATAGCCTGCGCTTTACAATTCAGATTTCAAATTACTACAAATGGGTAGTTGGTGCGTAACCCTATATCAGTGTTTCCCAACCCAGTCCTCAAGGCACACCTACCAGTCCAGGATTTAGGGATTACCCAGTTGTGTCTAAGGTGTTTTTTTTCTTCTTTGTAAAAACACCTTAGACACAACTGGGTAATCCCTAAATCCTGGACTGGTAGGTGTGCCTTGAGGACTGGGTTGGGAAACACTGCCCTGTATCATGCACTGACATATGTATGTAATGTGTAAACTGCCAACACTACCTTCCCATTTTTATTTTTAGTTTACAGTATAACTCCCACTCAGCACTGATTGAGCTTGGAGTGGTACGCCACAAAAGCATCTGATGATGAGTTTGTCTCAACTTGTCATCCAATGCAACTCTCATCATACTCAGCCAGATTCAGGCTCCATATGATGACCGCTGTAGATCATAGTTGGGGTTGGGGGCTCCTCATTGCAGTCTCCAGCAGCGTGCCCATACCATGCTGTGTTCTGTTACTGCAAAAAACCTATACATTTTTTATGTAATTTAATAAATACCCAAAATGCACAAATAAAAGGCCTTAGGATCACTGTACATGATTATCTTTTCTTCATGAATATAATATTTTTTTTAAATCCATTTTTAGATTACTTCGTCCAATTGTGAGGGCTATACAAGGGCATATTCATGCCATCCTCGGTGAAAGGGTAAGTAAAGTGAAAATAAAAGATTAAGATAATTATAAACATAGTCTACAAAACGAATGACAAATTAGGAAAAAAAAAGGCATTTTAGAGGGAATGTGATAACGATATAAAAAATATATACTGGGTTGATACAAGTATTGGTAAAGTTTTATTTAACATGGCTGTGGGAAAAACAACACAAGGTTAACCAATGAGAAAAGAGGAAAGGAGATATCACCTAGCTCAGCAGAAAGAGTTCTCTATGGTAAAAGATTAATAATTCATTATTAGGAAATGTCATTAGAGCACACAATTTAGGCCGAAATTGCCACATTGTGACTATGGATGAGTTGGAGAATTTTTTTCCTGATCACGTTTTTGTGCCTAAATAATGCAATTTTGCAATTTGTTTTCCTTTAATTAACTATATTTCTCGAAATATAATTTAATTCACTGTAATTCTAGAAGTTTATTGGAAGTAAATTAAGCCCGTAGTAAAGAATTTGTTTCTGAATATATTTATTTTAAATTGAATATATTATGGAACAACCTATTGGAATAATTTGATACCGTGTTTCTCCGAAAATAAGACCGGGTCTTATATTAATTTTAGTCACAAAAAAACACACTAGGGCTTATTTTCAGGGTAGGGCTTATTTATTTACGGTACCAGTATGTACATTGAACCCCCCCTTTAATTAATCCACCCCCCCCTTTAATAAATCCACCCCCCTCTAATTAATCCACCCCCTCTAATTAATCCAGCCCACCCTTTAATTAATTCCCCCCCTCTAATTAATCCAGTCCACCCTTTAATTAATTCACCCCCTTTAATTAATTCACCCCCTCTAATTAATCCAGCCCACCCTTTAATTAATTCACCACCCCTTTAATTAATTCACCCCCCTCTAATTAATCCAGCCCACCCTTTAATTAATTCACCACCCCTTTAATTAATTCACCCCCTCTAATTAATCCAGCCCACCCTTTAATTAATTCACCCACCCTTTAATTAATTCACCCCCTCTAATTAATCCAGCCCACCCTTTAATTAATTCACCACCCCTTTAATTAATTCACCCCCTCTAATTAATCCAGTCCACCCTTTAATTAATTCACCCCCCTTTAATTAATTCACCCCCCTCTAATTAATCCAGCCCACCCTTTAATTAATTCACCCCCCTCTAATTAATCCAGTCCACCCTTTAATTAATTCACCCCCCTTTAATTAATTCACCCCCTCTAATTAATCCAGCCCACCCTTTAATTAATTCACCCCCTTTAATTAATTCACCCCCCCTTTAATTAATTCACCCCCCCACCCCCTTTAATTAATTCAATTAATCCCAGACATAAAATATCTAGCGGTACTCACATTTCAAAGATTCCTTGCCGAGTCCGACCACTGGGAGCCTCACCGCCCGGAAATGGATCCTTCCGCTGAAGATCCGTGAAGGCAGACTGACGGCGCTGCAAAATGTCGTCATCACGTTGCGTGACGCTCCTCCTACAGCAGAAGAAGGAAGTCTCGCCGCAAAGGTACAATGCCTAGGTCTTATTTTCGGGGTAGGGCTTATATTGCAGCCCACCCCGAAAATCCGACTAGGGCTTATTTTCGGGGTAGGGTTTATTTTCGGGGAAACACGGTACATGGAAAATTGTGTGGACATTTTTTTAAAGATGATGCTTTATATACTATTGTCACTTTTGTACCTGAGTACAAATTGCATTGGGTTACACGTTACATAGGGCTTGATTTTTATATTTTTGGATAAGCTTTTCTAAAGGTTTAATATTGTTGGAATAAACTTTTAAGTGATTTTTTTCAAAATATTGAAATATAAATAATATATCATATATATAAAAATATTAATATAGAAAAATCTAATTTAAAAATCTAAATATTTTTCAAATGATTACATCATTTTAAAAATGTATCCAAAAATATTTAATCTTTTTCAAAGTCTGTCCAGAAAAATTAAATCAAGGCCATGATTACACACTACTACTAGTGTAAAATTAAAAAGAAATCCTTTTAATTTAATTTTTTTGATACCATAATTATTCTTACGTGTGCAACGTGTGTAACTTTTTAAAAATGCCTTTTTACAACTATAAATATTCTACTAGCTCCCAAGTTTACAGCAATTATTATTCACAATTAATTTTAAAATCCCAGCAATTTGTGCACCTCTTGACGCAGAACTTGAAGCATAAAAGATAAAAATAAAAGCAAAGTGCTGAGCCAGAATAGTCTAGTTAATACTAATATAAATATAATGTATTAATAATACTTTTCAGGTAGAGGTTTAGGCTGAGTTAAGGTAAACCAAGAAAAGTTTTCAAGTATGTGGTTAGGATTAGTGGTATATCAAATTAAGGATTAGGGTGAACAGGTAAAGCTATCAGTATATCAGTAAAATTTTAGAATTAGGAAACAGAGAAAAGGAATAGGGATAGGGAATGTGTGGAAGGATTAGAACATAGAAATAGAGTATTTGCTTCCACAAAGAAAAATGATTTAACCCCAAATAACTCTAGAAATGGACTGCTCTGCTTCTTCTAATCCTTGACCAGTGCATTTCCGGTCCCTAGTAATTCCTCAGACCGTCATGATCACATTTAGCATGTACTCAATTAATAAATGCAAAAACTGAATTTGATAAAGAAAATTGGCCCTAATCAACAGGACAAAAGTCCATTTTATTTTGTTCTTTACTCCCTTAATAATTTGAATGAAAAAAAATATAATATAATATAATTTTATGAGAAATAATATATAAAGAAAGCTTGGGATAGCCATGTTGCTGTCATTATACAAAATACAAAATAAGCAGGAGGCTAAACTGGATTAAACATTTTTTTTAGACGAGCAGAATACATGTTTGAGTTGGCTTCCTGGCTCTAATCAAAATCTTTATTTCTATGACCTATGAATGTATCTCCCTTACAGCTATGCGTATCAGTTTCTAATGTATTCCTGGGATTGAATGCAGATTTGGGTCTAATGGCTGGTAAGTTTAACTTTTTAGGAGGTTAATATTTATTTCCTTTACTCACACAATAAACTAATTTTTGTTTAATGAACAAATATTACATAATGGCAACATAATAAATAGAATAAGAGAGTTATATATATATATATATCACACAACTTAAATGAAAACATATGAGTTATAAACTATAGGGAGACATACTCATGGATTCATTCACCTAACTAGAACAACATTTGAGAGAACTAAGCTAAAATCTTTGAAAATTGCGATTTTTGTGTGCATCAATAATCTGATTATGGATAGTTAAAAGGATACGATAGGATCCAAAACAACTTTAGATTAATGAAGCAGTTTTGATCTATAGATCATGCCCATGCAGATTTCAGTGTTCAATTATCTGCCATTTAATAGTTAAATCATTTTGTTTATGCTGCCTCAGCCACACCTCCCTGCATATGACTTACACGGCCTTCATAAGCACTTCCTGTAAAGAGTGATCTAAAATTTAAACTTCCATTATTGCAGTCTGCTTAATTTAGGATTTCTTATCTCCTGCCATGTTAATAGACTAGAGTTTGCAGGAGTCTCCTGTGTGAGTGATTAAAATTGTATTTGCAGAGTTAAGAGTAAAGTAAGTTAAGAGCTGATTGAAATTGAATTTTCTTTTTTTTATGTCAAACACAGCTAGAGAAGGTGTAGCTAGGGCTGCATAAACAAAAGTTATTTCACTCCTAAATGGCAGAGACTTGAGCACTAAGTCTTCATTGATATAATCCATACATCCAAACTGCTAAAGTTGCTTTGATATAGTATCCAATTATTCTATCATTATGATGGCCATACTGCTACTTTAATTTCAAATGCATAGAAATGTTATATCCAGCAGGGAGTTTTTTCCCTTTATTAATTTTATTATTTTATTTCCAAAAGTCAAAACACAGAGAGTAGACACATCAATGTAATCTTGTTGGATAAACTTTTAAAATGATTTAATATTATAAAAAAAAGTTTAAGTTTGTAATATTTTAATATTTTTTGATATAATGATAAAGCTGTTTTAAATATTATATGTTTTTAATATTTTAATATTTTGAAAATCTTTTCATTTGAAAATCTTATCCAACAATATGAAATCGAGGCCAGAATTGCTTAAGTGCAGATAAATACACAGTTTCAAAAAAAATGTAAGTCAAAATATATATATAAAAGACAGATACTATGCCCAACATATACACAAATAACAACAGGATTATTCACTAAAGTAAGAATTCAAAGTGAATCCATGGTGAATTTCAAATTTAAAGGACCACTATAGGCACCCAGACCATTTCAGTTCAATAAAGTGGTCTCGGTGCCAGGTCCCCATAGTTTTAAAGAACCACTATAGTGCCAGGAAAACATACTTGTTTTCCTGGCACTATAGTGCCCTGAGGGTGCCCCCACCCTCAAGGTACACCTCCCGCCTGGCTCTGGAAGGGGGAAAGGGGTAAAAACTTACCTTTTTCCAGCGCTGGGCGGGGAGCTCTCCTCCTCCGATCCTCCACCGTTCCTCCCCGTCGGCTGTATGCGCACACGCTGCAAGAGCTGCGCACGCATTCAGCCGGTCGCATAGGAAAGCATTATGAATGCTTTCCTATGGACGCTTGCGTGCTCTCACTGTGATTTTCACAGTGAGAATCACGCAAGCGCCTCTAGCGGCTATCAATGAGACAGCCACTAGAGGATTTGGGGGAAGGCTTAACCCATTCATAAACATAGCAGTTTCTCTGAAACTGCTATGTTTATAAAAGAATGGGTTAAGCCTAGCTGGACCTGGCACCCAGACCACTTCATTAAGCTGAAGTGGTCTGGGTGCCTAGAGTGGTCCTTTAACCCTGCAGCTGTAAACACAGCAGTTTTTAGAGAAAATGCTATGTTTACATTGAGGGTTAATCCAGCCTCTAGTGGCTGTCTCCCTGACAGCCGCTAGAGGCGCTTTCACGATCCTCAATGTGAAAAAAACTGAGTAATGCTTTCCTATGGGCGGTTTGAATGCGCGCGCGGCTCTGGCCGTGCATGTGCATTCGGAGCTGACGTCGGCAGGGGGAGGAGAGGTCACCAGCAACAAGGGAGCCCGGCGCTGGATTAAGGTAAATGGCTGAAGGGGTTTTAAGGTAAATGGCTGAGGTGGGCCCTGAGGGAGGGGGGACCTAATAACCCTATAGTGCCAGGAAAACAAGTTTGTTTTCCTGGCACTATAGTGCTCCTTTAAGGTCAAACTTGCCAAACTGTAAAAATTCAAGTCAGCGTAAGCCCTGCAATATTGCACGCCTAAGGGAACAGGGACACTGCACCTAGCCCACTTCAAATAGATGAAGTTGTCCTAGTGCTTGTAGTATCCCTTTAAAGAGATACAAAAAAATAGTTACAAATTACACATTTGCATTTCTAACAGTCTTATGCCTCTGTATTGTGATCTAGGCACCCTTAAAACAACTATAAATGGTTACTTTTAAATTAGAACATTATCATATAATAATACAATACCATCACTTTTACGAGGGTAGATCTTTGAGCCTGCATACAATAACCTAAAATGTTAAAAAAAAAATCAAAAAAAATCAGAAGGATGGGAAGTGCATCAGAATAATTTAAATAGGAGCTGATTATTAAAGCAGATCTCTCATGTTGTGTTTCTTTTTTGTTTCAAAAACACATAGGCTACCGTTGCAATTGCTTGGGTCTGCAAATAATATTCAATATTGTCATCAATTTGATACCTACCCCGTGTTTGTGCTAAAAGAGCTGTTTTTCCAGCATCATGGAAGAATAGATAGCCACGTTTAAGATGCTTTTCCGACTTGGCTTATTGAAAGTCAAACCATACAGCATATTGTTACATAAACATAGAATGTCACACCGTTAACTCTAATTATCCTATCCCACTTGCATCTTACTAACACAAGAAGCACAAACATTGTTAATGGATTTCACTTGAACGTCTATTTTTTCTTTTCTTTTTTTTTTTTTTGTATTCTTTATTTGTGTGCTTTTACGTAAATTCAGGTAAGAGGGGGAAGGGGTAAAGAAGGGAAGGATAGGAGGGGGTAGGGATGGGTGGGAAACGTGTATTATTTCAAGGTCCGAATCTTGCCTTTCTTGCTTTCTGCAGGAATCACTCCAATCAGTGAAGATATGGAATTACAATATACTGTTGAAAATCCTCCTGTTGTAACTGATGACTACATGGACATGGAAATGAATGTAAGTGAGGGTGCACCTTACTTGACTGTTTCAAGACAACTGCTTAAGAAAGGTGCATGTTACATGTTAATTCATTTTGAATCAAAATTGCAGGTGAACACCATAAAAACAAGACAGTTTTCTTAAAAAGAGATGACCATGTCCATCTAATGATTCAAGAAGTCACAATGTACTAGAACACTTTAAAAATTCCATTAAAAATTGAATCTTCCATATCTAAGGGGTTTAAAAGCAGAACTATATTTGATGGTCCTGGAACATTATGGGACCATTTAGGCTGGAGGCTTGTCACAAATGTATTTACTGTTGTGACTGACTTACCTTGAGGCCTGCACAGTGTTTTGTAGTTTGCTGGGATTGCTTGATACGTAGATGTCAGTTAAATAGGTGCATGGGTGCTGGATATATTGAGACATTGAAAGTCAGGAGTGATACTAGGAGGTAGATGGAATCCAGATGTATCTCCTAAATATCATTCTTTACAAGGAAACATGGTCACATGTGGAGTGTCAAAGGTTAATGAAGATCAATACAATATGAGTAGTCTTGAAATTGAAATGGTTTATTTAGGGTTCTGGTACACATGAGCACATCAACCTCCGGTATTCTACTAGGGAAGGGAATGTAATTAAAGTTGTGAGTGGTTTGGGGTGGCTTTTGAAAGTTGAGTTTCCATCTCACTATGACTTGCTTTGGGTACAACAGGCTGGAATGAATTGGTCTTGTTAAAAATGCGTAAAAATTTGTGCTGATTGGAGCAAGCACAGGAAAAGACCAACATTGGCTAAAGAGTGTTCTGCAACCCTTACTCTACTGTGAGGGATTTATATTCTGCAAATATATTCCAAGGGTCTTTTCAATGAGAACTAATCGCAAAGCTTGCACCGAATATTTTACCATGAAGTCTGCCAGACAGAAGGCTATAATATGCTCCATAAGGGCCATGTTGTCTGTTAAAGGACCACTATAGTGCCAGGAAAACAAACTAGTTTTCCTGGCACTATAGTGCCCTGAGGGTTCTCCACCATCATGGCCCCCCTCCCGCCAGGCTGAAGTTGGAGGAAGGGGTTAAACAATTACCTTTCTCCAGCGCTGGGCTCCCTCAGCACCGGGAACTCTCCTCCTCCTTTGGACGTCATTGCCTGAATGTGCATGGGCGGCAAGAGCCGCGCACCCATTCAGTCAGTCCATATGAAAGCATTCTCAATGCTTTCCTATGGACGCTGGTGTCTTCTCACTGTGAAAATCTCACTAGAGGCTGGATTAACCCTATTATAAACATAGCTATGCAAGTCACTAGAGGCTGGATTAACCCTATTATAAACATAGCTATGCAAGTCACTAGAGGCTGGATTAACCCTATTATAAACATAGCAATGCTATGTTTACATCAGGCAGGGTTAACCCTAGAATGACCTGGCACCCAGACTACTTCATTGAGCTGAAGTGGTCTGGGGGCCTATAGTGGTCCTTTAATAAATCAGAACTCTGAAACATGAAGTCATACCTTGATTCTCTGTTCCTTGTGAGAAACCAAAAAACACAAACAGGCACATTCAGACATCTGGCTAGGCAGATTCCCTAGTTAGATGCCAGATATGCTTCCCTCTTAGAAAAGGCAGGAACAATGATGGGGCTTTATAATCATTTTGTCCCTTCCAAAGTAGAAAAGATGCTAAATTGTTTTCCATGATAATATATGAATGTGATTATTTTTGCATTGTGTTCTCAGGCTGAATATACAGTACATGAGCAGGTGATTAAACTTCCCACCGGTGATCAAGAATTCACTCTTCCTCCAGGAGCTGGCTCTCAAGACTCTATGGTCAACATGGGATTTTCGCAAGACTTCTTTATCTCTCTGTTTATAGCCTTTCAAAACTCGGGAGGATTCAATCTGAATATACCATCAACATATGTAAGTAAAACACAATCATCATTTTTAGAATTATTAGCTAATTACATAAACATTATTTATGTTGAAATTAATGAGATATACCTTGGAACATATATCACTGACTGATTTTATTCTTTTTCATTTTTCTAGGCATCTCTGGAAAATCATCTGAGTACATCTGCACTTGGCTCCCTTATCCCTGAGGTTACTTAATTTACATTGTATTTGCTGAACAATGATATAAATGGAAGGAAAGTTATGCAAATATGCAGTTTCACAGTCAGTTATTGTATTTTACAGTTCCAAGAAAAAGTATGTGATCCCTTTGGAATGATATGAATTTCTGTACAAATTGGTCATAAAATGTGATCTGATCATCATCTAAGTCACAACAATAGACAATCACAGTCTGCTTAAACCAATAACACACAAATAATGAAATGTTGCTCCATGTTTTTATTGAACACACCATGTAAACATTCACAGTGCAGGTGGAAAATGTATGTGAACCCCTAGACTAATGACATCTCCAAGTGCTAATTGGAGTGAGAAGTCAGCCAACTGGAGTCCAATCAATGAGATGAGATTGGAGGTGTTGGTTACAGCTGCCCTGCCTTATAAAAACACACACACCAGTTCTGGGTTTGCTTTTCACAAGAAGCATTGCCTGATGTGAATGATGCCTTACACAAAAGAGCTCTCAGAAGACCTACGATTAAGAATTGTTGACTTGCATAAAGCTGGAAAGGGTTATAAAAGTATCTCCAAAAGCCTTGCTGTTCATCAGTCCACGGTAAGACAAATTGTCTATAAATGGAGAAAGTTCAGCACTGCTGCTACTCTCCCTAGGACGTGGCGGATCCAGGGGCCTGATCTCAGGAGGGGCAATTGTAGATTATTTAAAGAAATAATCCAGACACAATAACCACTACAGCTCAGTGTAGTGGTTATGGTGTCAATAGTGCCGGGACCCCCTCCCAGAGTAAGTAGTCAAACTGTTTAAGAACAGTTTGACAACTTACCTGAGGTCTGCTGGGAAATGGGGCAGTAGTAGGGCATAGGAGCAGTGGTGTGTGTGAGTGCTGCAATGTGTAAGGGGTGCAGTGTGTGTGTGTGTGTGTGAGGGGGACAGTGTGTGAGCAGAGTGTGTGTGTGAGGGTGGCAGTGTATGTCAGGGATGCAGTGGGACAGTATGTGTGTGTAACAGTTGCAGTGTGTGTGTGTGTGTGTGTGAGTATTGCAGTGTATGTGTGTATGGAAGTGACGGTGTATGGACGGTATGTGTATGGGGGCAGTATGTGTGTATGGGGGCAGTGTGTGTGTGTGTATGGGGGCAGTGTGTGTATGTGGGGGCAGTGTGTGTATAGGGCCAGTGTGTATGGAGACGGTATGTGTGTATGGGGCAGTGTGTGTATGGGGGCAGTGTGTGTGTGTATGGGGGCAGTGTGTGTGTGTGTGAAGGGTACAGTGTGTATGTATAGGGGGCAGTGTGTGTGTGTATGGGGGACAGTGTGTGTGTATGGGGGACAGTATGTGTGTATGGGGGGGCAGTGTGTGTATGGGGGCAGTGTGTGTGTGTATAGGGGGGGCAGTGTATATATGTGTGTGTGTGTGTGTGTGTGTGTGATAAGGGAAGGGGGGCTTTTTTTTAATAATAATAATATATATATATATATATTTTTTTTATTATTATTTATTTAAAATATATATTTATGTCCCCCCTCCCTTCTTACCTTTACTGGGGGGGAGGGGGGACATTTCCCTGGTTGTCTGTTGTCAGTGGGCGGTTCATTGGTGGTCCCAGTGGGGAGAGTGAACTCTAGCCCTCGCTCCCGGGCTAGAGTTCACTCTCGCGAGATTTGGAGCGTTGCCGTGGTAACCTTGGCAACGCTCCAGATCTCGCGAGAGGAGGACCCGGAGGAGCTGCAGCCTGAGCTCCGGGTCCTCTCTCCTCCCTCTCCCTCCCCCGCCGGCTGCCAGCACAGTGCCTGCGGACCGGGGAGGGAGATCTCTGCTCTCCCTCCCCGGTCGGCAGGCACATTGCAGGGCTGGCAGCCGGCAGGGGAGGGAGACTGTCGGATTTCTCGGGGCATTGCCCCGTTGCCCCCCCCCTGGATCCGCCACTGCCCTAGGAGTGGCCATCCTGTAAAGTTGACTGCAAGAGCACAGCGCAGACTGCTCAATGAGGTGAAGAAGAATCCTAGAGTGTCAGCTAAAGACTGGCAAATGCTAACATCCCTGTTTGCGAATGTACAATACGTAAAACACTAGAATGGATTTCATGGGAGGATACCAAAGAGGAAGCCACTGCTGTCCACACAAAACATTGCTGCACGTTTACAGTTTGCACAAGAGCACCTGGATGCTCCACAGCAGTACTGGCAAACTATTCTGTGAACAGATGAAACCAAAGTTAAGTTGTTTGGAAGAAACACACAACACCATGTGTGGCGAAAAAAGGCACAGCACACCAACATCAAAACCTCATCCCAACTGTGAAGTATGGTGGTGGGGGCATCATGGTTTGGGGCTGCTTTGCTGCGTCAAGGCCTGGACGGATTGCTATCATCGAATGAAATATGAATTCCCAAGTTTATCAAGACATTTTGCAGGAGAACTTAAGGCCATCTGTCTAACAGCTGAAGCTCAATAGAAGATGGGTGTTGCAACAGGACAATGACCCAAAGCATAGAAGTAAATCAACAACAGAATGGCTTAAACAGAAGAAAATACGCCTTCTGAAGTGGCCCAGTCAGAGTCCTGACCTTAACCCGATTGAGATGCTGTGGCATCACCTCAAGAAAGCGATTCACACCAGACATCCTAAGAATATTGCTGAACTGAAACAGTTCTGTAAAGAGGAATGGTCAATAATTACTCCTGACCATTGTGCAACTACAGTAAACGTTTGGTTGAAGTTATTGCTGCCAAAGGAGGTTCAACCAGTTATTAAATCCAAGGGTTCACATACTTTTTCCACCTGCACTGTGAATGTTTACATGGTGTGTTCAATAAAAACATGGCAACATTTCATTCGTTGTGTGTTATTAGTTTAAACAGGCTGTGATTGTCTATTGCTGTGATTTAGATGATGATCAGATCACATTTTATGACCAATTTGTGCAGAAATCCATATCATTCCAAAGGGTTCACTTACTTTTTCTTGCAACTGTAAATATTTAGGATACAGTTGAGAAATTACAGCTTCCATTACTCTTTGGGACCAAAACACAGATAAAATAAAAACAAAATAGATTGAACCATGCAGAGTCTATTTAACTTCCTTGCACACCAATCCCTTATCCACAGCTTACTGGCCGCTCATTATGTGCAGCTTTAAACTCCTACTGACTTCAGTGAGTTCCAGTTTGGACTTAGCCAATCAGTAGTTCCCATTCGTAAAAATAGGTACGTACCTTTTTTATAAATGGAGAGCTACTTATAGGCTTAGAGCATCAGCTAACTGTTCTAGCCCTTGTAGCAGCAACCATTGCCCAGTGGCATTCCACGATTTCTGTTACTCAGAGTTAGAAACCAGATGCTGCCTGGGGGACCAGCCTGGGAGAGCGACGATGGAGGCAAACTTTGGAGATAAACTGCTTGAGAATGGTTTAATCCTTTATGGCAAGAAAGCAGTTGTTATGGGACTCCTGGCACCATAACAACTTCATCTGGATTAAGTTTTTATGGTGCCTCGATTGTTGCTTTAAGGTAAAGGGTTTCATTTCAGGTTTAGGCCTCACCCGCACCCTCTTATGTCTTCTGTAGACAAGTCAGATTGATGATATTAGAGCTGCTGGAGTGGTTATGTCTGTATCACATAAAGCATTTCCTGTGTGAGTGGGCTGATGGTAGGCAATCACTTCCTTCCTCACTTCTTTGTAGTCCAACATACAGATATTGGAGGACCTGGGACAGAATTGAGGTTTACACCCTTTATAACTGTTCCTGCAGCTCTGCTATTAAGGTTACCTGAGGTCCAGAGGACACTGGCCAAGGTCCCTGGTACTTATCTCCCCATCATCTTATTTAAACTCAAAAAGGCACATTATAAGTGCTAAAAAAAAACCAGACACCCCCTAGTGGTCAGGCATCTGTAGGTAGGTACCTACTCAGCCGCTTAAAGGGAAATCAGGCCCTGGGAGTATACCCCATAAATTCCTGCTTTTTAGAGGTTTGAGATAATTTGTTCAGCTCTGTAACGGATCCCCTATACTCCGGCTGAGTATATCCGCTGTACTTCTCCCAAATCCCCAGTAAAGCCGTGATTATAGCTCCCAACTCCCCAAACATCAGCCTAGAGTTGATAAAGGGTAGAAACGAATATGTTCAATCATGGCCAAACAGCCCACTTATATTAAAAAAAAAAACAAGGTTGCAGTAAAACACGCACAGAACACTCCCACAAAATGTCCACAAATTCCTGTGTCAGACTGATTTGACATAAAAACATAAAATATCAAAATACATAAAAAAAACCCATAAAAAACAAATAGGAATCCCCTCAAATTATATATCGTTAAATAGCCCTGATCTGAGTGCCCACGTTCTCCAAATAGCACTTTGATCCATGCAGTGTAGGGGAATCACCACCGTGTGGAAGTTCTGACCAACCGCACATAAGGTCCTATGCCCAAAACAGTTCCAGGGTGTTTGGTGATTTAGCCGGTCAATGTCCGGGAGCTCCTGCGGCCGCAATACGGGGTGCTCTGGCTGGCTCATAGGTAGAGTTTGTTCCCCTTAGTCTCAGGCACCTTCCATCCAAAAAGCGCTCTCCTGGCAGATTTCAAAGTAGTTCAAAACCGCCAACCAAGTTGTCCAGGAACTGCAAGGTCACCTCATGCCGAAAACCGTTCCATAACATTTGCGGCTAAGTCCCGTTGGGACTATTCATGAGAGCTAGCGTTCGGTTCCATTTGCATGAAGGGAAAGTGCCGAACCAGGGACACCCAGGGCAAGCTACTAACGGCGGTTGAGGAGATTTAACTCCCAAACAGGGTCTTTAATTGAGGGAGATTTAACTGAGAAGATTTAACTCCCTAACATAGTCCTGGGGCAGGAGGCTAGCTAGCAGGCTCCTCCAGGAGCTTGTGGCAAACGTCCAGGGTAAGGAGTGTTTGTCACAAGCTCTCATCAGCAGTTTCAGTTATGACAAGGTATGAATAAAACCATTATATAACCAGCATCACAAATTTGTGATTCTGTTTCCTGCCTCAGGCTTTTTAAGGTAGTCTTGTTTTAGCGTTGTTATTTTGAAATCTCTCAATGTACATATATTTCCTTTATCATATCTACAGATCAGCAGAAAATACCCTCAATCTCTGCCAGTGAAAATTAAAATTGTGCTCAGCAAAACACCAATTGTGTCCTTCCAGTCTAACCAGCTTATTGTCCAGATTACTCCATCGGTGGAGATGTCTGTGATGTTACCAAACGCAAAATGTCAGCACTTACTGACAGTCAATGTGGTGAGTAGTGCTTTGGATGGGGCTGGAACTATTTTTCTCATAATTCTATGGCAGCCATTGGCCATAACGGCTGCAGAGCCAATAGTGAATCCCTATGGTAGATATTTGTTTTTACCATGTGTCTAACATTCTCTAACATGTTACTTATTTTTGTGCTTGTAGGGTGCTACCTTGTTGGCTTCTCTAGATGTGAAAGGTGGAAAGATGAAGACATCGGTTGCATTAACAGGGTTTGCTAAAGTTTACAAATGTATCTGTCTTTATGTCATTTATTTTTGGTAATTAAAAAAAACAAACTATTATTATTTTTTTATCCATAGGGACCTTAACCTGGCATTTGTCTCTGTGTCTTATGGACAAAGTAAATGCAATGTGAGTAGGCTGCATTTTGATATGGTTATTAGATTGTTTATGATGGGATGTAAATGGAAACTGGTACAAAAAGAGCACCCATTTAATGTTTATTTTATTGCTTTTGAGAGTAATAGAGTTCTGTACTGATAATGAGGACTGTAACATCTAAGTCTACTCACTAACACAAACCTTAACCATACTTATGTTGGTTATGCATCAAAAAGAGACACTGGTAAATTGTAAAGAAGCATAGTAGGCATTATTGGTGTGGATAAAACTGCAAACATTTGGAACATATCAGTTACTTAAAAGAGCAGCTAGCAGGGTGAAAGGTAATAGGAAGAGAGACAAAGAACAAGTAAAAAAACCTCCCTTCCTGTGAGTACCAAGAAGTTCATGTGCATATATAAACAGTACTCTGAACTGCACAGCGCCATCTACAGCTCAAGTGCTAAGTATATCTATATTATGCAGTACATGCTGTTGTATTTCCCAACACTCCTTCTCTGCAGCACAATTATTCGACATTCAGCTTCTTTTGTAGTAAACAATGACGCTCCTTTGGCAATGGTTTGGTGAGTGCGTCTGCAGTCATCTCTTCTGATGGACAATACTGAATGTCAATAACTCCCGGAGCAGATGATGTTTTACATCAAAGTGCTTGGTTCTGGGATTAACTCTTTCCGATTGCTCCAATTTTATATATCCCTGATTAGCATACATTCAAGGTACAGTAAGCTGTAACTTCTACCTTTCCATTACATCTTCAGCTGGAAGAGTAAATGATGTGCATTACAGTCTATCACATCTTTAATACAAACTCTAGCTACATGCCCTAAAACCTAATAGAGCACGTAGAGATATTGTCACTTCCCCAATGTTAGTACAATTAAGAGCTAAACTTTAAATTCTTTATCGTTTCTGCCAGTTAATGTATTTAAGTGAATTCATTCTTACCGTAAGGCACGGCTGGAGAAAGAGCCAAGGGCTCACATAGGACATTTCTCCTTTAGATTTATTCTATAATAAATATATTAATTATATATTTTACTTTATCTCATAGCCATCAATGTTATCTGGATACCTGCGTACTTTGTTTGTAAAGGCTTACTTGCTACAGATCAACGGTAAGCACTATCATTTTTTTTAGAAGATTGTCCACTAGGTTTACTTCCGCTTAATAAGTGTATTTTTCTCCATATCTTTTCTTCTTGGATCAGTGTGTGTGTTCTGTTGACTATAATTATGTTCCTCTTACAGAGGCACTGAGTATTGGCGTGTCGTTACCATCATTACCTAACGTACAACTCATCCACCAAGTCATTGATGTAAAGGAGGTAAGCAAGCATCCTTAAACCTAAACGCAAATCAATTCAATAAAATATATTGAATTCAATAAAACACATAAAAATGGTGTCACTAAACACATATCATTAAACATCTGACCTTTTGGTCAACATATAATGCCTTTTTTAATGGCAATCTTTTTAACAGATTGCAAGCCCTTTCCTCAAAAGTACATTATTGAGGAGGCAATACATTTTAAAGTGAACTTGTACTCCAAATATAACTTTGGCTAAATCAGCCCCAAATACATTGAATACATCATACATGATATAATTGTAAAATACTGATATTTACTTACTCACTATAACTCTTTTCCAGCACCGCCATTTCCTCATCTCTGTTAGTATTACTCTTTGTGTAATACCCATCACTTCCCTAAACAGGGCAAAGTTCCTCTGTAACACCAACACGCTGCCCTTGCTGCCAGCATGTCAGTCACTCCTTTCCTTTACTCCCTAGTCAGCACTAGCAGCCAGTTGCCAGCGCTATCAACTAGGGAGTTTCCATAGTAACCACAGCGATAGTGATGTGGTTGCTATGTGTGGGAGAGTAGTAAGACCTCCTCTGGGAGGTGTTTTCTGCTCTCCCTTGTCATTCGGATTGCTGGTATTGAGTCGAAGATGTGACTGAAAAGCTGGCAGAAAAACCTATTTTAAATCTTTTTTTCCTCCCCAAACTATACATTGGCTAGCAAAACTGCTAGCATAATGTATATAGAGAATAAAGACCACTGAGGTGCAACTGTTCACTTGAATACTCGGGCAAATAATCTGGGCACTTGAACGTTGTGACTTTTTGTCTTTTTGAAAAATCACCTCTTCAATTACCCGTTCTACAGGGAGTGCAGAATTATTAGGCAAATGAGTATTTTGACCACATCATCCTCTTTATGCATGTTGTCTTACTCCAAGCTGTATAGGCTCGAAAGCCTACTACCAATTAAGCATATTAGGTGATGTGCATCTCTGTAATGAGAAGGGGTGTGGTCTAATGACATCAACACCCTATATCAGGTGTGCATAATTATTAGGCAACTTCCTTTCCTTTGGCAAAATGGGTCAAAAGAAGGACTTGACAGGCTCAGAAAAGTCAAAAATAGTGAGATATCTTGCAGAGGGATGCAACACTCTTAAAATTGCAAAGCTTCTGAAGCGTGATCATTGAACAATCAAGCGTTTCATTCAAAATAGTCAACAGGGTCGCAAGAAGCGTGTGGAAAAACCAAGGCGCAAAATAACTGCCCATGAACTGAGAAAAGTCAAGCGTGCAGCTGCCACGATGCCACTTGCCACCAGTTTGGCCATATTTCAGAGCTGCAACATCACTGGAGTGCCCAAAAGCACAAGGTGTGCAATACTCAGAGACATGGCCAAGGTAAGAAAGGCTGAAAGACGACCACCACTGAACAAGACACACAAGCTGAAACGTCAAGACTGGGCCAAGAAATATCTCAAGACTGATTTTTCTAAGGTTTTATGGACTGATGAAATGAGAGTGAGTCTTGATGGGCCCGTGGCTGGATTGGTAAAGGGCAGAGAGCTCCAGTCCGACTCAGATGCCAGCAAGGTGGAGGTGGAGTACTGGTTTGGGCTGGTATCATCAAAGATGAGCTTGCGGGGCCTTTTCGGGTTGAGGATGGAGTCAAGCTCAGCTCCCAGTCCTACTGCCAGTTCCTGGAAGACACCTTCTTCAAGCAGTGGTACAGGAAGAAGTCTGCATCCTTCAAGAAAAACATGAAAATCTAATGACATGGCCTCCTTGTTCACCTGATCTGAAACCCATTGAGAACCTGTGGTCCATCATCAAATGTGAGATTTACAAGGAGGGAAAACAGTACACCTCTCTGAACAGTGTCTGGGAGGCTGTGGTTGCTGCTGCATGCAATGTTGATGGTGAACAGATCAAAACACTGACAGAATCCATGGATGGCAGGCTTTTGAGTGTCCTTGCAAAGAAAGGTGGCTATATTGGTCACTGATTTGTTTTTGTTTTGTTTTTGAATGTCAGAAATGTATATTTGTGAATGTTGAGATGTTATATTGGTTTCACTGGTAATAATAAATAATTGAAATGGGTATATATTTGTTTTTTGTTAAGTTGCCTAATAATTATGCACAGTAATAGTCACCTGCACACACAGATATCCCCCTAACATAGCTAAAACTAAAAACAAACTAAAAACTACTTCCAAAAATATTCAGCTTTGATATTAATGAGTTTTTTGGGTTCATTGAGAACATGGTTGTTGTTCAATAATAAAATTAATCCTCAAAAATACAACTTGCCTAATAATTCTGCACTCCCTGTATAGAGCTATTATTTATTGTTATTTTAGACTGATAAACGTGTTGCTATGACAGCCAGGCTGAATATTTTACTTTTACTGCGCAATTAAGCAATTTGTGGTTTTACATAATTATTTTTGTTTATGCTTGCAGAATTACGCAGTTATGTCATGTGATCTTCAAAACATCAACTGACCGTATTCCATGGAAAGAAGATTGAAGGGACTGGCAGTGCCACTTCAAAGAATGGCATTTGAAAGATAACTGGGAAATAGTTATTTGTGCAGATTGCTCTAACCATAACAATATATATAAAGCAAAACATGGCTTTGACTTGCCTATAATAATAAACAAACTATGTTACTCTTGACAAATCCATGTTTGCGTCCAATAATTACTGCAATGTGTAGAACAAAATAAAATAAAGTCCCATAGTTACAAAGCAGCCAGTAAATTAGGTGTATTTACGGCTATTTGATACCAAAGGATAGTCAATCCCAAAATAATTAATTGTAAACTTAAAATGATGAAGTGCCATCCACTTATTAAAGTAAAACCACACAGCTTTCTTAACTACTTGAGGATTTTTCAAATAGAATGCCCCAACATCTTACACAGTGCCAACTTATATTAATACCAACTTTTGCCTTATTTTGCAGCATTTAAAAAAAAAACACTTAAAACTTAAATGGATATTTCATTGTATTACGACATGCCAAGGCAGGACTGGATTGATTAATCATTTAGGAGATTATCGAGCCATGGGACATGTCACAGTACATTTTGTTGATACAGAAAATAAAACCTAGTCCAAGGATATAAAGATCGTGCCTAGTCTTATGTGCAACCAAGGCTGGATTTATATAACAGGTGCCCATAGACACAAAGTTGCATGCAATTTTCTACTTGCAATATATTGTGTGAATTTGTGTGTGTATGCAGCTGTATAAATGCTTGCAGGGATGAAGATCATGTTAGATGTGGTTAGAGTAAAGGGCGTTTAAAGTTAGAGAGGGGTAAACAACATCAGTGAGATTACACTTATGTATTCTTTTTTCATAACACCTACATTTTAGTCTTTATTATGCAACTAGAATTTTATTGCAACAAACACTTGGGGATGGGGGGTCACCACACCCCCAAGTGTTTGTTGGGGGTGTGGTGTGATGCATTAAGACCATCCACCAGTGAAAATTGTATCCATCCTCTATCTCTGTAAACTTTACAACTGGTCCTGTTGGACAGTTACTCTGTATTACTCTGGTGTCTAGAGTGAGATTATAACTCTCCGGTAGCAATGCCAGATCCACCATGTTTCTTAGACAATTATCATGTATATAGATGGGCAGAACATAAACATATTTGCTTTACTCCAGGATGTAGAAGTATAACATCAAAATATACAATCATATACGCTCAGCAATGCCTAGTGTGGCTGCCTACACACAGGGGGTCCGAATATCGCCGTCAAGGGCTCCCTTTCTTTCAGTGAAGATAGCCCAGTTATAATAGCAAAGGATTATAGCTATTAAGCAGATTCAACCCAAGCACTAGTCAAGACTTAGTGTAGGGTGAAATAGAACTGGTTCTCTAGGAGGTCCCCAGGAGAACAATAGGGATTGCAACATAACTGGCACCTAGGTGTCTGTACCTGAGCAGGTAATTTAATTAGTGGCTAGACACTTTTGAGCCTGTTAACAGTTTTACATTAAACATGGGATTCCTGTGCCCACATCTACAAACAAATGGTGTCCACAGAAAGCTATCTTCTGAGCACCCACTCTGTCCAAAAATCGCTGAGATTGGAGGTGGCTTGCCCACGTTAGCTGAAAGTAAAGTTTTGACCTGGCCATGCACAATGATGTCGCTTTCGGTGGGTACATGGATTCCTGGGTACCGTTGGATGCCTCACCACCTCCTCTATCTCCCCTCAAAATAGTACTCTGGTACCAAGAGTACTCACGACAAAGATTTACCAGGCCGCAATCCGATCAGGAGTTCTAGAGTGATTGGTGATTGTTTCCGGTCAGGCGTGCTTCTGTGGCCTTTTTGTTGGTCTACGATGTTCCCTCGGAACTGAACTGGAGGGTGAATACAGTGAAAATAGATCTCTTAGAGGGAGGCGTTGGTTGGGAGACATGTACCATTTCTGGGTGACCAGGTGGTCTGTCACAAATACTATGACGCTGATGATCAAAAAAGGAGGACAAAACGATAATCACAATGAAATAAAAACATGCATTTCACAGCATTGCCTCCAAAAGCCCTATGCTTGGGTTAAACAGCCTGTTCACTCTGTCTATTCCAAAGATTGATGGATGACAAAAAGATTCTACTAAAACATTCTACTAACCTTTAGACTGTAGAAAGTCTATGCCCATTTTTGACATTTACATAATTTTTTTGTGCTGGTAAGAGCTGTAAATAACATCTAGTCTAAATGAGTTAAATAATACACACAATATTATTTATATAAATATATTTTGACAATTATAAAGACCTATGAGGACTACTTAACACACTTTCTGTGGTGACTTAAACAGCATTTTTCTTGATATTTCCATAATCTAGATAAGGATAAGAAAATAACAGCAGTGAAAGTGTAAAATAAACCATTATTATTAAGCATTATATTTTGCACATTAACCTGGTCATAAGTATACTGTAGAGATAAGTACATTTCTGGAAGTACTGATTAACCCTGAAATATGATTCATATTTTCCTGCTGATAGAGAAAATTTATCCAGCAGAACACAAACACGCTATTATGTAGTGATTTGTACATATTCGGCAATTAGATGTTCATCTGAACAATTAATCCAGTCTAAGAAATAAGATCACTCATAAGATCATTTATCGATTTTTAACTATTTCGTGCATGAGTAGTAAACATTCACAATCAAACTTTAGACTTAGAAGAATTAATATAAAATATTACACAAAATAAAACCTACATATTATTGCTAAGCTACAGGCTATGAAAGGCAGAGTTAGGCTTTGATTAGGTAAATTACTATTGTAGATAAAGCTTAGTGTAGGAGCTTCAGTCGAGAGGGTTAGAGTTTAGAGGTTATGATAACATTCTAAAAACAAAGTAAGATAAATGTCCTATAGAGCAGTGGCTCCCAAACCAGTCCTCTGGCCCACCAACAATCCAGGAATTATGTATTTTCATTTTTTATTCCAATGGAGATACTGGCAAAACATGGACTTTTGCTGTGTCGTGAGGAGTGGTTTGGAGACCACTGCTATAGAGAGTTATCTAGAGAAGGGCATACAAAAACAACATAAAACATAAACACAAGACTAATGTGACAATGAAAAGTGGTATTAGCTTGCATCAATGAATATGCTAGCGAACTGCTAATTTCAGCCATGTTTGAACCCCCGAAGCAAGGTAAAGATGGTCTTAGAGTCCCATTAGAAAAATGAAGGATGATAGAGGTGAGTGACTATCTCTAATATATTTCTTCAATGGATTACTCCATGGAGTCCTGTATAACAGTCATCACTTTTTGGAGGATTATATATTCTGGAGACCAATTTCACATACAGGCGATACTCGGAAAATTAGAATATCGTGCAAAAGTTCATTTATTTCAGTAATGCAATTATTAATGCAATGCAATTAATTTAAAGGGACACTCCAGGCACCCAGACCACTTCTGCCCATTGGAGTGGTCTGGGTGCCAACTCACACTACCCTTAACCCTGCAACTATAAATATTGCAGTTTGTTTTTTTAAACTGCAATAATTACCTTGCAGGGTTAACTCGACCTCTAGTGGCTGTCTAGTAGACAGCCACTAGAGGGCACTTCCATGTCTCTAGCACAGATTTTCTGTGCTAGAGCGTCGCTGGATGTTCTAACGCTGTGTGAGGACCTCTAGCATTGCTCAATTCCCCATAGGAAAGCATTGAAAAGCATTTTCAATGCTTTCCTAAGGGGAGCTCTAATACACATGCGCATTAGGTCTCCCCGGCAGGCCGGCGGGATCAGTCTCGCCCATGGGATGACGTAATGCAGAGGAGGAGCGGCGGCGGAGGAAGAAGCAGCGACGTGGGACATGTCGCTGCCTCTGGTAAGTGACAAGGGATTTTCCCCCCTTCAGCAACTGGGGATTGGGAGGTGGGAGGGAGAGGCGATCTGCAGTGCCAGGAAAACTGGGGAAACAAATTTATGAGATAGACGCATTACATGCAAAGCAAGATAGTTCAAGCCGTGATTTGTCATAAGTGCGATGATTATGGCTTAAAGCTCATGAAAACCCCAAATCCACAATCTCAGTAAATTAGAATATTACATGCAATCAATAAAACAAGGAGTATACATAGAAAAGTATAAGCATGCATATGGACTCAGTACTTGGTTTGGGCCCCTTTTGCAGCAATTACAGCCTCAATGCGGCGTGGCATGGAAGCTATCAGCCTGTGGCAGTGCTGAGGTGTTATGCTTCAATAGCGGCCTTCAACTCTTCTGCATTGTTCGGTCTCATGTCTCTCATCTTTCTCTTGGCAATGCCCCATAGATTCTCTATGCGGTTCAGGTCAGGCGAGTTTGCTAGCCAATCAAGCACAGTAATCCCATGGTCATTGAACCAGGCTTTGGTGCTTTTGGCAGTGTGGGCAGGTGCCAAGTCCTGCTGGAAAATTAAGTTAGCATCCCCATAAAGCTTGTCTGCAGAAGGAAACATGAAGTGCTCCAAAATCTCCTGGTAGATGTCTGTGTTGACCCTGGACTTAATGAAGCACAGTGGACCAACACCAGCAGATGAAATGGCTCCCCAAATCAACACAGACTGTGGAAACTTCACACTGTACTTCAAGCATCTTGCAGTGTGTGCCTCTCCATTCTTCCTTCAGACTCTGGGTCCTTGGTTTCCAAATGAGATCCAAAAGTTGCTCTCATCAGAAAAGAGGACTTTGGACCACTGAGCAACAGACCAGGTCTGTTTTTCTTTAGCCCAGGTAAGACGCTTCTGGCGTTGTTTGTTGTTCAGGAGCGGCTTGACAAGAGGGATGCGATATCTGAAGCCCATGTCCAGGATCTGTCTGTGTGTGATGGCTCTTGATGCACTGACTCCAGCCTCAGTCCACTCCTTGTGAAAGTCCCCAACACTTTTGAATGGCCTTTTCCTGACAATCCTCTCCAGGCTGCGGTCATCCCTGCTGCTTGTGAACCTTTTTCTTCCACACTTTTCCCTTCCACATAACTGTCTATTAATGTGCTTTGATGCAGAACTTTGGGAACATCCAACTTCCTTCGCAATTACCTTTTGGGGCTTTCCCACTGATGGTTTTCTGCACAACTGTCAGGTCAGCAGTCTTCCCCATGATTGTGATTCCTACTGAACCAGACTGAGAGACCATTTAAAGGCTCAGGAACCCTTTGCAGATGTTATGGCTTACTTAGCTGATTATAGTTGGGACACTGTGAGCCTAAAATATTGCACCTTTTCACAATATTCTAATTTACTGAGATTGTGGATTTGGGGTTTTCATGAGCTGTAAGCCTGTCACGGTTCTCGCCGCAGCAAACAGACAGCCAGACGTGGTCACCCATGGAGTTCCCAACAAGGGACTTGAACCGGGGAACCTCGCAGTCCTGGTCCTGCTTCCTTCCTCTGAGCCACAGCAGCTTTTGTATTCCAAATGCCATTCTGGTCCTGTTCATCCTGGCATGTCTATTACTCTGGGGGCTGTACCTTGACTTTGGATGTGCTTCACCTGACCCTGATCAGACATTAGCAGGGTATTTAAACTCAGCCTCGCCCTGTGATCAGGATCAAGTCTTTGATCCTGTTGTGTGCTTTGTACCAGTGTTCCTGCCGTTTGAGCTGCTACTTGTTATTGACCCCGGCTTCTGACTACGTTTACCTCTGGCATCCCTTGACTTCAGCTTCTCCTCGTTGTTCCTGTCTTCTGGCATCCTTTGACCTCGGCTATCCTTTGACGATCCTGCTGTTTGAGTCCTTGCCTGTCCTGCGACTTGGTACTTCATCCTGCACAGCCCCCATGCACAGACCCACAGGCCGGGTGAATTCTTACCTGACCACCTTGGCCTGTGGCTATCTGCAAGGGTGAGCAACATATCTGCGCTACAGACTCCCAAACCAGGTAAGACCCTGACAAAGCCATAATTATCACACTTATGACAAATCACGGCTTGAACTATCTTGCTTTGCATGTAATGCGTCTACCTCATATATTAGTTTCCCCTTTTACGTTGCATTACTGAAATAAATGAACTTTTGCATGATATTCTAATTTTCCGAGTATCACCTGTATTCCTAGGTTAGGACGAGGGAATTCATTCACTCCAGTGACCTATTAGAAATCTAATAGCCAGTTTTTAGCTATCATGTAAAAACATTGGCTACATTTTCAGGGTTTCTTGATCACATTCATGTCTGAGCACTCAGATTGGTCATTGAGATACCTTCCAACTTCTCAATTGTTCAGTGCCTGTTAACTTCACTAGGAAGTAGACTAGGAGATTATTTTACGTTCAAAATTACTGGTACTGGTAATTCATAAATCAAAGGACAGCCACAAAATGTGTCAATTTTTAAGAACAGTTCCTGGTGGCTCGCACTGTAGTGATGTGTGACAGCATTACAGAGACCTGTGAGTGAGCTATGCGTAGAACAAAGCATTCTGCGGCAGCCTCGTGCCACTTAAAACCAGGGATAAGGCTCCTCCTTAGGTAAACAAGCAGGCGGGGACCTCAGTGGACCTCAGAAGTTCATGGATAATAACTGAGCAGAGAAGGAACATAAGTAGGAAAAGTAAGAATCCACGAGAGAGGAAAAGAGGAGACATGAGCGGGGTGACGGGAGGATAGAGTACATGTATATGGAGGGCAAGGATAAAGAAAGGAAGTGACATAATTTGGATGAGGAGATAAGGAGACATAAGAGTGGTGACAAAGAAAAGGTATTTGTTGTAATTATTAGGGAGGGCAATGGAAGTGGTAAATGTGATATGGTAATGGGGTGCATAGAAACTATTCCATGCACACACATACACATTATATTATTTCATACACGTAGATACACCCCTGCATTCACATGCTGTCACGTAACACATATATGTATACTTATGCATTTATAGACTGTCAAACAAATACAATCATGAAAACCTGTGAAGTTCTGTATTAATAAACACTCCACAAATACATCACTGCATTCACACACACTAATACTCCATTCAGTACGTTTGTCATTTATAGAAAACAATGTTCATGTGATTCATATATAAAGTGCCGAGTAAATTTTACATCTGGCTAGTAGTGTACAATTTGAAACTTTGAGCCTTGTTATATTAAAAATCTTGAAACACACTTTCGTCTGTCTCCAGCATTGCATCTTTACCTATATTGCTTAGGGGGTTTCAATATTGACCAAAATTGGCAGTTCACTATGAACCAATGCTGGAGGTTCATATCACTTCTCTTAGCCTATAGGCTATGGTGGTTTTGATTATAGATTTTGTTTAAATTCCTGTTAGGAGGGTTAGGTTTTTCAATGAATTTCACAATGGAAAACTACCTCACTGCAGAGTCCTAAAAAAGCATGTTGCTGTGAATGGAGATAAGTCCCAGTTGAATGTCCAGATGCCACTTTTATGCTGCATTAGATTGCTCCCTAGTAGAGGGTGACCTGTTACAGCAGATATCATTGGATAAGTCCTACCATTCTGATCTTGATACATGGTATAACTCCTAAAAAATGACACTTGGATGTCACAATTTGTATATTTATGCAGAAAAAAACAACATACAAAATGTGTATGGAATAGTATAGATTACAAAAAAAGGTAATGAGTATAAGAGACCAAAGTGAACTCCAGATGCAATTCAGGGGTCGGCTCAACTATGGAATATGAATAAAACAATACCAACTATTGCAATTATTCTCAACGGAACTGAAAAATAAAAAAGTGTAGGCCATAATCTGAAGGACACTATGTCAAAAAGAGTTTTTGACATAGTGTAATTTTTGAGCCCTATCTGTGAAATGTAGTTAATAGCACTCACATCCTCCAGGCATCTTCTCCATTTGTCAATTTATGGGAAAATAGACCAGATGCACGAGGGCAGGAGGAAAAATGAAACAATTCTAGATAAAAATATATTTCAAGTGGTCAAGACATAAAGACAGATTTACCGTCAAAGATTTGAAACCTATACATGTAAATCTTTAACATAATGTCAGTATTCATCGTGTGTCTCATCAGTCAAGATTACATGTATTTGGAGGTTCGCCAACTGTACAAGGTCCCATGTTTTCAAGAATAGTATAATAAGAGAATTAATCAGAATCTAAGATCAATGAGGATGCTCAGATGTTGAGGTTCTCAGGGGAACAGGAATAAGATAATCTGATTTGTTTTATAAGATACCCTAGATGAGAGAAAATATTTCATGTGGTGGATTTCCGCATACTTTTTGCGACCTGAGCATGGTCTATCTCTAGGACGAAGAGACATTTATACAAGTGCCAGAGATCTTATGTTCCTTCTCTTATCAACCTTTTAGAGTGTGCAAGCCTTCTTTAGTGAGGTAGAGAAACTGACTGGGTAGTATTCAGGGCATTGTAGCTAGTAGAGGAAGTGGGAATACTGCTTTCTGTGGGTTTATTTTATGTACATAAGGGTTATATGTTAACTTTCACTCTAACCTGGCCAAACATTAAATTTCAGGGATAATATTGAATAGTATTTCTTTCTCCTGGAGGTGAAACCATCAGTATATCTTTTATACAAGAAGAGGAATGGATGAATCGAAGATTAGATAGTATTTTGATCATTAACATGTTATATATAAACCTCTAAATTTCAAAAACATTAAACTCATAGACTGCCCTTGGTGGTTGCATGGTTCATTTTGGATGTGCTGAAAACCCATTTTGCTCTGCAAACAGTTAATTAAGACACAAGGAAGGGTATTGGCAAGGTATCAGTAGAATATTTACCACTAATCCTGTTGCAATGTTTGCCTTGCGTAGGAAAATATTTACTTGGCAAGGTAAACTACTCGACATCTGACACGCAATTAGTTCAATTGCACATATATATTACGAACCTTTAAATCTTTGTTAGCCCAAATCTTCAGGATGAATGTGTTATATAAGCATTTCTAAATAGGAAACAATAGATAGATAGGAGATCTACTATGGAGATTTGAATGGAGGGCAGAAAAAAGAGGTGAGTGGAAATCTATGCTGCGTAATCATAAAAATTGATTAAACATAAGAATTATTTTAAAATAATGAGGTTGTATATAGTTAATATTAATAATAATATCGACTTATGGTGCTAATACGAATAAGTGGAAAAACCAAGACAGTTTGGCAGGTCAATGTGATAAAAAAATTCTGATGAGGATCGGGGAACTGATATTGATGCTCTAGAGAATTGATGCAGAGTAGACACTTTAGAATACTTTAGAATTTTAAATCATATGGTATCATATATATCTTTGCTATTGCATATGTTTGTACAGTATATTTCATTTACAAGTCACCCAGATTAAAGGTACTATTCAGCTGAATAGGAACTTACGTGGAAGATGAGTTAAGTTGCTGGGCATTTTTGCAATCCACAATATCTCTTTGAAATACAGATGCCTATTTTTAGCCTACACACATAGCCTACACACATTCTGATGGCATTTCAGGAATATGCATTCCCCAAACTATTTAACACCTGCTATACATTATAAACTAATGTATATGTCAGTCTGCATTAATGTCCCTTAGCCAGCCAGAAATATTGTGAGATAAGCTATACTGAATAGTCTCTCATACTTTATAACAACTTAATATTCCCATACCTACCAAACACAAATACTATATATAAATAATCTTATTTATTTATCTTTTTAATAAAATCTGCAATGAATTATCAATATTCAAATTTATGGTGATAATTGATATAGAATAAAAAATAGTTGGTTGGTATTACACTTTTTAAAAGCAAATTTTTAATTCTTTGATGAAAAAAGTTCTAGTCATTATTCATTTTGAAAACTAAAATAAATCACAGTTACATTAGGAAGACATATATTAATCTTTCAAAATGATTTAAAAAAATCAGCAAACTAGAAATGTTACTGTTGCCCCTCTGTATTTTCAAATTCTCCATTAGCCATTGATTTGACAAGAGTTTCCTCCACAGGTTGAATGAGGACCATGTCTTGGTTGTGGCTTCTGGTGGTTTTCTCAAGTCTTCTAGTCTCTTCCGAGAGTCTCGATGATGTAGCAATTTTGCAGCTAGATTCCTGTGCTTTACAAAATGGTAAGAATGTTCATGGAAATGGAACAATGTGTTTAAGGCTTCATCATTCTGCATTTAATGCATTTTAAAGTTTTTTAACAGTGTTTCCATATAGGCCGTTTATCTTTTTCTTTAGGGCATGTTGCAATGCTCCCATTCTTATTCTACATTTCAGCTGCTATACTCTACTCTAGCCTTTATACTAGCTCTATTATTTTTATTTGTAAATGGACATATATGGATGGACAGCCATATAAAGATTGATATAGAAAATTACAAACAGATAGAAATTATCTGGAATACTGTTGTGTAGTTAATATAAAGTACAGAGGAAATGGGGAGACCACAAGATACACATGTTGCTGCATAATTTCGTACAGAATTGTATTGCACATAGCACAGCGTAATCTCAATTACTATGTATAACCAAACAAATGGAAAAACAGCAAAAATCTAAAAGAAAATATAGTACAACAGTGTAACATTATTTACTGAATATGCATGCCATGGTGCCTTCACTGATGGTATTGAGGGGACATACTGCTCACTTCTACCAGAATCTGGACTCTTGGGTGCTCCAAGGGCGTCTACAGAAAAAATGTGTTTAAAAAAAAATATAAAATTTATTTCAGCACTTAAAGTTCAAATAATTCAGACAAAAATGCACCTCTTGCAAAAATGGTCCTACGTGTTTCACCACCTTGGGGTGCTTAGAGACCACTGCTACAAATATGTAAAAAAAAAGAAAGAAAATGTTTGCAGCTTATTGTTTGTCATTTGTTTTTTGTTATGACTTTGTTTTCGAAATATACAACTTAACTGTATTTACAGTATGTGAGTCTTATGTACAAATTTAGACATTTTTATATTTTGCTGCAATTGTTAGTAAGCTGCACTGCTAGCAATGTCTTCAGGGTCCTTACAAATACATACAAGCAAAGTATTTGATGATAAATGATCTGCCTAATGTCTGCAAATCCTCAAATGTACACATGTACGCAGACGGCACAGTAATCTATACAAGCAAATCCAATCTACCGCAGCTTGAGGCTGTGCTCCAAGACCAGTTCACAGAGGTAGAAAAGTGAATCGCAAAAAAAAAACTCTTCCTAAATACTGACAAAACTGTCACAATGATCTTTGGAACAGTACCTAAATTACACAAATGACACAATTCCCACCTATCCATCAAATACTTAGGTATGTTGGTAGACCACAATCTATCTTTTGGCCTCCACAAAACTTGCATCTAAACTTTATCCAAAATTAGGTGCCCTGTACAGAAACAAGTCCTGCCTAAGCCCTACAGTAAAGGAAAAGATTGTACAGCAAATGCTGATGCCAATCATTGATTATGGGGATGCAGTATATGCACCTACACCGCAAACCCACCTTAATAAACCCAATACATTGTATAACTCGTTTTGCCGATTTTTGCTACAATGTAATTACAGGATCCACCATTGTGACATGCTAAAATAACTAAACTGGCTGTCGCTGGAATCCAGACGCACCCTTCATCTTTCCAGCCTTGGGTTTAAGATCTTTTCTGGGAAGCTCCCCCCATACCTGAACAGAATGCTCTCCCCAGCTGTTCTCATCTCCTATAACCTCCGATCCAGTACCAGCACTTTATTTAGTCTACCTCAATACAAAAAGTATGCAGCCCGTTCCTCCTTTTCCTACAGAGCACCTCAATTATGGAACGACCTCCTGCACACTTTTAAATCTTCCACATGCCTAAAGTCCTTTGAGAGATCCCTCTCTACATACCTCAAAACACAATGCACGTGTCATGGTTGATTATATATTTTCTACCTGTTCTATGTAAAATTTTGTATATATTGTTTATTAGCATTGTTTTTGTATTTTATTGTACCCTATTGTATGAATGCAATGTTTTGTGGACCAGGACATACTTGCAAAGAAGAGAAATCTCAATGTATCTATCCTAGTAAAATATTTTATAAATAAATAAAGATTATGTATTTATATACTTTGACACATCTACTAGGGATGTATATGGTCAAAAAATTTGGTTCGGTTCGGAAATTCGGGTAAGTAAAAAAAATTAGTCTGCTTTGGCAATTCTGACCAATGGCATTCGGTTTGGCACTTTAGAACTGCCAAATCACATTTGGTTTGGACCTTTGGTATTTAGGCACGCGGCATTTGGGCAATTATTTTGGGAATTCGGCATTTGGCATGCCATTTGTATCAGGCATTCGGCAGTTCGGAAAGTCATTCCTTTTGATAAATAAACATAAGCTTTTTTTACATTGCATAGTGGACCAAAGCAGCACCCAGATCCCTTAATCTTAAAGAAGTGGTTTGGGTTTAGTTAATAATTATTGGTGATAGTTTAGTATATATATAAGTTACAAAATTATATTTTCACTGCACAGATAGTACAGCCAATCAGGGAGCACTATCAACATGCAACACTTCTGCACACTATATAATCCCATCCCTGTGACACCATCTTTGTGGAGAGTTTATGAGCAGAGAGTGAGCAGAGAGAAAGCAATTTGTGTCTGAACAAGCAAGTGAGAGTGTGTGAGAGAGGGGAGAATGTGAGGAGGACATGGACGACCCATTATGGTTTCTTTTGTTTTATTGATTTTTGTATTTAAATTAAATCACAGAAAACTAAAAAACACAAAATTAATTAATTAATTAAGATACAACCTGGCAATCAGGCTACCTGGCAACAGCTAAAAAAAACCCACAAAATTAATCACTGTAGCAAAGTCACAGTGCAGCAGAGAGACACCGTGGCAATCAATCTACCTGGCTTGCGCATCCACACACTCTCAACCCCCTTCAAAAAAAGAAGAAAAATGCAGAAGAAAAAAAAGGCAAAACTCTCTCTCTCTCCCTGGAACACACACTTAAAAGCAATGTGGCTCCCCAAGTTTGCAACAAGTAAAGTACAATAAATGTAATGTAATTTATCTCTCTCAGTCTCTTGTGCTATCACAACTAGTCTGGTCACATGAATGCAAGCCAACACCCTGGCACCCTGACAGATTTATATACTATGCCACCTCAATGACTCTGTATACCTTCATTGGCCAAGTGTCAGTGACAAAATCACCATTAATTGGCTGTCCTCTAACATCAATCACAAAAATGTGCTCATTTCATTGGAAAGGGAATAGTAAAACCGGATTTGCATGCAATCATTACATTACACAAAAGGGATTAGCTTATTGGTCAAGATTCCTGTCATTATTCACGTAATTTTCCCTCCCTCTCTCTTGTTTTGCCACTTTTCAGAAATCTGAATCACTTTGGCACTTCAGAGCTTTGGCACTTCCGAACTACTGAACTTCGTCACTTCAGAACTTCGGCACTTCGGACATTCGTTAGCATCCGAATGTCTGAATGGCATGAAATTCATATGAATGTACATTTGGAACAAAATGAATTGCACATCTTTAACATCTAATATATGTGAGAAAAATATAATTTTTGGTTTTATACATATATATCAGACCCCGTGTCAATATTGCAAAATAAAGAATACTCTATACTGTTTCAAGTTTTTAATTTCCCAAATATTTTTATAAAGGCAAAATAAGTGAAAAATAAAAATCTTAAGAATTTCCGTAATTTTAATTTATACATTTGTCTGAAAAGCAAATGATACAGAAAATTGCTGTGTTATGCTAGCTATACATCCCTTGCTAGAAATACATCTAGTGAAGGGATTAATAATAACACACATTTTTGAGGTTGGAATAAATAAAACAACCTTTTATGATATTCACTTATTGGTGAAAGAAGATAGTAGGATGGATAGACATGTCTATGCCTCTTCTGACAGCTGCCATCATTCTGAATGGCTTAGTAATGAAAATAATATATACAAGACTTATGCAAAAATAAGTTGGAATATTGAATAACACATTTTAAAGCACTGTCTATTGGACCTTATTGCTAGAACTAACAATGAGGTTGAGGTGTAAATCTATAGAATAAGCCTGGATTTTGAGTGGCTGGATACTTGGATTCATGATACGATATTTCTGGAAATGCAGTATGGAGCTTTATACTCCAGAGTCTATTATTACTTTGGCATGCCAAAGATCTACTTCTAGTCTAGGAATTTGTCTGCTGTGGTATGCCGTAGCACATGATAAAGATTATGGAAGTCAAAAGAAGGCCCATTTTGGGAGATATGAGTCAGACAAATAGTTAGAAATTATTGATATTCTAGAGGTCTGGTATGAACTGGAGGAACATGTGGCTGAAGAATGGAAGTAGTAAATTGAATGTAAAGAGTTCCAGGAGGAGAACGTGTTAGCTGGGATCTGAGTGGTTGACCAGATCATTCACCTGATGAGCTTCCTTTGGAGCAGGGCCGTCTTTAACAAGGGGCAAACGGGGCAGCTGCCAGGGGCCCAATAACTCCTGGGGGGCCCAAAGTAGCTGCCCCGTGGGCCCCCTGCCACAACTAAGACTGAACAGCCCACCGGTGGGCTGTGGCAGGTGAAGTAATCCCTTTAAGAGTGCTCCTAACCGGCCTCTGTCTTTCTGCCTGCTGGGAGGTGAGATCACTTCCTCCCAAGTAACAAGAGTGCCTCTGGGGAGGAGAAGACACACATGGAAGTGGAGGAGGAGACACACACAGGAGGAGAGGGACTGAGGAAGCCAAGTTCCTCAGACTCCCATCAACCTCAGCCGTCCAGCTCCCACTGGACCTCAGGGAAGCCACCCTTCTGTAAAGGTAAGGAGACAGGAGGGTGGCTAAACTTAAATTGATATAAATGTGTGGGTAACTGACTGTGTGTATCTGGGTGTGTATCTGACTGTGTGTGTGTATCTGACTGTATGTGTGTGTGTGTGTATGTTAAGTATTAGGGTGTTATGCAGTCCACCTTCCAGTAGATGGCAGCATAGGGAAGTTATGCACTTGTTATGTTCTGTTAGTCTCTCTTGTTTTTATATTATGTGTGTGTACTGAAGTAAAGAGAAGTTCTATTTTACTACAATGTCTGAGAGCCATTTTGTGAATATATAACATGCTAATACACCAAACTGGCGACGAGGATTTGGTCGCCAGTTTGGCGACGAGGATTTGGTGTATTAGCATGTTATACACTGCAGAATATATATACAGGAAGTAAAATCACCCTGAGTGAGGAAGTAACACTTTTCTTTTGGAATTCTATTATCTACAAATATCTCCAGCATGGCTTCTCTGGGACACATGGAGGAATTTGATCTGACTAATCCAGCCTCATGGGACTCATATGCTGACAGGTTAGTGTTTTTTACATGAACTATCTGCCTATAAAGGGTGCCTATTATGGGGAAACAGAGTGGTTATTCCAAATGCAGGACAAGCTCGAGTATTGCATGCTCTTCATGAATAGTTTGCATGAAAGCTTTAGCCAGAAGTTATGTTTGGTGGCCTAAAATGGATGAAGTTATTGAAAAGTGGGCGAAGAACTGTGTACCATGCCAATCTACTCGTCATGCTCCACCTAAAGCCTCAGTACATCCTTGGGAAGTGATTAGATCACCTTGGTCCTGTTTACATATAGATTTTGCTGGCCCTTTTCATGGACGGATGTTTTTTTTAGTTGTTGACTCCTTTTCAAAATGGTTAGAAGTTGTTCCAGTTACATCTGCTACCTCAGTCACAGTCATAAAGATTCTAAGGAGGCTGTTTGCTACACATGGGTTGCCAGATACAATTGTGTCTGAAAATGGAACACAATTTACCTCATCAGAATTCAACATTTTCATGGCAAGTAATCTTATTCAACATGTTACGATTGCACCACTTCACCCATCATCAAATGGTCAAGCTAAGCGTATGGTTCAGACTACCAGAGACTCATTAAAGAGAATTATTGAAGGAGATTGGAATCGTTGACTTGCAAATTTCCGTCTGCAACAAAATGTGACACCATGCTCAAGCACTGGTAGTAGTCCAGCAGAGCTCCTTATGAACCGGCATCTTAAAACTAGTCTTGATCGTTTACATCCTGATTTGACATCTGAGTTACAAGAGAACCAAGAATTGCAATTCAATAAGAACTATAATGCTTCCACTGTGAGAGTATTTGCACCTGACAGTGCTGTCTATGTCAGGAATTATGTTTCTGGGCCTAAATGGATACCTGCAAAAGTACTTGTGGTCACAGGACCTTTGTCATACAAAGTTCAAATTCCTGATGGTAGAATATTACGAAGGCATGTCAATCAGATCCAGGAACGGAGTGATGAGATTGTGCCTGCTGTCGGTCCCACTCATACCGGGTTTTCTGTGATACCAGATGATGTCGAACCACTGGGTGATACAGGTGTCAGTTCTCCAGGAGTTGTTGTTGCAGAACCAGTTCCTTGAGAGCACAGGAAGAAGGGATGGGCACAACTGAAGGTCCAGGTGAAGCAGCTCCAAATATGGTTCTGGGGCACCCATTAAGAAATATTCACTCTCCCAGTTATCTCAAAGACTTTGAGGTCTAGGGGGGAGGAGTGTTATGTATTGGGGTCTTATGCAGTCCACCTTCCAGTAGATGGCAGCATAGTGAAGTTATGCACTTGTTCTGTTCTGTTAGTCTCTCTTGTTTTTATGTTAATATGTGTGTGTACTGAAGTAAAGAGAAGTTCTATTTTACTACAATGTCCGAGAGCCATTTTGTGAATATATAACATGCTAATACACTAAAGTACTCTGTGTGTGTGTGTGTATCTATCTGTGTGTGTGTGTGTGTGTGTTTGTATATGGCTGTGTGAGTGTCAATGCATGTGCATATTTGTGTCCGTGTTTATGTGTATCTATGTGTATGTATACCTGTGTCTTTGTACTTGTGTGTCAGTTTGTATGTGTACCTGCATGTCTGTGTATGTGTACCTGTGTGTATGTGTATATGAGTGTCAGTTTGTGTCCATCTTTCCAGTACCAACATTGCACACATATACACTACTAAATTCCAACGCTAACACTGCACACAAATACACCACTGCATGTGTACCCGTGTGTCTGTGTGTATTTTAGTGTGTTTACATATCTGTGTAAGTGTGTGTAAGGGTGTATCTCTGTGTGTGGATGTGCCAGTGTTTTTATCTGTGTGTATGTGTGTATACGCCAGTCTGTTTGTGTCAGTCTGTGCATGTGTCCAGATTTGTGCATGTATCAGTGTGCTAATGTGTATGGATATCTGTGAATGTATGTCATACATCCCAGCAATCAAACACAACATGCAAACACACCCATTACATACAAACACACCCCTGCAAACACACACATTACATACAAACACACCCCTGAATTCAAACTCAAAAAGTATATAGAAACACACCCCTTCACTCTAACACCAATACTACACCCTACATGTACACACATAATCTATACAACAGCAGGCTCACATTCAAATGTAAAAACACTGCTCACAAATACAGCCCTGCAAGAATGGCCATAGCATCGTGGAAATTGGCATAGCATCGTGGAAATTGTACAACAGATGAGGATCTATCTTTTATCCATTCTTGTGCTAGAGGGGAGGCCCACAAAATGTCTTGCACCAGGGCCTTCTCTACATTAGTTCTGCCACTGTGTTGGGGTGGAGGGCATGAGTGCATGCCAGGGGTGGAAGTGTTTGGAGGGGAAGGGCAGGATCAGGGGGCCCAAGCAAATGCTTGCCCAGGGTCCAATCAATGTTAAAGACTTTGGAGGGGTCTCTCCTAAACACAATGGGGACTATGAAACTTAGGTGAGTGGGGACTCAATTACCCTCTTGCAGTGGAAGCATTGTTACTGGGACAGATCACTGCTGTTCTCTGTCCTACACAGCAATGTGGGTCTTAGGGATCAGGGGCAGGTAACCTCCCTCCCTAACTGCTGAGCAAAATCCATGAAGGCTGCACAGACACATCTCCCAATCAGCAGCATGTCCATCAGGGAGTTGATACAGGTTACACCCCTCCTAAGCAACACTGTGAATTTTAGGGGGAAGGTGCAGTAGACATCTCTCCTGCAGCAGTTTGTGCATCATAGAACCAGTGCAGGTGGAACGCCACTCCAATGACAGAATTGATTCCAGGGAGAAGATATAGTTGGCATCTCTCCCGAGCAGCAGTGCATGGCTTTGAGAGTTAGTGCAAGTGGCATCCCTCCCCAGCTGCAGATGGGACCAGAAAGAGGAGGTGGATGGCACTTCTCTCCAGCAGAAGTGTGTGCATCAGGTAGCCAGGGTAGGTGGCACACCTTGGATATCATGAGTACCAGAGAGAATCTACAGTCATCATCTCTCCCCAGTGGAATTGCATGGTTTTGGGAGTGGGTGATGGTGACGCCACACTCCAGCAGCAGATGGTGACTTTGTGGCACCTCTCTATGGCAGGGTGAAGTATGAGGAGCAGATGGCTTCTCTCCCCAGTGGCAGAGTGATATCAATGAAAAGAATGTATCTGGCAGCTCTCCCCAGCAGCAGAGTGATATACATGGACTCTGTACAGACATCACAACTCTCCAGTGACAGATGATCATTTGGAGCTGGGGAAGGTGACCCTAGCGGCAGAGTGAAAGGGTGCAGCCAGCATCTCTCACCAGTGGCAGTATGTTGTTCCAGGGACCACTGTGGATAGCACCTCACATTTGTAACTTGCTACTGGTGCACATTGATCATCTTTTGGAGATGGGGATTCTTTCTAAAGTCTGTGAGAGTAAATAAACTTTTTGTGACTCATTTTCCAATTAACTGGGACACAGACTGATCTGAGTTTTTGTGCACGGTTAGCCTACCATTGCTGGAAGGAGAGAAATGTAATGAGAGTTTCCCTACCTTTCAATGGCTTCACAATGAACCTGTGCTTTTTGGAGGAACTTGGAGGCCAGCCTCCTTCCTAGAGACTAGGAACCCTCTGTTATGGCTGAAACTAGACTCAGTGGATGCTGTGGCTAACAAAATGGTTGGGACTTTCTATACTGTGTTGTTAAATGTATTGCGTGTCCATTTTGTGCATCACTTTCCTACCCATCCCTTCCCTGTTGTTTTTTTCTAGCAGGGTTTTGTCCCATTGTACCAGGAGAGGGCTTCCACACTAGATCAAACTGACGACTCTGTCACTCCTTTAAGTTTCCTTTGTGGTTTACAGTCCTTGTGTCATACATGAAATGGAATTTTGAACACTTTAGTAGATTGTGCCCAAATGCAAAACAAAGAGAGAGAGATCAATAACACTCAAATGAAGGCAATTGCAATGACTCCAGTAATAAGAGTTTGAGAATTACTGTTTATGAATTTTTTTCCACAAATGAGCTTAGATAAGAAGACAAAAATAGAGCAATCCACAGTTTAAAGTCCAGTAACATAGAACATAGAAACATAGAATGTGACGGCAGATAAGAACCATTCAGCCCATCTAGTCTGCCCAATTTTCTAAATACTTTCATTAGTCCCTGGCTTATCTTATAGTTAGGATAGCCTTATGCCTATCCCACGCATGCTTAAACTCCCTCACTGTGTTAACCTCTACCACTTCAGCTGGAAGGCTATTCCATGCATCCACTAACCTCTCAGTAAAGTAATACTTCCTGATATTGTTTTTAAACCCTCTAATTTAAGACTATGTCCTCTTGTTGTGGTAGTTTTTCTTCTTTTAAATATAGTCTCCTCCTTTACTGTGTTAATTCCCTTTATGTATTTAAATGTTTCTATCATATCCCCCCTGTTTCGTCTTTCCTCCAAGCTATACATGTTAAGATCCCTGAACCTTTCCTGTTAAGTTTTATCCTGCAATCCATGAACCCCAATCTATCTGCACCAAAGCAAATCTCATCAGCCCCTCTCTGGTTTTAATGTGGCTTTAATTTTGGAGTGAGTCCTCCCATAATCCACAATGATAACAGGCACAAATTTTCAATTAAAATAAAAAATGTGGTGCAAGTAAAATGTTTTCTTCTTATGGGTTTGTGCATATCAATGTTTATGCTTTGTTTTATTTACTTTATTTGCTTTACATACTAAACACAGCAAACAAAACTGTATAAACTGCCTAATTTAATCAATTTTCTCATGTGTTACGTAATTCCAGTGGTGACGGACATTCTTACAAATAAAGAAATTTTGGACGCAATGGCAAAGTCACCAGCTGCCAAGAAAGCCCTGGGCAAGAAGGGATCCAGTCCGATAAAAGGCATTTCAAAGTAAGCAAGATTTAAAAATGTTTCTCATAGCCATATGTTTTGTTTAGAGCAGTGGTCCCTAAACTGCCGCATTTACTGGCCCTATAGTGTAATGTACAGTGTTGGTGTTTGAAGGAGTGCTTGTATATATTTATTGTGTTTTAATACAGGGGTGTGTTTGTATGTGATGTTTGCGTTTGATTGCAGGGGTGTGTCTGAATGTAATGTTCACTTTTAAATGTGGATGTACATTTGTGTGAAGTATTTGTGTTTGAGTGAAGGGGTGTGTTTGTTTTGTTGTTTTTTTTCTTTGAAGGCAGTGGTGTTTTTGTATGTAATATTTGTGTTAGATTGCAGGAGTGTGCTTGTATGTTGGGCTGGTGTTTGACTGCTTGGATGTATGCACATACATACATACATACATACTTACACAGATATTCATGCATATTAACACACAGATGCATGTAAATACACTGAAACATACACACAAATTCATATAGATACCAACACATACAGATACACACCGACATATACACACATGCACCCTGACACACAAACATTGATACATGCCCACACCATGACACAGATACACACTGACATAAAAACACACTTCCTGACACACAGATGCACATACACAGATGTGTGACAGCACACAGACACAAAAGCATACTGACATATTACAACTACATGTCTGTTCGTCCACCCATTGTAAAGCTCTATAAATATCATAATAATAATAATAATATATATATATATATATATATATATATATTTACACACACAGATGCACACCCTGACACATACAAACACTCACACACATACAAACACTCATACACACACACTCAAACTCATACACACTCACACACATATATATACTCACTCATACTCACACACATACTCATACTCACACACACACACACACTCATACACAAGTGATTTTTTTTTTCTCCAGCTACCCTCCTGTTAGCTTACTTTATGTGCCAGGAGGGTGGCTTGGAATGCTGTGGGAGTGAGGGGTCTGGAGCTCTTCATGCTCCTCTACCCTCACGCTGTGGCTGCCTCCTCCCACGCTGTCTCCATGCAGGATGCTGGGTCAAAGTGACAAGCTGTCACTTCCTCCCAGCCAGCTGACAGGGAGACCGCCCGGTCGTGGTCTTAAAGGACCGCGGCAGTTGACCTGGTCACTGTTGAGCAGTAATGTTCTGCGGCACCCCTGTGTGCGCACAGTTTGGGAACCGCTGGTTTAGAGCATGAAACCCCCAGCCATCACGCAATTCAACTTTTTCTACTTAGGACTGTAATTGCCTATTTGTTAATGTTTGTGTGCACAGAGTCTACAATCATATCAAATCATATCTCTTAGACCAGCGGTTCCCAAAGTGTGGGTCGTGACCCACTGGTGGGTTGCAGGGCGATTCCCAGTGGGTTGCGCTGACCCAGACACCCAGGGCCGCCGGGGACTTGGGCACGCAGATTGACACCAGGAGGGGGCCCGGCGGCTTGCCCTGTATGCCGCCGGGCTCCCTCCAATCAGTCTGCCCAGCACCTCCAGTCTGCTGCTCCGCCGGGTGCAGAGCTGCAGACCGTGTGATAGAAGTCTCGCGAGCACCCAGAGCGTTACTATGGCAACACTCAGGGAGCTCACAAGACTTTTATTACACTGTCTGCAGCTCTGCACCTGGTGGAGCTGCAGACCAGAGAGTTACCCCACCGGACCACCAGGAAGACACTGGACCACCAGGGAATTTATTACAGACCCTCTCCCCCCCATGTAATCCCTTCACTCCCTGCCCCCCTGTAACTCCTTCACTCCCTGCCCCCCGTAACCCCTTCACTCCCTGCCCCCCTGTAACTCCTTCACTCCCTACCTCCCCACTGTAACCCCTATTCTCTCTGCTCCCCCTCAATGTAACCCCTTTACTCCCTGCCCCCCTCCCCCCACTGTAACCCCTTCACTCCCTGTCCCCACCCTCCCCATGTAACCCCCTTCACTCCTGCCCCTGTAACTCCTTCACTCCTGACCCCCGTCCTTCACTCTCTGCCCCCTGTAAACCCTTCACTCCCTGACCCCCATTGTGACCATACTCTCCTGCCCCACCTCAATGTAACCCCTACTCTCCCTGCCCCCACTGTAACCCCTACTCTCCCCTACTCTCCCTGCCCCCACTGAAACACCTACTCACTGCCCCCTCAATGTAACCCCTTTACTCCCTGCCCCCTCCCCTCGCTGTAACCCCTTCACTCCCTGCCCCCCACTGTAACCCCTTCACTCCATGCCCTACCCCCATGTAACTCCCTGCCCCCCTGTAACCCCTTCACTCCCTGCCCTCCACTGTAACCCCTTCACTCCATGCCCTCCCCCCATTTAACTCCCCTGCCCCCTCCTGCCCCCTGTAACCCCTTCACTCCTGCCCCCCCACTGTAACCCCTTCACTCCATGCCCTCCCCCGCCCCTTCACTCTCAGCCCCTGTAACCCCTTCACTCTCCCTGCCCCCACTGTGACCCTACTCTCCTGCCCCACCTCAATGTAAGCCCTTTATTCCCTGCCCCTCCCCATTGTAACCCCTTCACTCCTGCCCCTCTGCCCCCACTGTAGCCCCTTCACTCCCTGCCCCCCACTGTAACCACTCCCTGCCCCCCCCCTCAATGTAACCCCTTTACTCCCTTCATGGGAGCCAAGGAGTGGGAAAAAGGACCTAGTCTCTTTGTCTCCCTGGTACAGAAAGCCCACCACACATGCAAGGGGTCTTCCACACCAAACGACAGGGGTCTTCATCACAGGATCCTCTGTGCCTGGGAGCCCGGGTGCGGGGAAAGGGACCTAGTCTTGTCTCCCAGGCACAAAAAGCCTGCCAAAGTAGCCAGTGCCCCAAAAGTGTCCCCACCAACCTTAGAAACCCCCACACAAGTATATTTCCCGATCAGTCTCTGTTTGTGAGGCTCCTGTGCAAACACCAGGCAAGGGAAGCGTCTCCTTTCGGGATACGAATGCTCCCGCTGGTTGGCGTTCGTCTATACGAAATGGCGGCCACTCAGGAAAGCAATCATTAATACTTCCATTGCGGTTTCGCGCTTCTGTTACTGGTGTGACCGTTTTAATTAATTGGGGTGAACATTCTAATGGAGCACCGGGGTGCCTCCCAGGTGTTCTACACACACTGCCCCAAACACACACACTGCAACTCTCACACACACTGCCACCCTCACATACACACTGCACTGCTCACACACACACACTGCAGCTCTCTCACACACACACTACCCCACACATACACTGCCCCCTAACACACACCCTGACCTACACTGCTGCCATCACACACTTGCCATCACACACTGCACCTTTCACACACACTTCACCCCTAACACATACCACTGCTCCTATGCCCTATATCCCAGCAGACACCAGGTAAGTTGTCAAACTGTTCTTAAACGGTTTGACTACTTACTCTGGGATGGGTTCCTGGCACTACTGGCGCCATAACTACTACACTGAGCTGTAGTGGTTATTGTGCCTGGATTATTTCTTTAAATGATCTACAAGTGCCCCTCCCGAGATCAGGCTCTGGATCCGCCACTGCATGGAGGTTAGCTGACCCAGGTTATTGCCCAGTAGAACATCTGCCGGTACGTGGTTCTTGAGCCCGACCTCCACTATCCGGTGTCTTGCAGACCCTGTGCGGAGTGTCCGTTTAACTGGACCGGCTGCCTGTGATGATCCTGCTTCTCTGCTGTGGCTTGGATGGAATCTGCCTTGTGCAAGAAGGTCCATTGGGAGTTGGAGCATATGTGAGGGCAGCCTGGTAACAGTGGGCTGCTTGCGGTGCAGGAGAGGGTCACAGGGGAATCCACTGGAACCATTCCCTCGGCTGAGTGCAATCCCTCCTCATGTGGCCATACCTGTGGCATTGATGGCACTGGATGGTGGCCCGGTTGGGTGCCCTCTGGGTTGGTACCGGGGCCAGTGGACCTCTGAGTGGGGGGGGCTGCAGTCAGGGCCAACGGTGGTGTAGGGTGCCGGAGGGATCTGTAGCCGAGATCGGCGGGCATCCACATACTCATCTGCCACTGGGCTGCTTCGTCAGGGTCCTGGGTTGCATCTCTGTGGACAGGCCATTATAAAACTGCTTTAGCAGGAACAGTTGGAGAATTTCTTCAGGGGACTTGGCATGTTGGGAGTGCATCCAGATTTGGGCTACCCATATTAAATGGCAAGCCCACTCCGCATGGGAATCCTTCTCACCTTTCTTGGACTCCCTAAATTTCCTGCGGTACCCCTCCGGGGTCACGGCATACCTAGTCAACAGAACTTGCTTCACAATGGCATAATTCCACAGCTCGTCTTCAGGCACAGCTCGGTAGGCGTCCCCGGCTTTCCTCATTAGCATCCCTGCCAAAAAAGGGGCCCAATCCGATGGGGCAATGCTGTGCAGTAGGCAGAGGCATTCAAAGTCTTGCAAAAAGCCAACAATGCCCTTCTCTGATTCTGAAAAAGTCTTGAAGGCATCGTATGGCAACTTGGGCTTTTGTTAGGTAGTTGGGGGGACTAGCAAAAATAAAGAGTATAAAACAGTACAAGAAGCACTGCTTTTGCCATGCACTTAGCATCTGTATAGTAAGTTAGTGGTTAGTGTTACCACAGCACCTCTGAGTGATGTAATGCATGCGCCATGCATCTTGAGTGCATGACATGTACCTCAGACATTTAAAAAATGATGCATGGAATACAGTTCGTGGAGGTAATTATTCTACATTTTCCACATTAAAACAAATGATTGTAGGTTGAGGTCAAAATATAAAATGTAGGGTTGAATATTAAAACTATGGACCACGTATGACTTGTTGGGGTCACTTCTCTACTCACCTATATACATGTGATGTGAGATATGAGTATCGTTGGCTTGTGAAATAATAAAAGCTGAGTTCCATATTTGCTTTGTCCTTTCTATAATCCACAGTATTAAGGTTGAAGATCTCAAGTTCAGTCAAATTTCCCTGAACATCATACCTGGTACTGGGATCAGGATGTCTGTAACAAACAAGATATTTATCACTGGGAAAAGGTGAGAAGTACTGTCTTGGAAATAGACGTTTGTATGTGGTTTTTATCAAGAGGAAACAGTCAAAATGACAGGGACATGTGGTTCTGTGGTTTAACAGTTTTCTTGGTGGAAAGACAGAGATGAAATTGGAAGTAAACATTGTAACCTATACAAGTCTTGAAAAGGACAACTCTAGCTGTCCCAGATTCGTTAGAAGTGAATGCCAGATTAATATCATCGACGTTAAGGCCAACTTGCCAAAGGGGTAAGAAGCTTATTAAAATATAATGGTATGATTCACATAAAATCAAAATTACTAAATACACTTTTGTTTTCTTCTTTCTTTTCTTTCTTCTACTTTTTTACAGAATTTTGCCAAATGTAATGAATAATTTCCTAGATAAAAATCTCAAACTTCTTCTACCAAAAACGGTGAGCAATATAAAACTATAAGAAATGTTCCACAGGAAATTAAGAGATCCCATTTCTGCCTTAAGAAGGCAATAAACACAAACATGATAATCCAGAAGTCCTTTTCAGTGTGAAATACTCACCTTTTAAAGCAGCTTTCCAACAGTGTTCTATTTTTACTAAAGGGACACTATAGGCATTAAAACAACTTTAGCTTAATGAAGCAGTTTTTGGTGTTTAGATCATGCCCCTGCAGTCTCATTGCTCAATTCCTTGATATTTAGGAGATAAATGCCTTTTGTTTCTGTTTATGCTGCCATAGCCACCCCCCCCCCCGGCTGTGACTCACTCAGCCTGCATGAAAAAAATGGTTTCACTTCCAATCAGATGTTAGCTTGCTTTAGAAGTTTTTATTTTCTGATTTGTAAATCGAACTTTAATCACACGCATGATACTCCTGCAGAGTCTAGAAGGCTATTAACAGTGCAGGAGATAAGACATTCTAAATTAAACAGAATGTGCAATAAAGGAAGTTTAAACATTACACCTGTCTTTACAGGAAGTGTTTAGTATGAGTGTGTGAGTAACATGCAGGGAAGTGTGACTATGGCTATATAAACAAACTGATTTGACTAATAAATGGCAGAGAATTGAGCAGTGAGACTGTAGGAGCATGATCTATACACCAAAATTGCTTAATTAAGCTAAAGTTGTTCTGGTAAAAGAAAAAGGAGGGGTGTGTCGGGTGCTCACTCCAAAATAAACGGTTAGATAGGCAGCAGTAACCAATACAAGGATTCCCAGCCTTGTCGAAAAAACAGTATAGAAAAGGAAAAGAGGAAACCGCGCCTTACATAAGTTGTATATACATACACTTGATGTCTCATATATATCCTCAAAAAGAGAACACAAAGAGAAAATATACAATAGTGTGGTATGTTTAACAATATTAGAAAAAAGTAATGAATAGAGCGGAGGTATTTTAAACTCACATTTGGTAGAGCTATTATGGGAGCTCTACCGTGATTTGCATGGACGGTACAATCCCCGTCTTGGGATTAGAGGTCCAACGTCTTTGGCACTCCGATGGCGTGGTGGTACAAATAAAAATGGAAAAGAAGAAACTCCAATGGTATATTAGTTCCAGCTCCAAGTATGAATAAATAAATGAAAGTAATATACTCACATTTGCTAGAGCAGACAACTTGCTCTAGTATATAGGGCTTGCAGTGGTATAATCCCCACTGAAGGATATGCAGGTCAGGAAGTAGATGATGCAAATAAAATATAGTAAAATAGAATATAACTTTAAAAGGTATATTTAATAGTAATACAAATAAAATATAATGCTATATAAAATAACACTTAACGCGTTTCGCCAATGGCTTCATCAGAAGTGTAGATAGCTTACATCAAAAACTTCCTTTAAATACATAACTTACATGAATAACATAATTGTTGATGTCTTCCTTGTGTGCCTCGGCCAAAAAACGCGCGTAGGCAAAAACCGGAAGTAGCGCGGCGTCCACGTGGGTGTCGGCAGCCAGCGTGGAACGCACGCGTCAAAACCGGAAGCGGCGCGGCGTTAGCGTGTGTGTGTCTCCATCCACCGTGAAACGCACGCGTCGCGCCGGAAGTGACGCGGCGCCCACGTGGGTGGAATGCAAAACATGCGTTCCACCGTGGAACGCATAACAGCCGCGGCCGCAATATATTCCAATAAGGGGATCAAATACATAGAATTGTTCACAGACAAAACACATGTATAAAATAACAAAATAACTTTTCTTACTTAGTGTAAAATAGAAAGGTAAAAAATTCTTAGAGTTCTTTCACCAAGCAATGCGAACATCCAACATTGCACAAAGAATGTTCCATCCATTAAAGGCATATATGGAAGCAGCAGAACATCTTTTCTTCTTTGGTGTAAAAATAAAGATATATAGGGTTCATAGCATCCTTTTTATGGAGGCAGTCTTAAACGTCCAACAGTACATAAAGTATCCATCATTAATTGCTTGTTGGTCCAGTCATTTATAAGGAGAGTAAGTGTATAGACAAAAATAAATGGCCCCATTATGAGCATATCTTAACAAAGTGTACATATATAAGTAGCACAGAAATGGTAAAATTGTAGAAATAGATACATATATATAAAAGAATAAGAGTGCATGTAAGATCAAATATGAAACATAAAAATATATATATATGTAAAATAAAAATATAATAATAAATATAAATGCAATAAAATAGTAGAGGAGTAGGGTGAATAGAAAAAAAAATAGGATAATACAAAATAAGATGAGGAAGAAAAAAAAACCCCAGAGATTATAAAAAAATATTTTTTATAAAAAATTGAATAAGTCGAATTCTATATTTAAACCATCTGGGTGTAGGGTATTCATATTATAAACCCATTCCATCTCTGTACGTCCTATTTTTTTAGTATGATCACCTCCTCTCCAGTGTGATTTAACAGTGGCAATACCAGTGAAGGTGAGATTTTAGGATCATTATCATGAATACAGAAATGGGATGAAACAGAATGATTTTTAAAACCCTTTTCAATGTTTCTACAATGCTCAGCAATACGAATTTTTAAAGGTCTAATAGTCCGTCCTATATATTGTAGGCCACAAGGGCATTCCAATAAATATATAACGTTTTTACTGTTGCATGTGATTATGTCTTTTATATTATAGGACTTGCCATTATTATTTGATTTAAAATTAGATCTTAGTTTAGATGCGGGTTTAGTTTTTTTACATGCAATACACATGTTGCACTTATAAAAACCTTTTATTTCATTTAAAAAACTAGCCCCTGTGTTTTTTGCAGGTGTAACGGGGTTTTGGGGGTGCCCCCTAGTGTCTTTGGGGTCCCCAAACCTAGTTAACTCACTATGCCTGACAGGCGGATCCTGAGCCTCCGCTATCTGGGAGCTGGGGTACATGTCTGCGGCAGTGCCTCCACCCAGTGGAGCATCCGGGGTAGGGATGTGGGGTCCCACTGGGAACATACTTGGTGCAATGAGACTGACACAGTCTAACTGGGACTAACTTTATATGGTAAGTAGCAATTGAACCAACATACATAGGAAAATACAATAGAGTAACACAGATAACAATGCAAATGGGGATTTTCCTCACTCACCCACCAGCACACCTGCGCCCCACCCCCTTATCTTCGCCCTAGCGGCCGTTGGTGCACATAGGAGAGTTGGGGCCCTTATAAGTCCTGCTTCACAGGGTCACTGAAGCAGCCTCAGATGTGTAATGTCCGTCACGGGACCTCAGAGTCTTTACTGTGAGTGAGGAGACAGGTGCCCTGTGGCGATACAGGGAGAGGCTTGGCTTACCCTCACAACACGATTAACCAGTCAGTCAGCAGCAGTCTCCTCTCACTGGATTCGCCAGACGTCTGGACTCAGTGCTTGTCTTCTTTCCTTTCCTGCAGGTCCCTCTCTCAGCTGGTGTGGTCTTGGGTGAAACAAGTTCTCTCAGCCAGGTCCTATCTCTGTGCTACAGTCTCTCACATGTCCTCTCTCTGGCTCAGCATGTGGTCACTCTTAGAATCCTCCTCCCTCAGAGCTGTGCAGAAAGTCCTGACAGGCCCTGCGATGATGCCACACTCCTCTCTTGATTTCAGCCAGTCATGTGATCAAAGCTCAATGTTTTATTAACAGCATACTGAGTCCATGTGCCATCTACTGGGCATTTCAGATAATGCAGCCTGTGTGCCTGTGTAACTTCACGGGCTACATGCTCCCCCTTGAAAATACTTGCCTTCCACTGGCAAGTCCTAGCCAGGGAGCTTAACAAAAATTCAACAGAAAAAGGTTTAGCATACCTACAGTACAGTTCGCACAGTAACATCCTAGCTAGCTAGTTATTTAGGGTAAACAGTCACTAACATTTACCACTTCAGCTAGTGCATGTAGGAAAGTGGCCATTTTAAATGCTGCTTGTGTCAGCGGGGCATAACTGGGCTCTCCTATATTATCATAAACTAGGGCCCTAGGGGGTTGCCGCACTCTGGTGCTGTGTCTCAGTTCTCGCTGGGGGAGAGGATCTTGGGACATCAACTGTGGAACTTCGACTCCTGCCCTCGAAGTAGAGTTTTTAAGGGAAGTTCCAGGCACAAAACAGGGACTTTCTGGATTCAACCTTGGAGAACTTTGTGACCCAGGAGAGGTTCCGGGACTTTGTGAAACCACAGGAGTTAAAGGAGGCAATTGTTGTGTTTCTTCAGCGGCTGATGACCACCACTGATCCTCTGCACTGGGAGTTCCCGGGGTCTCCTCTGCCCCATTTCCAGGACTCTCTGCTGGGGTTTCCTCCAGTTCTTCACTACTCTCTTCATCAGTATACACAACTGGAAGCAGATGGTTTTTATGCCAAGCCTTTATTCGGCCCTCCGGGCCCCGAATGTTGTACACTGGCAGTCCTTCCAGTTTGGACACAACCTCAAACAGGGTATCTTTCCATCTGTCAGCCAGTTTGTGTTTTCCAGGCACACCTAGATTCCGGAGAAGAACTTTATCCCCTGCTTGAATCTCCCGATATCTCACCTTAGCATCATATCTTCTTTTGTTCCGTTCTTCCATTTTTGCTGCAGCTTGGGTGGCCAACTCGTAGGCCCGACGAAGGTTTTGTTTGAGGTTCCTCACATATTGAAAGTGTGAAGTTGAATCTGTTCCATCAGGAGACACTCCCAACCGGACATCTATCGGCAATCGAGCTTCTCTTCCGAACATTAAGAAATAGGGTGAGAACCCTGTAGATTCATGCCTTGTACAGTTGTATGCGTGGACCATGGTTTCCACATGTTTACTCCAAGACCGCTTCTCGATTTGCTTGAGAGTCCCTAGCATATCTAGGAGGGTCCTATTGAAACGTTCTGGCTGTGCATCACCCTCCGGATGATAAGGTGTGGTTCTGGACTTCTGCACCTGCAACATGCCTAACAGCTCCTTTATCAACTTACTCTCAAAGTCTCTACCTTGATCAGAGTGTAGCCGATTGGGTAGTCCATAGTGAATAAAATACTTCTGCCAAAGGACTTTGGCTACAGTCACAGCCTTTTGGTCTTTAGTGGGGAAAGCTTGAGCATATCTGGTGAAGTGGTCCGTTACCACCAGCACATTTCCAATTCCCGCTGTATCGTCCTCAATGCAGAGATAGTCCATGCACACAAGATCCATGGGTCCCGTACTTTTCAGATGACCCATAGGGGCAGCTCTCACAGGCAGGGTCTTCCTCTGGATACACCTCCTGCATGTCTTTACATGTTGCTCGACATGTTCCCTCATGCGAGGCCAATAGAACCGATCTTGTACTAGGCCATAGGTCTTGTCCACCCCGAGATGCCCATGTTGATCGTGGAGAGCTCTCAGGACCATGCCACGGTATCGGTGCGGTAGTACCAATTGTTTTCTGTCAGGGTGATCATGATACTTCACGACCCTATAGAGTACTCCATCTTCGAGATGTAGTCGGCTCCATTCTCTTCGGTATAATTCTCTTTGATTCACAGGTAGAGAAGTCAGCAATTTAGGATTCTTAGTCTTTATTGCTCTGATAACTATCCCAATATACCAGTCCTGCGCTTGAGCCTTCCTCTTGTCTTCTGTGGTTATACTGGACCACTGTTGAAGCATGACTGGAGCATGGAACACCTCAGGCACAGCTTCGGGAGAGTGGCTAATGGAGTCTATCCCTCTTAGCTCGGCAAATTCTTCTTGACTCTCGGCCACCACATACATCTGACAAAAGGCTCCTACCCCCGGCCCAGGGATCTCTTCCCACTCCTCTTCTTCTTGGTGAGGGGGGAGTCTAGGTCTGCGGGACAGGGCATCTGCGCTGACATTCTTGGGCCCAGGCTTGTACTTCAGGCTGAAACTGTAGTTTGACAAGGCAGCCAACCACCTATGTCCTGTAGCATCCAGCTTAGCTGTAGTCTGGATGTAGGTAAGTGGATTGTTGTCAGTCCTTACTTCGAATGTTGCCCCATACAAATAGTCATGCAGCTTATCCACGATGGCCCACTTGAGTGCCAGAAATTCCAATTTATGGACTGGATAGTTCTTCTCTGCACCTGTAAGACTCCTACTTATGTAAGCCACCGGCCTCAATCCTGCTGGATAACTTTGGTGCAGTACACCCCCTAGGCCTTCCATACTGGCATCCACATGGAGGATATATGGTTTCTCAGGGTCTGCATAGGCTAAGACAGGAGCTTCTGTAAGTCTCTTCTTCAGCGTCAGAAAGGCATCTTCACATCCTGAAGTCCATTTCTCTCCAAAGGGGTCTTTAGGATATGGTGCCTTAACACCCTTTACGTCAGAGATAATCTTCAGCAGGTCATGTAACTCTCGAGCAATCTTTGAGTAGTCTTTCACGAACCTTCGGTAGTAACCACAGAATCCGAGAAAGGACCGCAACTCACCGATGTTATTTGGTCTTGGCCAATTCAGCACTGCTTCAATTTTAGCAGGATCTGTGGCTACTCCTTCAGCGGAGACTATGTGCCCCACATAAGTGACAGAGTTCTGGGCAAATCGGCATTTGTCCACTGATAGCTTCAGGCCTTCAGCTTGAAGTCGATCCAACACCTTTAGCAATCTTTGTTCATGCTCCTCTGGTGTCTTCCCGAAAACAATTAGGTCATCTAGATACACTAGACACTCTTTGGGATTCATATCCCCCACAGTTTTCTCCATCAGCCTCTGAAAAGTAGCAGGAGCTCCTGTGACTCCCTGTGGCATTCTGGTAAACTGGAAGAACCCCAAAGGGCAGATGAAAGCTGTCTTTTCCTGATCTTCCTTCTTCATGGGTACCTGATAATATCCAGACCTCAAGTCAAGCACACTGAACCACTGGCTGCCAGATAGGGCGTTCAGAAGATCTTCTATCCGGGGCAAGGTGTACTGGTCTGGCACAGTCCTCTTGTTCAGAGTACGGTAGTCCACACATAGCCGAACTGAACCATTCTTTTTCCTCACTACCACAATAGGTGAGGCATAGGGGCTCCGGGACTCTGTGATGATGCCTGCTCCTTCCATCTGCTGGAGTATGTCCCGGACATCTTCCACATCTCGAGGGGGTATTCTTCTTGACCTTTCTCTGAAAGGAGTAGGATCAGCAAGTCTTATAGCATGGGTGGCACTCTTAGAACACCCCACGCCCATCTCTGCTCTGGAGAACACTCCCTCTCGGGTGGCCAGTTTTGAACGAAGGCTGTCTTTCCACTGCTGTGGTAGGGGAGAATCTTCTAGATCAAAATCTAAATGTGCTTTCACATGATCCGTCTGTTCTGCACTCACAGACATGATGGACGAAACTTGATCTAAAAGGTGTATTACACCAATCTTCTGATGACGATCAATCCGGATTTCCGTGGGGGTTAAATTCTGTACCATCACAGGAAAACTCCGACACCACCTTTTTCGCCAATCTTTTATCTCAGGTATGAGAGTCCACCCCTTCTTCTGATCCTCTTCAGGCAGAGACTCAATAAGGTATTGTCCAGTTCCCCCCAACATTTCATGGTGCATTGAGGCTATGGCTCGTAAGGTTTTGGTCTCACCAGGCTTCACAAATGCAGGTTCTGTTCCTGAATAGTGGCACAACCCTGGTTTTGTTGCAAGGGCTAGTCGTCGACACTCTTTTCCTAGGACAGGGCTGACCTCCATCAGTCGGTCTAAGGAGACATCTCCCACTTCTGTCAGATAGGCCCTGAATACATCCTGTACCATCTTTGCATTAGTACCCAATATTATTGGGGCACACACTTTCTTGGCTGCAGGGCATATCAAAGCTTCCAGCTCCATAGGACATATCATCCCGGTATTTAACTGGGGAATAGTTATGGTCACTTTTATGCATCCCTCCACAGGTTGAGCTTGAGACCCAACGCCCCATAGCTGAAACTCTCCTGCAGGTTCCATAGGAATGTGTTTCAAATGACGTTCATAGAAGTCTCTGTAGATAATGGTGACTTGAGAACCTGTATCTAGCAATGCTGAAGCATGAATTCCTTCCACTTGCACGTGTATCAAAGATTTAGGCCCAATCTTGGCCCCTACAGATAGACTATATGTAGGCCGGGTCTTCCTTCGCTTGTAAGACCTGGTCATTTGAGTCTCCCCGAGCTCGGTTGCCAGCACCCCCACATCCACCTCCATGGAATCCGCAGGGCACTCCCGCTGAAAATGCCCTGACTTTCCACATTTAAAGCAGTTCCCTCGGCGGGGTGAATCCTCAGGAAACAGCTTTTTCTGAGTCTTCCTGTGTTGCCCCCCACTTCCAGGGGGAAGATCTGCTCTCTCTGGTGGTGATTTGCATAAAAGCTCCAATTCAGCCACCTTCTTCCTAAGAGCTGACAGTTCTGTATTCTCTTTCTCCTTCTGTAGGGGTGGACACATCTGGTCTTCCAATCTCCTGGCTGTATTTATTAATGTGGAATAAGGCAGAACTTTATCATCCAACTTGGCTCTCAGCAGAATCATAACTGGATTACTGGTCAAACCACCTCTCTGAATTTGCTTAGATAGCCGAGCATCCAACTCAGAGGCAGTGACTGCTCCTTTATGGAATAACTTTCCAAGCGATAGCTGTAACCGGTTGATATAGTCAGTGGCTTTTTCGTGCTCCTTCTGCTTAGTGGCTAGGAACTTAACCAACAGATCATCCAAATCTTCTGATTTCCCATAAGCATCCTGTAAAACTTGTAGATAGTCGTGCGCAGTAGCTTGCCCATTTACTCCCTTGTACAGTCTTATCATGTCTGTAGCGGGAAAACGAAGACTCTCCACCAACCGCTGTTTCTTTATGGTATCCGTACAAGACCATTCCTCCAACAACTGCATAGCATTATCCTTCCAGACCACAAAAGGCTCCTCTCCTGCAGGAACAGGCTGATTCCCAGAAAACACCTTTAGTTTGCGGTAACTATGGGTGTGGTTTGCCGTCACTATGGCTTCTGAGAGTTTCTGTAGTATGTCCGATACATCACTACCTCCTGTAGGCAGGGTGTGTACTTCAGGGTTGTCTGGTTTCAGTAATGCTGTAGATGGATGAGATTCTGCTTTAGGAGTAATCATCCCCTGTCCTCTAGGAGGATGGGCAGCTTGTTTAGGGATGGCTCCAGCCTTTCCGGAGATGGGGGTCAGGAGCTTAGAATAATTTTCTGTGACATAATCTTTCCGTTCTAATTTAAAGGGTTGTTGCAGTGAGACCCTTTCTTTCTTATCAAGGAGAGCGTACACTAAGGAGCATCCTCCATCCGGGGCTCCATGTAAGTGAATGTTGGTAGGCATCTCATGGTCTCCCAAGCCCGTATGACAATATATTAACATGTAAGTTTGGCCTTCAGAATCCTGCAGGATATCTCTGATGGTCGCCATTTCTATTCCCAGTCGAATTTCTATACACAAGATGGCGTGATTCATCTCACAGCAGGATGGGACTTTGCATAACATCACAGCTTGCTGTAATGGTACATTTATTTGCTGGGCCCACTGTTTCACAAAGGAGGGAGTGGCCTGAGGACTTAACCTATTCTCACTGGTTGTACCCCAATACATCTCAGCAGTGCCTCCATCTGTAACGGGGTTTTGGGGGTGCCCCCTAGTGTCTTTGGGGTCCCCAAACCTAGTTAACTCACTATGCCTGACAGGCGGATCCTGAGCCTCCGCTATCTGGGAGCTGGGGTACATGTCTGCGGCAGTGCCTCCACCCAGTGGAGCATCCGGGGTAGGGATGTGGGGTCCCACTGGGAACATACTTGGTGCAATGAGACTGACACAGTCTAACTGGGACTAACTTTATATGGTAAGTAGCAATTGAACCAACATACATAGGAAAATACAATAGAGTAACACAGATAACAATGCAAATGGGGATTTTCCTCACTCACCCACCAGCACACCTGCGCCCCACCCCCTTATCTTCGCCCTAGCGGCCGTTGGTGCACATAGGAGAGTTGGGGCCCTTATAAGTCCTGCTTCACAGGGTCACTGAAGCAGCCTCAGATGTGTAATGTCCGTCACGGGACCTCAGAGTCTTTACTGTGAGTGAGGAGACAGGTGCCCTGTGGCGATACAGGGAGAGGCTTGGCTTACCCTCACAACACGATTAACCAGTCAGTCAGCAGCAGTCTCCTCTCACTGGATTCGCCAGACGTCTGGACTCAGTGCTTGTCTTCTTTCCTTTCCTGCAGGTCCCTCTCTCAGCTGGTGTGGTCTTGGGTGAAACAAGTTCTCTCAGCCAGGTCCTATCTCTGTGCTACAGTCTCTCACATGTCCTCTCTCTGGCTCAGCATGTGGTCACTCTTAGAATCCTCCTCCCTCAGAGCTGTGCAGGAAGTCCTGACAGGCCCTGCGATGATGCCACACTCCTCTCTTGATTTCAGCCAGTCATGTGATCAAAGCTCAATGTTTTATTAACAGCATACTGAGTCCATGTGCCATCTACTGGGCATTTCAGATAATGCAGCCTGTGTAACTTCACGGGCTACACAGGTTTTGTGTAATTTTTTGTAAGATGCATCCTTAGGTTGGGCGCTCCCCTAAAAACTATTTTTGGTCTTTCTGGTATTAAGTGTCTTCTTTCAATAAGAATAGTATCTTCTTTCAATAAGTTCCAATGTCTATTGATAATCTTTTTTAATTCTTTATTTTTATTATTGTAATCCAATATAACAGGTAGTGATATATTTTGTTTTTGAATTCTCTTCTTAGTTAATAGGTCTTTTTGGTTAATAGACAAGGCTTGATTGAAAGTAGATTGGATGGTGGTTTTATTGTACCCTTTTTTTAAAAAACTTTCTTTTATTGTTTCTGCTTGCTGTTTAAAAACTGGGGTTTCTGTACAGTTTCTTCTTAATCTAAGCATTTGACTTTTTGGAATGCTGTCAAGCCATACTTTAATATGGCAGCTTTTAGTATCGATATAATTATTGACATGGACTTGTTTAAAGTGAGTTTTGGTGTGGATTATATTGTTTTTAATATAAATGTTTAGGTCTAAATATGTGATATGTGAATCACTAATTTCTGAGGTTAAAATTATGCCTTCTTGGTTGGTATTTAGGAAGGAGATGAATTCTTTAGCTTCAGTAGAAGTTCCTTTCCATATGAAGAGGAGATCGTCAATGTATCTTGAATAGGACACCAGGTTTTTTGCGCAGCCATGCTCACTCCAGATATATCTGTCTTCCCATTCCGCCATATAGAGGTTAGCATAATACCAGAAAGACCAAAAATAGTTTTTAGGGGAGCGCCCAACCTAAGGATGCATCTTACAAAAAATTACACAAAACCTGCAAAAAACACAGGGGCTAGTTTTTTTAAATGAAATAAAAGGTTTTTATAAGTGCAACATGTGTATTGCATGTAAAAAAAACTAAACCCGCATCTAAACTAAGATCTAATTTTAAATCAAATAATAATGGCAAGTCCTATAATATAAAAGAAATAATCACATGCAACAGTAAAAATGTTATATATTTATTGGAATGCCCTTGTGGCCTACAATATATAGGACGGACTATTAGACCTTTAAAAATTCGTATTGCTGAGCATTGTAGAAACATAGAAAAGGGTTTTAAAAATCATTCTGTTTCATCCCATTTCTGTATTCATGATAATGATCCTAAAAATCTCACCTTCACTGGTATTGCCACTGTTAAATCACACTGGAGAGGAGGTGATCATACTAAAAAAATAGGACGTACAGAGATGGAATGGGTTTATAATATGAATACCCTACACCCAGATGGTTTAAATCTAGAATTCGACTTATTCAATTTTTTATAAAAAATATTTTTTATAATCTCTGGGTTTTTTTTGTTTTTGTTTTTTTTGGTTTTTTTTCTTCCTCATCTTATTTTGTATTATCCTATTTTTTTTCTATTCACCCTACTTCCCTACTATTTTATTGCATTTATATTTATTATTATATTTTTATGTTTCATATTTGATCTTACATGCACTCTTATTCTTTTATATATATGTATCTATTTCTACAATTTTACCATTTCTGTGCTACTTATATATGTACACTTTGTTAAGATATGCTCATAATGGGACCATTTATTTTTGTCTATACACTTACTCTCCTTATAAATGACTGGACCAACAAGCAATTAATGATGGATACTTTATGTACTGTTGGACGTTTAAGACTGCCTCCATAAAAAGGACGCTATGAACCCTATATATCTTTATTTTTACACCAAAGAAGAAAAGATGTTCTGCTGCTTCCATATATGCCTTTAATGGATGGAACATTCTTTGTGCAATGTTGGATGTTCGCATTGCTTGGTGAAAGAACTCTAAGAATTTTTTACCTTTCTATTTTACACTAAGGAAGAAAAGTTATTTTGTTATTTTATACATGTGTTTTGTCTGTGAACAATTCTATGTATTTGATCCCCTTATTGGAATATATTGCGGCCGTGGCTGTTATGCGTTCCACGGTGGAACGCATGTTTTGCATTCCACCCACGTGGGCGCCACGTCACTTCCGGCGCGACGCGTGCGTTTCGCGGTGGATGGAGACACACGCGCTAACGTCGCGCCGCTTCCGGTTTTGACGCGTGCGTTCCACGCTGGCTGCCGACACCCACGTGGACGCCGCACTACTTCCGGTTTTTGCCTACGCGCGTTTTTGGGCCGAGGCACACCAGGAAGACATCAACAATTATGTTATTCATGTAAGTTATGTATTTAAAGGAAGTTTTTGATGTATGCTATCTACACTTCTGATGAAGCCATTGGCGAAACGCGTTAAGTGTTATTTTATATAGCATTATATTTTATTTGTATTACTATTAAATATACCTTTTAAAGTTATATTCTATTTTACTATATTTTATTTGCATCATCTACTTCCTGACCTGCATATCCTTCAGTGGGGATTATACCACTGCAAGCCCTATATACTAGAGCAAGTTGTCTGCTCTAGCAAATGTGAGTATATTACTTTCATTTATTTATTCATACTTGGAGCTGGAACTACTATACCATTGGAGTTTCTTCTTTTCCATTTTTATTTGTACCACCACACCATCGGAGTGCCAAAGACGTTGGACCTCTAATCCCAAGACGGGGATTGTACCGTCCATGCAAATCACGGTAGAGCTCCCATAATAGCTCTACCAAATGTGAGTTTAAAATACCTCCGCTCTATTCATTACTTTTTTCTAATATTGTTAAACATACCACACTATTGTATATTTTCTCTTTGTGTTCTCTTTTTGAGGATATATTCACAACCACCAAGAGACATCAAGTGTATCTATATACAACTTATGTAAGGCGCGGTTTCCTCTTTTCCTTTTCTATAAAGTTGTTCTGGTGCCTATAGTTACCCTTGAGGTTTGCAGGGTTATTTACTAAAGTGGGAATTCAACATGAATTTTAAATTTAAATTTAGGCCAGAAAAGCAGAACTAAGAGCATAGCAGACTTAGAGCCAGTTTGACTATTTCTACCCTAAATTTGTAAATCACTTCTGAATTCTCAATTTAGTAATGAACCCTGTTTTTCTAAACTTTAACAAAGTTGTAATTAAAAGGCACATTTTATATTGAAAAGAAGTGCTGAATCATTCCTAAATTTGCATGGGCCAAAAATTTGGTTAGTTTTGACACTTCCGAAATTCAGGGCTCTGGCAATTCGGCACTTCGGTTCGATTCGGCACTTCCGAAATTCAGGCTCTTTGGGAATTCGTCAATTTCGGATTTCAGGACATCATGATTTGGGCACTTTGGGAACTCGAGACTTTGGCAATTCCATAACTCTTCCCTTAACCATGACCCTAACCCTACCTCTAACCCTACTCCTACCCCTAACCCATAACCCTAACAATACCCCTAATCCTACCCCTACTAGGGTTAGGGGTAGGGTTAGAGGTAGTGTTAAGGTTAGAGGAAGGTTGGAGTAAGGGTTAGGTTTAGGGTTAGTGTGAGGGGTAGGGTTATGGGTAGGGTCAGAGGAAGGTTGGAGTAAGGGTTAGGTTTAGGGTTAGTGTTAGGGGCAGGGTTAGAGGTGGTGTTAAGGTTAGAGGAAGGTTGGAGTAAGGGTTAGGTTTAGGGTTAGGGTTTGGGGTAGGGTTAGGCTTAGTGGTACAGTTCGGGGTAGGGTTAGGGTTAGAGGAAAGTTGGGGTAGGGTTAGGTATAGGGTAAGGGGTAGGGTTAAGGCTAGGGTTAGGAGTAGGGTTAGGGTTAGATTCCTGTCACCATTCCCTTAAATTTTACCTCCCTCTCTTTGCCACTCTTCAGAAATCCGAAGCACTTCGGTAATTCAGAACTTCAGCAGTTCAGTTCGCCAATTTCGGAAATCCGAATTTAAATTTAAATCCGTACTGAAACGAATTGCAAATGTCTACTAATTAGTTTAAAAAAGCTGGTGGACATAAGTAGATTGAAAGGCATTAGACATGAGCCCAAGTATGAGTTTGTAGTTATGATCAACTGTAGATTAGATCATCTCTTGATAGTTATTCCTTCAGTTATTTGCATATTGTTTTGATGCTTCAAAAGATCACTGCTAATGATGTCCGGAAATTAATTTTCCAAATGTCGCCTTACGTGGACCTTTGGTTGGAAGACAATCTTGGGGAATGTGGTCCAGCAGATTGTGGGACATTCAAGATTGGTCCCCAATGTACTAAACACTTTGAACTGTTTCCCATTACAGTTATGCCCAGCTGTGGACCTCGTACTGTCAATAGTAAATGAAAAGATGTGTACGAAAAACAGTAAGTTTATAAACACAGTGACAAACATTTTATTCCATGCAAGAGATCATAATGTATCTTAACAGGCAACCCCCAACTAACAAAGAATAAAAAAATATTTCTTTAATCTAAGAAAGGAAGGAGTTACTGCTTTCGGGAAAGAGGTTATTACATTGATATTTTAGTCATAGCAAGTATACAGGGGCGTATTAGCCGCGAGGCAAACAAGGCATTTGCCTTGGGCGGCATTTTTCAGGGGGCGGCAAAAAACGCCGCCCCCCAAATGCCCAGGGCAAATGCCTAGTTAGCCTCGCGGCTAACTGACATCCCGAGCGGGCGGGCGGGCGGCGCTGGCAGGCGGGCGGCTGGCGAGGGAGCACTTCCTATGAGCTGACTGCTCAGCTCCCTCGCGCGCCGCAGAGTGAGGCTGGGAGCCGGAAGATGACGTCATATTCCGGCTCCCAGCCTCACTCTGCAGCCGGCGTGCAAGGGAGCTGAGCAGACAGCTCATAGGAAGTGCTCCCTCGACAGCGCCGCCCGCTCGCCCTGCAGCCACTGGACCACCAGGGAGAGAGACCCCCCCCCAGCACTCCCAAAGGTAAGGAGGCTGGGGGGGGATTTAAATTTAAAAAAAAGTTAATGTGTTTGTGTGTGACTGTGTGTGTGTTTGTGTCTGTGTATGTGTCTGACTGTGTATGTGTGTGTGTGTGTGTTTGTGTCTGACTGTGTATGTGTGTGTGTGTGTTTGTGTCTGACTGTATGTGTGTGTGTTTGTGTCTGACTGTATGTGTGTGTGTTTGTGTCTGTGTGTGTGTTTGTGTGTCTCTGACTGTGTATGTGTGTGTGTGTGTGTCTCTGACTGTGTATGTGTGTGTGTGTGTGTGTGTTTGTGTATGTGTCTGACTGTGTGTGTGTGTATTTAGAAGGTGGGGCGGGGGGAAGGGTTGGGTGGGGGTGGCGCGGGGGCAGGGGGGCGCCTGAGTTTTGTCCTGCCTAGGGCAGCACAAAACCAGGATACACCACTGCAAGTATAACAGGCCTCCTTTTGTTTCAAATAAGACAACACATTTTTCAAAAGTGTTACAAATTTTGAGATGTTTTCTTCAACTTCAATATAAGTTTCAAACACACATTTTGAAATCATAGTAGATTTAGCCTAGAAGGCAAGTATAGTATAATTACCTCGCTGTGAGGTTTGGCCTTAGCATGCTCAAAAATGTCATATGTGCATCATGTCTGTAAACATGTACACAAGTCAGGCTTTGTGTAGGGACTCCATCTTAGAAAGCATTCTAAATCCAGTAAACTCCACTAAGGGAGGACATCAAAAGAACATCACTTGCCACTCACAGGCAAATTTAACGTGTAGACATGGTGTCTAACATCAGAGGAAACAGGGCATGGATGTCAAACTTGCATGCGGGCCACAATCTTTGCAGCCCAGCAAAGGTATTCATTGCAAAGGGGACCTGGAGGTGCACATAGGTGAGTGGAGGCGTATGAAGGTGGGACGGAGGCGCATGGAGGCGGGCTGAAGTGCGCAATGTTGCCTTTCGCCTCCATCAATGCTCCTTCACGAGGTTTCAGCTCTGGCACAGGGTGCAGACGGCACCATTGGGGGTATAGATGCAGGAATCTGGATTCATATATATAATGAAATTGGAGTCAGTGTCCAGAGGCTAATATTGTTTTTTGTTTGTTTGTTTTTTTAAACAGTGGCTTAGATTTAGTAGAGGGGGGGTTTAGAAGAGGGGGGTGGGTGTTTAGTAGAGGGAGTGGGATTTGGTAAATTCGGGGCCGGGGTTTAGTAGAGGAGGGCTGGAGTTTGGTAGGGGGGTGCTGGGGTTTTGTAGAGGTGGAGGCTGGGGTTTTGTAGGGGGAGGGAGAGTTTAGTGGAGGGCAGGGCCCGAGCATCCATAAGGCAGGTTTAGTTGAGGAGGGCGGCTGGGATTTAGTTGAGGAGGGGGGGCTGGGGTTTAGTAGGTGTGCTGGGGTTTAATAGGGGGGCTGCAGTTTATTAGAGGTTTTTTTTAGAGGAGGGGCTGGAGTTTAGTACAACATGTACAATATTTACATGAAAAATCTATTTGTAGAACTGTTTGTCTCACCTGTAAGAGTCAACCTTTGCTAATTCTCTCTGTTCATTTTAGTCAGTTTCCCATTTGGAAAAGTTGGAAGTCTGCTGTACTCGGTGTCTCTATTGCCAACAGTAACAGAGGAACATATTGAAATTGAGTTTAATGTAGGTTTAACTCATCATATTGTCCAAATATATCTAAACGTCACAACTGAATGTATAAATATATACAAAATATTGGATGCATTTTTAACTAAAAAGAAATTAACAATATAGTGTAATAGTTATTAAATAAGTAGATTTAGACCTGAGTTATTCAATAAAGTTTAATTTATATACCTTGTTCTTTTATACTAAGGGACCTACTTTGGTCTTATGTGCCTAGGCACACTAGAATATGGTTATATAACTCTAAAAAGAAACTAACAGTATATAGTGCAACAGGATTAGCACGCTTTGTAAAGTATTCAAATCTACAAAATCCCAAAGTCCTTCAAGTAAGAAACACTTTGATCTACATACCTTCAGCCCAAATATAATGAGAGGGAACTGGAATGTTATAACATCGGGGGTTCTACCAAAAAACAATAACAAAATATAAAAACTTACAATCTTACAAATCTAAACACAATAAAACAGTAAAGGAAAAGTAAATAAAGTAGTAAATTGCACACTGGTAAGTGATCTAACGTAGTTGATGTCTCATATATGTTCCTAAAGCTATAGTGTTCCAGTCCCTAGTCTTTTTCAGTTCCCCCAGCCAGTTGCTGTGAAATGAATTAAATAAAAATGTTACTTAACTTTTTCCTGAAGTTGTTAGCTCTTCTCCTTTAGTGATACCACATCGAAGCATGGCCTCCTCCACCGATCGTCCAATCCAATGCTCCAGCTTTGGAGACCTAATCTGCACGTGTGGTGAGCGCCACACATGCAATCAAGCTTTCACCATAGAAAAGCATTGAATCATTGCGTTCCTATTGGGCATCTGCAGTAATAAGTTTCAATGCACGCACTCTCACGTCGGAGCTGCCAGCATTGAATATAGCGGATATTAGATGTGCTCATACAAAATGTAAGGACATCTAATGTTGGATAGCGGAGTTTTACTCCACTAAAACCAGGAAGCACGTTCTAGTGGTTGTAGCGGTGGGATTATCCCAGAAACAATATTGTGGTTTCCCCCGAAATGAGGTGGTCTGGGTGCCTATGGTGTCCCTTTAATCGTTGGTTGAGATGATATTCTTTTATAAAATGCAAAACTAGTTCTAACACTAAAGAAACCAACACAGATATAACTGCTTAATTCTTCAAACTTTTCTGAACATTAGAATCATTGCACACTGTCATTCCTGGCAGGCCACAGTGAAACAAGGTGATGTCCTCATTCAGCCATCGAAAAACGCAACAGAGATATTTGATTTGCCATCAAATCCTGGAGAAACATCATTTTTTCTAAAAGATGATTTCCTCAGCTGTGCCTTCACTGCTCTGCAGCAGGAAGGGGTGTTCAACCTGATTGCTACGGAAAGCGAGGTAAAAGCACAGTTAAAGAGTACAATGTAGGCAACAGCAGTTCAAACTAGATGGTACAATTCAACTGCAATTTGCAGTGGTAATCTATACCCTTCTATCATGTTGATTTTTGCAGGGAAACAGCCTAAATGTTTTACTTTTTTCAGTAGATAAATTATGTAAAAAAATGTAGGTTACAAGGACTATTTATGGAATTTCTGCAATTAGTTCCTTTCCTTGCCCTGGAGTGCATGTTGGGTATATTATTAAGCAGTAAATAACAGGCTGATGCAAGGTAAGCTTGGCATAGTCCAAGAGACACATTTAATTTAAAGGGACACTCTAAGCACCAAAAGAACTTCAGCTTAATGAAGCAGTTTTGGTGTATACATCATGCCCCTGCAGCCTCACTGATCAATTATCTGCCATTTAGGAGTTTAGTAATTTTTGTTTCTGTTTATCCAGCCCTAGCCACACACCCTCACAAAGCCTACATGAAAAAAATGGTTCTTTTCAATCAGTACATTGTGGTTACTTTAGAAGTTCCTGCAAGGTGCAGGTTATTAATAGAGCAGGAGATACGAAATTAAACTGACGTTGCAATAATGGACATTTAAACATTAGATCTCTGTTTCCAGGAAGTGTGCAGGGAGACTTTCTAGGTCACATGAATTGGAGGTGGGATTAGGGCCCTATAAACAAAAGCATTTAACACTTTAATATCAGATAATTGAGCAATGAGACTGCAGGGGAATGATCTATACACAAAAACTACTCAATCAAGCTAACAAGTTGTTTTGTGCTTGTAGTGTACCTCTTAAGGGTTTGGTTTAAATTAAGCCCTCGTTACCCAGCTTATAAGAGGTTGTTGTGGTTACATGACTCTAGCTATTAACAAAGGTATATTGAATCATAAAGAAAAAAAAACTTTCATCCCACTGCAGAATGGAACAAGTCCAAGCTTCAGCAAGCCATCTTTTTTGAAAAGCATAGAAATCTGCAACATATAACACATCCATATTATTTTACAGGACTCACAGACAAATCAGGTGTAGTTTAGAATAAACAGATCCTTCTGGAACTTTGGGTTTTATGGACAGTGTTTATGATGCACTGCTAGACCAGGGAGGATTTCTGTAACTAACTGGCCACATTCTAGGAATGAAAAGGCACACAACCAAAGAGAGAAGTGCAAGGGCCACTGGTCATGGCACCACACCAAGGGAATCCACTGAAGAAAGGAAGAAGACTAGACACACAATATCAGAATAACTCAGCCTGGGATTATATCTACGTGTGACTAGTCTTCTTCTTTTGTTCTCTAAGAGTAAATGGTCCTGGAGCTTCAGCTCCAATAGCCTCTAAGTTGGTCTTAGCAGCCAACGTGGAAAGTGTATAAAGTTAAAGTAACCCACCCACCATTTAATGAGCGAATCAATCACATTATCTACATATTAAATACAAAAGCAAAAATAGCAAACCCCAAATATAACAATGTACAATATCTGTGCATAAGCAATAAAGACAAAGAGCAGGGACAGACCCCACCAATGTTCCGATAACAGACAAACGCTTCTTAAAGGACATTATTTTGGGTTTGCTATTTTTGTATTTGGCTGTATTTGTATTTTTGTTTTCAGTAAATACATACATAAAGCAATTATATCTGCTCATTGAAGTCTGGTCTATTATTACATGGAAGGTTACTTGCACACAGAGATAATCTGTTGTTGTGCATCCTCAGTGCTATAATTTAACATTTTGTTGTGATTTAGTGTACACTCCTGTCTATTTCTCCAAAGTATTTTTAACACAGCTTTCCCATTTATGTCTTTAGCTCGCAGATGCAGCAACAATGTCAATATCTGCCTTAAGTGATGTTATTCCCGAGGTTAGTAAACTGCTGACTTTGCCTTGTCATACATTGCAATATTTATGTTACTTAATCCATACTGTTGCAAAAAGAAACACCTGTACCTAGGGACAATCATAGGGTCACAGATGCCTGGGTGCAGAAATTGTTTTGGTGCCCCCCAGGTGACAGACACACTCACTGACAGACGCACACACACTGATAGTGTGTGCGTGTCTGTCAGTGTGTGCGTCTGTTCATGCATTCGTCAGTGCACGCATCAGTGAGTGTGTGTGTGTCTGTCAGTCAGTGTGTGTGTCTGTCAGTGTGTGTGTGCATCTGTCTGTCTGTGTGTGTTGTGTGTGTCTCTTAGTGTGTGTGTATCTGTCAGTATGTGCATCTCTCAGTGAGTGTTTGTCTTAATGAGTGTGTCTATCTGTGAGTGCCTGTCATTGAGTGTGTATTTCAGTGTGTGTGTCTGACAGACACATGCTCACTGATAGACACACTCAAAAAAGCAGATTTTTATCTGTGCTATTATACCTATGCTATTGAGGTATTTTTTAAATATAAAAGAACGTTTATGCCTGTGCTTAGACATCTCAGATATTTTATGCATATCCTTACTGTTCAGTCACTGACAGAGTATTAAAATTTTGTTTTTTACTAGTTCTCCGTACATTGCAAAGTATTCATTATTTATTTACAAAGAAAGCTTTCTAGTTTCCAACAGAATTTCAAGATTTCAAGATAACTATTAGTGTGGATAAACCAGCAGAGATTACTCTGGATCCATCAAAAGCTCTCCTTCATCTTTACTCTAACTTTGAAATGACTGCATCTCCTTCACCAGATTCCGAACCTCTGTCTATATTTGTGATAAATCTGGTAGGTTGTTTCCATAAAATGTATGTCTATGCCACTCTGGTCATTGGTTTTGTATCATTTCAAACCCCAAACAATTTCATTTTAGTGTATCCATATAATTTTTTGGGGGGTATGAAGATGAGGTGGGGAGGTAAAAACTTAACTGTTAGTTGTGCTGAGTTGCTAACCAGGTACTAAAATGCAGACAAAAAACTTTTACTGATGTTTTTTTGTTTTGTTTTCTAAATGTGAGCCTACTAATTGTGGGACAAGTTGGTTAAAAGCTCATCGCGATACTCTGCTTAGTGGATGAATGGATGAGATAGATAGGTGTAAAGAATTCTTTGAATAGTACTGAAAATACAGAAATCTAAACACAAGAAATTAAAAAATTAAAAAACTGAATACAGTATTGAGCTACAAATAAGTTATTGCAATTAGCCACCAATTCAGATTATTACATACAGTGATAAACTTTAGACATGTGCACCAGTGAAATCTTCGTTTAGTACAAATGATTTTGCAATAAATAAAAATGTCATTTGTCAACCCCGAATTTCATCTGCAAACCCTTCGTTTTCAAACTAAATTAGTTAAAAAATTATTAGTTTTCGTCCATTAGGACGAAAACAGCATTGCGCATGCGCACAAAAAAAAAAAAACAGAGAGGGAGCCGGCAGCGCAACCAGCTCCTTCATTGCAATAAATAACTATGCCACGAGTAGGGGCATGTCGTCTAAACAAATTTAAAAGTACTAGTGACTGGGCAGCAATTGCTGCCTAGTCACTCATGCAATAAGGGGGGACCTGGCACAGGTTAAATCCTGCCGCATGCCCCTACCTGTGCCAGGTCCCCCCGTGTAGTAGGGGCATGTCGCCTAAACTGGATATAAAATCTGTCTTTTATATAAAAGTGATAGAGAACTACGATAAGAGAACATGTAACCATAAGTTATAGCAAAAACTATAACAATGTTGCAATATGAAAAAGTAGCTATTTAGATCTAAATAGCTACTTTTAACACGTACTCTTACCATAGCTCTAACACTTCTATATAGGATACATTTATATCCAGTTTTAAATGCTATTGCTGCCCAGTCACTAGTGCAATAAGTGGGGACCTGGCACATAACACGGTGATTGGTTGCTTTTCAATTTGATGCAGGAGGATTTAACCTCCCTTTTCTTAATATAGGGTCATAGTGACCTCCATAGATTTTAATGCACAGGGAGGGGGGGTAGTAATATTTATTTATTACAAGGAGGGAGCTGGTAGCGCTGCCAGCTCCCTCCATGGTTTTTTTGTGTGTGCATGCGCACTGTTATTTCTCCGTGCTGTGAAGGTTAATTCCCCTGCAGCACAGAGTCTATTAAACAAACTAAACGAAAAGGTAATGCATTCGGCATTTGCCCTTTCGTTTCATTTATATTTCGTTTGTAGGGCTTTCGTTTACGTTTTAGTAAACAAATACGAAAAAACCTGTATTTTCGCACGAAATCATATTTGTATGAAAATGAATGCACATGTTTAAAACTTTTCCAGAAAGATTCCAAATCTCTTAAATATTTTGCCTTTATTGTTCTCACATCTAATACATTGAACAATACGTGCAGGTTACACACAAACATAATGTTGATCTGATGAACTGGCAATTAATTGGCTCCTTTCTGTTGATTGGCTGTATTGACAAGTATTTATCCTGTTTACAGCATATGAATTTCCAAATCCAGTTCTCCGTTGATGAAAAAACATTGCATTTTGATCTTTCTCCAGACAAGTAAGAAAATGGAATGACCAGTCAACATTATTCCACATTTACAGGGATCATATAGGGTACAGATATTCCAAGAGGGTCTCCAGGCTACATTTTGCTAGATTGCAGGCATTGCATCTGAAGCACACATCGCCATGGGTATACCCCTAACCAATATCCCAGGAAGAAGTTAACCATGTTGATTTTTCTTACCACCAATGAGAAAGAGCCTCTTTGTCTCTATGCCACTACCACACTGGCCACTTGGACTTTGCAGCCCCTGGACCTGTACAGGGCTGGATTTCCCATTAACCCCTTAAGGACACATGACGGAAATATTCTGTCACGATTCCATTTTATTCCACAAGTTGTGTCATTAAGGGGTTAAGCAAAGATGGCACCTGACAAATAGTGGGCACCTGCTTTCAGCATTGATAGTGTGCCTTTTTGAGCTTAAATTGGCTGGTGGGGAGAGATAAGTACCAAGAGCCTTGGCCAGTGTCATCTACAGTCTAGTCAGCCTTAATAACAGACTTGCAAGAACAGTTATAGAGGGTGTATCACACAGTGCTGTCCCAGCTCCTTGGTGTCTGTGTGTGAGGCTGGACATCTTCCCGCTAGTAACCAGGAAATGCCTAGCAGAAGGAGCAGGGGAAGCTCTCAGTAACGCACACTATAAAACCACTCCAGCAGCTATAATATCATCAATTTAACTGGACTACAGAACCCTTCAAACCAGTGGCGTACATGCGACCCGGTATGTACCCACTGCTGGCCACGTCAGGGCCCCCCGAGGCTGGCCCTGGTATCGCTGGCGGGCGCGCAAGGGAGCACTCTCCACTGAGTGCTTCCTCTTCAGCTCCCTCGCGCGCCGCACTGATACTGGAGCCGGAAGATGACGTGGGAGCTAAAGAGGAAGCACTAAGGGGAGAGTGCTCCCTCGCGCGCGCGCCAGACAGACAGCCCACAGGACCGGCCGCCCAGGAGCCCAGCAGCACCACCTAACCCCAGGGAATCCCCTCAGCACTCCAAAAGGTAAGGAGGCTGGGGAATTAAATTTTAAAAAAACATGTGTGTTAGTGTTAGTGTGTGTGTGTTAGTGTGTGTGTGTGTGTGTGTGTGTGTGTTAGTGTGTGTTTGTGTGTGTGTGTGTGTGTGTCAGTGTGTGTGTGTCAGTGAGTGTGTTACTGTGTGTGTCTGTTACTGAGTGTGTTTGTGTGTGTCTGTTAGTGAGTCTGTTTGATGTCTGTTAGTGAGTGTGTGTTTGTCAGTGAGAGTGTATGTTTTGTAAGTGAGTGTGTATGTATGTCTGTCGCTGAGTGTGTCTCTGTCAGTAAATGTGTGTGTCTGTTAGCTAGTGTGTATGCGTCTGTAAGTGAGAGTGTGTGTCTTCAGCACTTACCTTTCTCCAGCGCCGGACTCCCTTGGCGCTGGAGATCCCTCCGCCTCTCAGCTCCGAATGAGAATGAGTGGCAAGAGCCGTGCGCGCATTCAAACCATCCATAGGAAAGCATTACTCAATGCTTTCCTATGGACATTCAGTGTCTTAGAATCGCAGAAGCTCCTCTTGCAGCTGTCAATGAGACAGCCACTAGAGGCTGGATTAACCCTCAGTGAAACATAGCACTTTCTCTAAAACTGCTATGTTTTCAGCTGCAGGGTTAAAACTAGAGGAACCGGACACTCAGACAACTTCATTGAGCTGATGTGATCTGGTTGTCTGTGGTGGTCCTTTAAGTGTGTGTGCATCTGCATGCACTGGCATACACACCGCGGTCGCAGGGGTCGCAGCCCTGCAACCCCTGCGACCAGGTGCCCGCCGCCATGTGTTGCGGCCCCGGCCCGCGCAGAGTAAGCGCGGGGGGATCCCACAGATCAATTTTTGCACCGGGGCCCCATGGGCCATGTGTACACCACTGCTTCAAACTCCCGCATTAAAAAGCTAAAACCTGAAAATAAACCCTTTACCTTAATCCTGTGTTTAACTCCTCTTAAAAACTAAACACCTCATGCACCCCATAACGAAATTTAACCCAATTCTAGCACTAAACTCATTAAATCCTAAACAGCCTTTATACTACAACTTTAATGTCAAACCGTTAATCTTCTTCACAATAAACACCCTATGTAATCTAACTCTGACATTAACCCCTCTCAAACCTTGAAACATCCTTTTTTATAATTACTTTTTTTCAAAGAGAAGTGGCATCCAGCTTCTGATGTTGAGTTGCAGTCATTTCAAAGTTGAGAAGGACACAGTGCCACCGGTCAGTGGCACCACTGATTGAATAGAGCAGTCAGCTCTAAGCCAAGCAGTGGCTCCCCATTCATAAAAAAGGTTCATATCTTTTTATGAATGAATGGGAGCTACTGATTGGCTTAGAATGTCAACTGACTGTTTTAGCCAATCAGTGGTGCCCCTGCCCTCAGTTTCAGAAGCCAAATTCCACTAGTTGAACTGCAGATCCAGAACTGGAGGCAACCTTTGTGGTTAAACCCTTCAAGAATGGTTTAATCCCTTGAGGTAAGAAAGAACCCTGGGGCCTTCTAGCACCATAACAACATATTAGATACACATAATGGATACCCAGCAGACGTACCAATACAAAAAGCACATTCATGGACACACAACTAAACCATAACTACACAAAAAAGTTAACAATATAAATAAATTGCACGCTCTGTGTCCCTCAGAAGAAACACAGTTAGACATAATGTAGGTTCTTATGCTTGTGATAGATTACAAAAGCAGTCTTAAACTAACACTTCCAAAGCTCCATTCTCATACCTATGTATAAGAAGCCTTTTGAAAAAAATAACGAACATTTCTGCAAACTATTTGACTTCTACGGAAGCAGACAATCAGCGTTGAAGATAGATCACAAAACTTTGCAAATTAATAGGAAAGATGTAAGAAATAGGACCACAACACTTAGCTACATTGTAGATCAGACCACAAAACAGAGCCTCTCAGAGCTGTTAGAACTACTCCAACTCCCACTGCTCTTGGACAAAGCGCTAGTATTCAATAGCCAATAAAACAGTAATTTAATAGATTATTAGGCTGGCATTTCTACCTGTATCAATAGATTAGGACAAACTGATTCAAATATAATTTACATCACAGTAACATATTAATCTACTCATCAGTTAAGATGCACACTTCATAATGGGTATCCGAAAGTCACACATTATCACAGTCAACATTCATATACATAGAATGAACTGCTAACAGCTGCAGTATTCAGAACATATTATTGTAGTGTTCCAATTTTAGTTTGTATCATATTTATTTTAGGGTTTCTTATGTATACATGGATTTCCTTAATTACCTTATTACTTAATCTACTATAGTTTTGTTTATAAAGAAGGGATCCCTTTATATAGCGTGCTCTAGTCTTAGATATGCGTGTTAAACTTGCATTAACAAATTGCTCTGTACCCTGTCTATAAAATTTCTCTCTGAGATGATGCTACATCAACATAAATCTTATAGAAATTGAGCAAATATTTGGACCAGGTTACACAGACATGGTGTCATCTACATTTTTCAGAGCTTTCAGAGACTCAACATTTTTATGCTAGACCATGTTAGGCATGACAAACCTTTGAATGGACCGGTCAAGTTCAGTGTCAAAGAACCATAATAACGCAGGTGTCACCGTTGTCCATGATTGTCTGATCCAGAATACAAGCCTGACCACACTTCAAACACAACACACAGGGAGTCTACAGATGTGGTCACAAGGAATAAAATCTCAGCATTCCCGTACAATAATTTTATAGATTTTCACAAGCTAAAAGTACACATATAATGTGAGACATATTAGTCATAATAGGGAGTATATCCTTAAAGATTAAACTACAGAGAATCTTACAGCATATGTAACAAGTAATGTACTGGATCATTTAAAGTACCTGTAGCAGGTAAAAGTTAGCTTACAGCTCCAAATGAAGCATGTGTTGGAACGCTGAAAATGTAGATGTGGCTAAGGTCTCTAATTTACAAACAAAATATATTGACAGTATGGATCCTCTGCAACAAACATATAGGGCTGGGAAAATGGGGTGGTTGATGTTTTACACAGTAAATCCCGTATGGGGACTTAACTTTCAAATACTAATGAAGTGACATGTCCTAGTATGAAAGTACTAGGCTCATCATGCAGACAATGCCACACAATCACACTATCCGACTCTCATGGAAAGTGTAGTGGGATTATGGTATAGAATTAATAATCATACCAGGCACACGGATCCCATGTGACATACACAACAGTAAAACAGAATAAAAAAATTATACTTTATAAAATAGGAGATTGGAGAAACAGGCAGAGAAAAATAGTAAATAGGATTAGGGGGATTTACCCTTGTCTCTTATCTACTCTACACCCTCCCAACCTACACACACACATTATATATATATATATATATATATATATATATAGTGTTCAAGTAGAGATTGTAGCCGTATTAGTCCAGTGATGTAGATGTAAAAAACAGATAAAATTCTTATCTTGTAATACCTTTTTTATTGGACTAACAGAATTTTTTAATGACAAGCTTTCGGGAGAACCTCCCTTTCTCAAATGCTTCAGACTTGAGAAAGGGAGGTTCTCCCGAAAGCTTGTCATGAAAAAATTCTGTTAGTCCAATAAAAAAGGTATTACAAGATAAGAATTTTATCTGTTTTTTACATCTATATATATATATATATATATATATATATATATATATATATATATATAAAGGACATATGTTGGAAAACAAAATTAGCTGATCCACTTTTGACGCTGCATACTGTGGGTCTTCTCCTCAGTTACTACTGAAGAAGTCTTCTCCTTAAATATGTGGAGAAGACTGCTCCTCTGACGTTGCAGAAGAGACTTCACCTGACCACAGTACGCCGACTGCCACAGCAGACACCACAGCCGGGTTGTCCCTGCGCTCACCCCACTCTAAAGTTCAGCCACGAAGAGATGTAGCTGGGAGTCACAAAAGATAAAAGTCATCATGTACTCACCAACTATTCTCTTTTGGGTCCGGACGAGCCCCCATTTAATAGTGAGGAATTTTCTCTGTCAGGCCTTTTCCCTTGCCATGGCCTTTTGTATTTCTCCTCGTCCCCAAACCAGCTGGTGTGGAGCCCCAATGAACTTGACAAGACAAGGTTCAAAGTGACTTCCCTCATTTAATGGACTGTGTAACAGATTATGTTCAAGAGAAGACAGGGGTGGTCTTACAAGCATTATCCAATCCTAACAAAATCATCTATCTTATCTTAACCTATAGCAAGCTTGCAGGTGTATCTTCATGTTTGAGCCTTGCTCAAAGCTTCACTATAACTATGCAGTTCTAATTAATGTACATACAACCTAAGAATTAAATATATTTACTATGCAGTTATGATCAAAGGGAGAACACAGGAAATAAGGCCAATCAGCAGAAACATACAGGATATAACACCTGTTACTTGTTACACAATGTTCTATAGCTCTTGTCTAGGGGTATATTCACTAAGCATTGGATATAGATAAAGTATATTATTTCAAATAGCTAACATGTTAACCAATCTTAAACAGACTGACCAGCCTGCCCTGGGTAAATATAGGCAAAGTGTATTATTCCCAAAACACCATAACAACTTGATTTCCATAAAGTTATGATGAGAACCTGAGTGTACCTTTAAGCTAGCAAAGTAAGGCCTCTTTTTGCTGGCTTTCGATCTTAATTCATATTAACAGCTAATCTGACATTCATTCCACTTAGTAAATCGAGCTGTAAAAGTTCTGAATGTTGGTTATCACTCTATAAATTTTCTCCTATTTTAATATATATTAAAAAGTAAAATCAAATCTTAAGCTGCATGTAGAAATAACAACTATCCAAGCCATTGTAGGTATGTAGGTATGTAAAATAGAGTTTTTCCTGCAAGTCATGTTGACCGAACTTCTGATAAATGAATGTTACTATTACTGCATGTGCAGTTCCAATCAGTTTATATCATAGATCACTAGTCATTTTGCAGATGGGGTAAAATATTGCATATTGTAGCAATAGCTTCTGGCTCTGGCAATTCCAGGGAGGCCTCCTCACTAAATAGTTTTAGTGAAGCACCTAACTTATAATTAACTTATTAAATTTAAACCTATATAGCAGTTGGAAATAATCTCTCCTCAACCAAGATGGATATTTATTCATAGGTTATCTTTTAATCAATTTTAAAAAATGTACTATTCAAAAAATAAACCGTAATAGTTTTTACAGTATTTTTATTTTTTATTTTTTTACAGACATATGTAAAGCCTACATTTTACACTCATTGAAAAAAACTGAAAATATGTCAATTCTATGTAAGAACTTACAGCAATATCCATTTTTATTATAGGATATTTCCCTCCCTGGATTCATCATCAATCGGCGTATTTGAAGTAAGTAGAGTTGAATTCAGTCAACCAGCTCTCAATCTAAAAATAACAAAGACCCATGCGGTAATTAACTTATGTCCATTTTATTTAGGTTGAAGACCTGGGAGAATTCATTCTTTCTGTGCTTCAAGAGGTGTACACACCTGCAATTAACAGTAAGATGTTTATAAATTTATTTAAGTTAGAATTTTTTACTGAACCCTGAAAGTATAAAAAAAATCTATGAACCTGCATTAATGTTAATTGTAGACAGAGAAAAAAAAGAGGGACTGTGCAGATTATGTGCTGTATTGCGGTGTATTTATCATGAGGCTGATAATGCTGGGGTGGCCATGAGCTGGCTGGCTGGCCACCTCAGGGCCCCCTGAGGCTGGCGGCGGGGCAGCAATTTCCAGGCGGGCGGCAAGGGAGCACTGATCCTCCTGTTCGGAATATGATGTCACTCCGGCATCACCACGCGGCACACGAGAGTGCTAAACAGGAGGAGTAGTGCTCCCTTGATGACTGCAGTGACCGGCGGGCCGACCAGCAGCCCCACTGGACCCCAGGGAAAGCGAGAATCCACCCCAGCACTCCCAAAGGTGGGGGGGGGGAATTGATTTTTTTTTTTTTAAATGTGAGTGTGTTAGTGTGTCTGTTAGTGAGTGTGTGTGTGTGTGTGTCTCTTAGTGTGTGTGTGTCTCTGTTAGGGAGAGTGTAACTATGTGTGTGTCTGTTAGTGTGTGTGTGTTTGTTAGTGAAGGTGTTACTGTGTGTGTGTGTGTCTGTTAGTGTGTGTGTTAGTATGTGTGTGCCTGTTAGTGAGTGTGTTAGTGTGTCTGTTAGTATGTATGCGTGTCTGTTAGTAAGAGTGTATGCATGTCTGTTAGTGAGTGTGTGTGTCTGTTAGTGAGAGTTTGTGTGTGTCTGTTAGTGAGTGTGTATGTTGTCTGTTACTGAGTGTGTATGTGTGTCTGTCTGTCAGTGAGTGTGTATGTCTGTTAGCTAGTGTATGTGTGTCTGTCAGTGAATGTGTGTCTCTGACACTGAGTGTATAAGTGAGTGTGTATGTGTATTTAGAAGGCGGGGTGGAGGGGAGGGGCTGAGTTTTGTCATGCCTAGGACAGCATAAAACCAGGATAAACCACTGCATATATTACGCAATATTTTGGTAGAGATTTTGTCTGTATAAACTCACAAGTTTTACGATTTGGATATAGTTCCATCTATTGCTCTATACACTTAGTTGGTGTAGAGAAGAAAATCTATTGTTACGGTAAAACTAATTATTGTCCTATAAAAATTCACAGCAGCAAAGCACAACTACAAATCCATAGGAACCACATGACATGGACAGACGAAGGACAGAGGAACTGTCAAACTAAAAATGGGACTAGAATATCAAAAACGGCAAGGGTTATAATAATGAAACAGTGCACCACCACCTTAATTTTTTTAGCTAGTTATTGATCCTTTGAAGACAAAAATTTCGAGTTGTAAATACAGCCAGAATTTTATAAACCTTGATGGCTGGTGTTTTTGACCTAGTCAGAGCTTGTGCACTTAAGTGAGTTAAAATTGCATTGCTAAATTTAGGCAAAAAAAGGGTTACTTGGAGAAATCATCCAACATGTTTTTTAGATGGAATCTTGCAATTTTGTTTTCATTTCACTACAATGGTATTTAGTGAATTTATCCCACTTCCTAATCGACCCTAATGGAGTGCTTTAACCTCGGTCGCCGAGGCTTGACTGGGGTCTCTCTGGAGCTTTTCCTCCTGACCAGGCTGCAGATCTCCTTCCAGGCAGGTTTCGTACCCTCTGCCTGTAGTCCTTCTTCCAGGTATAGTCCCCTCTGCCTATTCCTCTGCAGTCCTTCTTCCAGGGAGGTATCGTCCCCTCTGCCTATTACTCTGCAGTCCTTCTTCCAGGCAGGTATCCACCTCTGCCTGCAATGTGATAGCTATTGTCTTTATAAAGATACTTACGGCTCTCAGACCTAGCTCTCTTTGATTCGTCCCAGGACTAGAGGGATTGTGCAGCCAGCCAACTGGTACAACAACTCTGTGACTGGGATCCCTAAAAATCATACACAGCATTATTTTTACTTGGGACTAGCCCATATGCTTATTACATCAAGCTTGCTGTGACAAACATAATAAAATACAAATAACAAAAATATTTCAGAAAACATACAGGGAATTATAATAACATAACAACATATTTATAAAGGGGTTGGGAAGACAATATTTAACATAAAAAACCTCTCCTGCCTGCAGTATTTATAATATGCAAATATACTTGCATATGCAAATTAACAAGCCTTGCTATTCAAGTAGTGAATGCAAATTAACAAGCCTCATTACCAACAGATGGTACTATACAGGTGCCATAGCCAAATCCACCTAGTTGGTAGCAAGCATCAGCAGGACAGGAGAGCACAAAAAACATTCAACCACAGCCATATTATTCACACCCTGCACCTATAATGGTTACAGGGTGACTAAAACATAAGAACACATCAGTAAAATGTATATCTGCTCCCAGTGATTGTGACCACCATTACATAGAGAGAGGTTATCATGGAGTGGGAAAGGAGCTACTGTGTTAAACTTTCAGGAGCACCAAGATGGATACCGACTATGTGCTTCAAAGAGCATCAAGTTATGAATCCTGGTGTAACCTAGTTACACTAACAATATACTTCACCAAGTTACATTAACAATAGAGTTAAAGGGACACTATAGTCACCAGAACAACTACAGCTTATTGAATTTATTCTGGCGAATAGAATCATTACCTTCAGGCTTTTTGCTGTAAACACAGTCTTTTCAGAGAAAATGAAGTGTTTACATTACAGCCTAGTGATGAATTCACTGGCCACTCCTAAGATGTCTGTTAGAGATCCTTCATGGGTCATTGCTGCCTAAAATGCATTAAAAAAATCCAGTGTCTCCTCCCTCTGCATGCAGACACTGAACTTTCCTCATAGAGATTCATTGATTCAATTCATCTCTATGAGGAGATGCTGATTGGCCAGGGCTGAGTTTGAATTGTGCTGGCTCTGTCCCTGACCTGCCTCTTTGTCAGTCTCACCCAATCCTATGGGGAAGCATTGTGATTGGATCAGGCCACCACTTCTGCTGATGTCAGCAGGCAGTGGGCAGGTCTAAAGGAAACAGGGACAAAGTAAGCAGCTGCAGACTTGAATACAAGTAAGATTTTACTATATTTAGGGAGGCATGAGGGGACCAGGGTGCCTAGATGGTGGTTTTAACCCTATAGAGTCAGGAATACATGTTTGTGTTCCTGACCCTATAGTGCTCCTTTAATGGAAGTCCACATATCTTTGCAAGCATTCAAAACCAACCCTTTTATTTTACACAGCTATAATTTAGATTATTAGCTGCATAAGGTATGTTGGCAGAGGTATATCCTAACATTCAACCAAATTACAATTACAATCACTCAGAGTGCAGAAAAAGATAATGTTGAATAACAAGATGCTTAATAAACATATTCTAGCTAAACAATTGTAATACTAATTAGACAATTATATTTTGCAGTGCTAACAATATATTTCCTATAGTTACAGTTAAAATACATCAAAGGCTATCCAAGCAATTTTAATCTAAACACAAATATAAAAAATGTATACAGTTTTATACTTAACGTCCCAAGGTCTTTGATGAAACAGAGATAAAGGTCTGGATAGATCAAACTTCTTGTCCCAGGATAAACAATATGGGCCTAGAGCACACACTAGCAGCCTGAAAATGAAATAGGCTGCAAGGACCTGTGAAGGTCTCTGTGCCCTGTCTGCTACATGTCTTTCCCCAAAGCACTCCAAAAACCAACTGTCCAAACATCCACAAAATAGCTTAACCATAACCACTGTAACATTTTGAGTTAAGGGCATATAAGCACACATATTGTGTTAAACTGTTGGTCATTTTCATGTCCACAACAGTAGTGAATGAGTCTTTTGGTGTAAAGATGCAGGAATAACACAGGGTTTGCCACAGTGATTAAACACCTTCATTTTGTTGTTCTGTTTTCTTCCAGATATGTTGCAAACAGCCATCCCGCTTCCTGACATGTTAAGCATGTTAAGTATAAATCTTGCTGAATCTCAGATTGAAGTAATGAAGGTAAGAAATTGGATTAGAATTTTAGATATTTTACATGATGAATGATCATTGCATGGTACAATAGTCTTCCGAAAAAGTTGATGATTAAAGGGACACTGCCCAAATAAAAAATGAATAAATCACTATATCGTACCCCACATTAAAACATGTAATATAAATGTAAATGTTGTGGCTTCTCCCAAATATATTGACTAAAACTAACAAGTTCTATAAATCACATCGAGATACCAAATATTTAAATTAATTTAGAGTATTAATATAAACCTGCATTAATAAACTTCACACCTGCTGTATTAAAGGGACATTCCACTGCCCAATTGCAATAAATGTATCATTATTTTGTAGGTATACCATCAATAAAAACATGCATGCATTTAATTATACATTTTTTTTTTTAACTAGTGCATATAAAAAAAAACAGCTTGCAAAAGTTTTAGATCTCTTGTCTATAGCCTTTGTAAACCTGTCCCTTCTACCACAACCCAGCCTTTCTGTGGCTGTCCAATCACAGACCGTGAGAGGGCTGTAACAAGATTAATTTATAAAAGTATCAATTTCTATTGAATTCTCCACTTTTTGTAAAAATAAGAAAAGGATACAAACTTCACAAACAAAGCACTTCAGCAAGCTACAGTACTTTAGGTGTTTGAAGTGTTTCTTTGACCCAAAGCAATTTTGTGTTTAACATTTGTAATATTTTGTTTTCTCTCCTTAGAACTTTCTTATGATATCTGTCAATGTTTGCAGAGCTTAAAATCTTTGGACCCCACCGGCAAAACAGAGAAATCACTGCAAGCAATATTTAAGAACCTTAAGCACATTACTATAGAAATGTGCTTAAGTAGAGCTGCGGACCTTATTCTATTTGTTTTGATTAAATCATGTAAAATTTATTAGAATCTCTACTTTACCAAGTACTATTTGTTTGTGTTTACTTCATAAAAGGATATTTGCTTTGTCCCACTTATTCCACATTCTAAACACATTTATTAGAGTTTAGAGACACGTTATAGTAAGTTTTATTGCTGTGGATCTCTGTTATACACCCACATACACCAACAATATGGAGAAAAAAGGGACTTTAGAAGAGAAAAGTGGATTTGTGCCTAAAATAGGGACTGTCCTTCCTAAATTTTCTCATTGCTGAACTCCATTTTATTTTTTTGTTTAAAAAAAAAAAAAAGAATAAAATGTTTAGCAACTTTCTGCAGCTTAACTTTACTCCCTTAGAACGGCAGTCAGATCTCTCCTTGGATCAAGATGCAATTACCCCACAAATTAAAAATTATATCCCTGAATATTATGTTTTGCAAGTATTCATCCAGGTGCTGTTTAAACATCTGTACAGACTCTGAAAAAAAAACTACCTCTTCTGGGAGAGAATTTCATATCCTTGTTGTTCTTACTGTAAAAACCATTTCCTTTGCTAGACTAAATCTCTTTTCTTCCAGTCTAAATGCGTGATTTAATATCTTATGTATAGTCCTTTTTTAAACTAAACAGATTTAAATTAGTTAACATTTCTTCATAACAAAAATGTTTCATCCCTTGTATTAATTTTGTAGACAGCCTCTACACTTTTTCTAGTGCCATAATAATCATTCTTTAGAACAGGTGCCCAAAATTGCACAGCAATACCATTGATTTATAAAGAGGAAAAATTGTATTTTCATCTCAAGAATTAATGCCCCTTTTTATACAAAACAATACCGTACTGACCTTAGCAACTGCTGATTGACCATGCATACTGTTGCCTAGTTTGCTGTCTATAACAATTCCCAAATCCTTCTTGTGTGTTTTTATCCTTAATTCACTGTTTTAGGGTGTAAGTTGCTTGTGTATTCTTTATCCTGAAGTGCATAACTTTGTATTTATCTATATTAAATTTCATCTACCATTTGAGTACACAGTCCCCCAATCTATCTAAATTGTCTGCAGCAAAGTAATATCCTGCTCAGATTGTATTACTTTACAGAGTTTTGTGTTATCTGCAAACACTGAAACGTGACATTCAATGCCTATTTCAAGATCATTGATTAATGTTTTAAATAGATAGGTCTCAGAACAGAATCCTGAGGGACACCACTTTTGTCCAGCTTAAAAAATTACCATTAATGATAACTCCCAGTACTCTATCTTTAAGCAAATGTTCTACCCAAGAACAAGAATTTTCATCTGGGCTAATTTATTTTAGTTTGAACTGCTGTGTGGAACCATATCACATATTTTGACGAAATCCAAGTAGATCACATCCACTGCAACACCCTGATCTGTACTTCTACTTACCTCTTTGTAAAATGATATTAAGTTAGTTTGACATGACCAATGTTTCATAAAACCATTTTTCATTAACTAATATGCCCCCACAAATCACCCAAACATACAGCACACATACAGCACACAAACAGCACACACACACATACAGCACACAAACACACACACACATACAGCACACACACACACATACACACACACAGCACACAAACAGCACCCACACACATACAGCACACACAGCACCCACACACATACAGCACACAAACAGCACACACACACATACAGCACACACAGCAAACAAACATCACCCTCACACACACACAGCATCCTCACACATACAGCACACAAACAGAACACACATCACCCACACACACAGCACCCACACACACACATACAGCACCCACACACACAGTACATTAACTGCACCCTCACAAGTGCACACACACACAAACACCCTCACCCACATAGCACACTACCAGCACCCTCACACAGCATACACACACACAGCAGTGTATGTATGTGTGTGTGTGTATATATATATATATATATACACACATACATACATACATACATACATACATACATATATGCGGTGTGTGCTTGTGCTTTAGGGTGCACACTCTAATGCAATAAGCTGCACACGCCCATGCATACATTTACTATTCTGTTCTGATCTTGCCCCTTGTCGATTTACACCCCTTTGTAAATCTCCCCCAACTTTCTAGCTATCCTGTACCCCAGCACTGCAGACCCCCTTCCGTTTAGATGAAATTAATCATGCTGTAAAGATTGTACCCCAGGGCAAAATCAGCCCAGTGCTTTAAAAAGCCTAAACTATCCTTTCTACACCATGACTTTAGCCACACCTAAACCTCCCTAATCTCCCACTGCTTTTCTACTGTAGGGCGGCACAGGTAATATTTCTGAAAATACTACCTTGGTGGTCCTTTTCTTCAGTTTACTTCTTAATTCCCTGAACTTGTTCTTTAGCACCTTCCATTTTCCTCTGACTTTGTCATTGGTACCAATATGGACCATTACAGCTGGGTCATCCACAGCTCCTCCCAATAATTCATCCACTCAAACATGTCGGACCCAAACCCCCAGGAAGCAGCTGTAATGGATTCCCTATACTCCGACTGAGTATATCCATTGAAGTCTCCCAGGTCCCGAAGTGAAGCAGTGATTATAACTCTGAGCTACCCCAAACATCAGCCTAGACTTGATGAAGGGTAAAAATTAACTGGTTTATTATGGCCATGTTGCCTGCTTACATACACAAACCCCAGCAGGGGGTCTCCACACAATACAATGCAAACCCTTCCCAATGATTTCTGTGCCTAGGAGATAATTGCATTAAAGACCGGTGAGCTAATTATCTCCTAGGAACAAAGAGGCAAACATAAAAATACATAAACACATCATAAAAATATATAATAACCCCACAAAAAATACATCCCCAAATAGCCCTAATCTGAGCATTCAAGTTCTCCAAATAGCGCTCAGGTCCATGCAGTGTAGGGGAAACACCACCAAGTTCTGACCGGCTGCACACGTGGTCCTATGCCCAAAACCGTTCCAGGGTGTTTGGTGCTTTGGCCGGTCAACTATCGGAAGCTCTTGTGGCCGCCTGGGTCTCAGGTACCGTTTGTTCCCCTTAGTCTCAGGCACCATCCCTCCAAAAAGCTCTCTCTTGGCATGTTACAAAGTCTTTCAAAAACCCCGACCAAGTTGTCCGGGAGCCGCACGGTCACCTCATGCCGAAAACAGTTGTCCGCGAACCTACGAAGTCCTCATGCCGAATTTAGTACCATAACGATCGCGGCTAAGTACCACTGAGGACAATTCATGGGTTTCTTCATGCGAACAGCCGCCATGAAGCTAGTGTTTGGTTCCATTCGAATGAAGGGAAAGTGCCGAACCAAGGGCACCCAGGGAAAGCTGCTTATGGCGGCTGGGGAGATTTAACTCTTGAACAGGGTCTTTTTATATGGCCCATACTCCTTCGGCAGGAGGCTAGCTAGCAGGCTCCTTCAGGAGCTCATGGCATTGGCACGTTTGTCACAGCAGCAAACAGTCAGGCTGAGACGATCAGAGCGTCAGATTACCCTATCTACTCTCTTACTAATAGAGTCCCCTACCACCACAGATTGTTTATCCTTTCTTACGTTCTCAACCTTACCTTTACTAGAGGGACTGTTCCCTCAAGCAAGCTAAAGTGCTTTATGTTTCTATAGTGTTTCTCCAGAAACATAAAATGTTAAAGTGTTAAGGTAAATAAACCTCCCTGGTTTGGTTTGCTAAACATTTGCTAAATTTGTAAAGTGTTTTAAACAATGCAATGCAAACATTTTGATAATAGAGTTTTATTAACGAAAATCAGGACTGTAATGAATTGAAAACTTAATTGCAAAATGAAAGCTTACTTGGAGAACACTTCAAATTCAGCTATGTTTGATTACATTTTGTAGACACATTTTCATAAACCCCATATGTATTGTTAAAGGAACACCCCAAACACCATAATCACTATAGTGTGGTAATGTTGTTACGCATCCAGGAGTGCCCTGGAAACCCCCAATGTAAGTAGTCAAACCATTTGAGAATTGCACCAATCCTCATCTATCTGAAGACTCAAGGAGTTCCAGAAGCTCGGGCTTGGGAGCTCTTTTTACATGTTCTGGGCTAAGTCCAGCAGTGCAGGATCATTTTTTTTTTTCTCTGAGAGCGGTGTAACCCCAAGTAAGAAGTTAAACTATTCTAAAAGAGTCTGTGAATGTACAATGGAGGACACATTAATGGTTATTGTCCTTGAAGTGTTACTTTAAAGAGTTACTATACCCATTTCACCTCTGTGTGTCGCTCCATTCAGTGCTAACCCATTTTCGAACAGTTTAACAGTAAACAAAGATCCCTGACTTACCACAGTCCCACTGGAGGTATGGTTATGGCAGAGATTATGCACTTTTTTTTGTAGTTCTAGCCATTCATACTGGCAATGGGTGCTCTGATAGACTAAAAGCAGTCAGTTGACACTCTCAGCCAATAACAGTTGCAACATTGATGATCAGGCCAATGCTTCCTCCTTTGTCTAAGCAGCACAGAGGGCATGGGCTGCTGGAGACTCCCATTTAGCATTAAAAAATTAAAAATAACTAAAACATTAAAAACTGTTGTATGATAAATAAAAAGACAGTGGCAGGGGACTCCAGATTCTATTACTAGTTTAATGAGATGAAAAAATAGTGCCAGCATTGTTTCTGTGAGGTTTGCTGATCTCAGAGGGTCAAATGACAAATTACAAAAAAATAAAACATTACAATCTTTAAAAATCAATTGTCTTACAAATTCCAAGCATGTACAAAACGGATTGTTCATTACAAATATTGAGACAAGCTCAAAATGCCACTAGCCTTTGATGAGTGAAAATTTAGCCCTGGCATATACAAATGAATCTCTGGTGAATGTGTCATGGACCTTCCATGCTGGCAGTAGTGAGAATCTTTAAAAATACCTGGCAAATTGCATCAGACTGAAAATGTTTCATCCTGATTAAGATATATAAAAAGAGGTCTAGATCACAGTTAAAGGGAAACTCCAGTGCCAGGAAAACAATCTGTTTTCCTGGCACTGCAGGTCACCTCTCCCTCCCACCTCCCAATTCCCGGTTGCTGAAGGGGTGAAAACCCCTTCAGTAACTTACCAGAGGCAGCAACATGTCCCATGTTGCTGCTTCTTTCTCCGCCGCTACTCCTCCTCTGTATTACGTCGGCCGGGGAGACCTAATGCAGCGCATTAGAGCTCCCCATAGGAAGGCATTGAAAATGCTTTTCAATGCTTTCCTATGGGGAATTGAGCGACACTGGAGGTCCTCACACAGCGTGAGGAAGTCCAGCAACACTCTAGCACAGGTTTTATGTGCTATGATGCAGGAAGTGCCCTCTAGTGGCTGTCAAGTAGACAGCCACTAGAGGTGGAGTTAACCCTGCAAGGTAATTATCGCAGTTTATAAAAACTGCAATAATTACACTTGCAGGGTTAAGAGTAGTGGGAGTTGGCACCCAGACCACTCCAATGGGCAGAAGTGGTCTGGGTGTCTGGAGTGTCCCTTTAAACAAGTATAGAAGAAAATGAATGCGAACAGTGACCCCCATCAGATTTTAAGTGTCACAGACCAGCATTATATGAA